CATACGCACACATATACACACACACACACACACACACACACACACACACACACACACACACACACACACACATGCGTAAAATGACGTCAAAAGAGAAGGAAGCGTGGTTAAGCTCAGCAGGCTCGACCAAGATGTTACCCCTGTCCACGCTGAGTGGACGATTACGAAAGTGGAAAACCGGTAGCCCTGTCACTGGAGATAGCAGTCCTGAGAGCAGAACCCCGAAACGATTCCGGAATGCTCCGCCGGTCAATGCCGCCGACAGTGTGTCTACCAGCACGGAAGGCGAGACGGCGGACATTGTCATCCCTGACACGCCACCAGAGGAACAGAGTGAATCTCGGTAAGAGCAGCTGGTTACCGAAATGAAGAGGATATGTTAAGTGTCATCTTAGCTGGCTAACCCTGTGACATGCAGGCCTTCATGACGAAGAAGCTAGATTCAGTGATGGATAAAATCAACACCCTGTGTACGCATGTGCCGTACTGGCACAAGCATGATTGCCGACGCCGACCGTCCAGCATCGTCTAATAACGTAACTAACGGCACCAGGAGGCCACGTCCGGTACACGTGATCTGTACGACCCAAGCCATGAAGTACTAAATAACTGTATGTGCTTTGAACTGCCGTAGCATGAAACCAACAATAGCCGACATCAGCTGCTTGCTGGAACAATATCCTTTAGATGTACTTTGCTTAACCGAGACATGGCTAAACAGCTCCATTCAAAGCGAAGCAGTAGCCGTTTGCGGCTTTGACGTTTCCAGAAGAGATCGTGACCAATTGCGACGTAGAGTGGAAAGGGCTAGGCGATGGTGGAGTTGCGATACTGTGCTCCGCACACCTAGCGGCGCAGCGCAGTCCACATTCGTACCACCCCAACGGGGAAATGATCACAACCAAGCTCAACGGACCCGTAAGTACTTAATGGCAGGAACAGCAGCAACCCCATGACCATCACGTGTATGTATCGTCCACCCCGCCGCAGCGTCCAGTCGGTCCAGCACACTTTCCAGCCCTTGCACTCTGTGAGTCTGGTATTGATCAAAAACCAGCTTGTAGTCACTGGACATTTCAACGCCAAGCACACGGACTGGAACACTAGTGACATCACTAATACCAGGCACAGCCGGTAGACGCATGCAGACCGTTCTTAAGGATTTCGGCGTGTCTGTAGCCTCGTAAGATTTATCTTCCACCATCCTAGTTACCTCTCACAATTCAGTTTCAGTGTTTCTAAACGTGCTCGGCGGCCTACTCAAATATCCTTGAAATACTGTCAGACCAAACACATGAAGTTGCATAGTCATCACATCCTAATAACACCATACTGAAGTACGTGCTGTACATGTACATGTACATCAATGCATAGACGGGCATAAGTACACTATGATGATAGCATGAACACACAGGTGCTGGTGGTAACCATGGTGACTGGCTGTGATTATGCAGTGTCCTACTCACCATCTCATTGTTGCAAGAGATGTCAATACGGATGCCTTGCTCCCTGCCACAGATCAGATAGCAGATCAGACCAGGTTCATAGCACATGCGCCCGGCTTAGACTCTAGCTAGTCTAGGTGTCAAACACCCACTGGCACAACAGACATTTAAAATAGCAATAAGAGTACTGTGCAGAACCCCAAGAGTGTGCAGCCCCGCCTGCATAACATCTATAGTGCTGCGACGGCAGAACTTCACATCACTTGACATGGTCCCATAGGTTACGCTGGCAAACAGTGCAGAGTGACCACAAGAGAGTTGAACCCAAAGCAGGGTAGTGAACAACCCTGCCTGTATCTATCAAGCACATGGTGCAAATAATGTGCATGGGTTTGTCAAGTGATGTGAAGTTCTGCCGCCGTCGACCCCATCGCCAGAGCTGCACACTCTTGGGAGGTCATGTACTCTTGATAGCAATGCTAGTGCTGTGTAGAGTGTTGGGACATGTGCTGGAATAGGAACGTTGAGCAGCTTGCAGTGTGGGCAGCCTTAACCATGCGCGTTAGCCCCAGCAAAGTTGAAAGCAGGACAAGTACCCCCCCCCCCCCCCCCCCCCGGGAACCCCCCCCCGGGAACCACTCCGCACTCTACACAAGTACATGGAACTTAGTAGTACATGGCGCTGGGAAGGCAGCCTACACTCACAACGCTATGCCCACACTACACTGTGTACCATCAGCTGCAATCACCAGGCAGACGCTAGGCAGGCTACACGAGCAATGACAGCATTATAAATTGTAACAATAGTTTGAAAGTGTTGGCATCAGAAGTCAACAAATTACGACTTCTGGGTCAAATAGGATCCAGTCCGACCATAGGTAGTAATTGCGTGCTGCATCTGGAGGGCAGGCCCCTCATATTCCATGCGCTTGTTCTACACCAGCAGTGGGTTCCCCGACCGACCCGGTAGCGCCCAGTCCAGTCAGTACCGGTGGATGTGTCACACCCTACTGTGAACGACATCACCTCGACATGCTGCATGCATGCATCCATACAAACACTAGATGCAAGTGCATCCAACGGTCAGAGCCGCCGGCCTGCCCCGGCTGCGCATAGCACTTTCAAGCCCTTTTGTTCAAGTACTTCAGTACTACCTACCTGACTTTGATCTTGCAAAGTGGCACGCGTACAAATTTGTTTGCGACGCACGAAACATCACAGTAGTCATCTGGGATAAGGGAGAGAGAAAAAAACAGATGGTTGAAATGAACACCAGACTTTTATTCAAGCCAGGCCGATGTGTACAGTTGTTTACGTGGTACCGTAGATCTGTGTGCTCGTGTATACGTACAGTAGAGCATTTATTAGCTGTACGCTTTGGAGGGGGGGGGGGGGGGGGGGGGTATCAGTCATGCACTCTGGTGGAGTCATGCACTCTGGTGGAGTCATGCACTCTGGGTATCAGTCATGCACTCTGGGTATCAGTCGTGCACTCTGGGTATCAGTCATGCACTCTGGGTATCAGTCACACAGCATGCAGTGCTTACCTGGAAAATTCATTAACGCTGTCCCTACTTTGCGGATGATTGCTTGAGGGAGGACGGTGCGCGAAAAGAGCTACAAGAAAAACAACACATCAGTAAGAACGAAACGAGACTCTTCAGTCATGCATGTGAATGGTGAACGGTAGCTTTTGGTCCCAAGAGGCGAATAAACCACCTCTTCAGAAAAGTGACATTCCTCAAAAGTCAAACAGCAGCCTTACCGCTTTGGAATAGAAGGATAAGTCAATATCACTGTTAGGTAGGCAAATACCAGCACGTAATGATCCAAACACTTGCAAGGTGGCATCTGCAGCAATAATACATATAACGTGAGAATAAAGAATTCAAAAACATACAGGATAATACATATAACATACAGGTTCGTAGCTCAGAGTAGGATCATCAGATTCCTCTTTAATAGGCCACATTGCAAGAGCACTCACTACACCCACATTCTAACCAAGCAAGCCTGTGTGCACACATGCACATACATACATGCGCGCACGCGCGCGCGCGTGCACACACACACACACAAATACAAATCTATACGCACAGGTGCACACACGCGCACAGTAGAACGCCGCCAAACACACATTGCAGAGCTAGCACCGCACTACCGCTAGTTATCAGAAGTAATTAGTTCACTTCCAGCGTCAGGCTGAAACACAACATACTGCACACACAGTTAAACTTCTCAAATCCGGACACTCCAGCGCCTACACATATGACCTGTCAAGTTCAAGAAAAGATCCTGATCATAGAAATGAGGAAACACGGTGGGTGGCACTGATACAGAGGCACGTAGAGTGCAGCTTGGCAAAGTCAAATAGCGTACCGGGAATATGGACTCGCAGATGCTGCTGTAAGTTCTTGACCAGCTGCATCCTGCGCTCCATGCCAGCTTCTGAAATGGCGGTGTTGTCTATGCATTGTCACAAAAGGAGAACACCACGGAAAACCAGGCATCATCACGAAAGCAAGTGGTCTCTTTGCTGCAAATAATTCTATAATTATCTCAACCAAAATATAGGCCAGGAGCCATCTTCCAGGGCTGAGAAGAAACTAGTGAGATGGAGTCGGATGGACCAATATCAAACAGCACAAGGCGGAATGAAACTACGCCATATGTGATAACAGTTACACCACCATGGAGGCACACACAAAGGCACACAAAGGCACACAAAGGCGCACAAAGGCGCACAAAGGCACCCACACACACAAAGGCACCCACACGCACGCACGCACGCACGCACCCACACACACCCACACACACACACACGCCGAGGCGTGCAAACACAAACAAAAACAATGTTGCTGGAAACGAGGTGTGAGGAGTGGTGAGACTATGACAAAGAAGACGAGATTCTGTCACTACAAACCGTAAACATAAATTAAAATTATGCTAAAACATAGTGCTGAACAGTATACCAGTGGTTGGAAAAAGCATGTCATGACAAACAGGATAGACAGTGGCAACAGTCACAGTAACCATGACAATCATCCAAGTTTTACATTGGAGAAAAACATACAGTGAAACATACACATACACACACACACGCACACATCAAACACACACACACACACACACACACACACACACATACACACACATACACAGACACACGCACACATCAAACACACACACACACACACACACACACACACACAGACACACACACACATCAAACATACACACACACACACACACACACACACACAGACACACACAGACACACACACACAGACACACATACACAGACACACACACACACACACACACACACACACAGACACACATACACATACACACACATACACAGACACACACACACACATACACACACACACAGACAGACACAGACATGCATGTGTCCATGACGACATGTACCGCATGTGCCAGTGTACTCGAACTCTCCTCACACACACACACACACACTTCCGGCTACCGGAATGCCTCTGGGTCGGATTTCAACGAGCGTAACTGCAGTATTATTATTATTATCATGTGCGTGTTGTCCCCGTATTTAAAATCCATTGAGCTGGCATACCGGCATACGTACATGTACATGTCGTGTGAGTTGTGGGTGGCTCCTAGTTATGGACAGGATGTGGTCCCTGGGTACATTGGGTACATTGGGTAAGGATGATTCTAGTGCAGCAGCAGTGACGGCGGCAGCAAATGCTCTGAAGCTGAGACATGATATTATTGTTTGTCGTGAGGTTTCAGTGGTTACCGTCCGCATGTTCATCCATTCTTTCTACACGTGTGCACGCATGCGGCATGCACGCACGTGCACAAAAAAAAGAGCTCTGAGCTACTGCTGTTGCAGCTGACACCAAAGAGAATGGGCCAGTCACCTTGGACTTGGAGCAACACTACAAAGTCTAAGATTGAAGCATAACCCCCTCCCCCTTCTAGCAAGCCCTACGACTTCCCGCAACACGCTACTCACCATGGTATTGTTGGATGAAGTGCGATAGAAACTCCAGATAGCCAGGCGGTAACTCGGACAAGTCGTGCAGTGGCTACATACATGACAAAGACATAAAAAAAGCATTGTTTTAAGAAAGAGTATTAATACAACGTACAATGAAATGAAGGTCTGCAGCAGCATTCGGCCGTTTGAACATTATCGTTGGTTGGCTGTCGCTCAAATGATGGTATGGTCGGTCAAAGAGAGCAACATGGCCAAATGTGAGTTAAATACATGGTCAAACGTGGATAGAGTCTATCTGAGCTCCTCTGGCCATGTTGCTCTCTTTGACCAACCGACCGGCCTAACAAGGTCGAACAAGTTGACTGTCCGGAGATTGAGCACAAGTAGTACACTCCCTCGTCTGCGCTTGGTTGAGCACTCTTTCTGATCAGCGTGAAAGCTACCTGCCCTCGCGTAAAGCTCGCTGTGTTTCTCTGAGCTCCGCAGATCAGACCTCACAAGGTGGAAACTCGAATGAGCCAGCGGTCTGGAGATTCAGCACATACATGTACATACATCCCATTGAGGAGGAGACTCGATTCTGCACACCCTTGCAGCATATCCTGGCCATCGTGAAATGTACCAACCGGCAACATGGCAGTTACAACACAGCAACTCAAGTGCATCTCCAGGCCTATGTACTACTACTGCTACTACATATAACTTTTAATTTTAGGTGTAGTAAAATTTCGGTATCGGGGACCTGCCAGGTTTCAGGTGTAATGTAGAATTAGGTGATCAGCGTTCCCTGCACCTACCGTGCACACTCCAGTGCCATTTAGGTGTAATCTAAATTTAGGTGCCTGGTTTCCCTACAGAAATTACCGAAATATAAATTACACCGAAAATAACCATGGAGTTGATTGTTCCAACTAGGAACACACGCTTCTTGCCGAACTTGACACTTGACTGACTCGCTAGTTGGAACAATCAACTTCATGACTATTACCGCCAAAGTCGCAACTTCTAAGTTCGTATTGTCCCTCACGCGGACGTGCCAGGACCGGCGGAAGCAGTTATGGATTGGTCCGGTCATACCGTAGCCTTTCATACTTTGTGTATGATATGGAGGGTAGACATGGCCTTCTCAGCAGTAAACACACGTTGGTGATCGAAACGTTTGTCTGGCCATGGCCTGACCAACCGGACCGGTTCCGCCGAGCCTGCGTGCGACTAGTTGTTGGAGGTGACAGTGTTGTGAATAGCTATACTGGCTCTCAACGTCTGTTTAGCACAACTCCATGAGCGACTCTGACTCACGCTGCTACCTGGGGCTTCATGAGGTGTTTGTCACGCTGGAAACAAAGCGTCTCTGTAAGTTTGTATCCCTGGTGATGGTTTGGCCTGGAGAGCAGTATATAAGTGGTGCTTTTCAGGCACAATCTTCCTCAGCCTACTCAAGCTCAACTGATGAGGGGTGAATTCCCCGAAACACTGTGTATTGAGCAGGGAGTGGTGCTTTCTTGCAGGCTTGCCGAGTGGAAGGTGCGACGTGCTCCTCGTGTGCTCCGGATGGCAGTCGTGAGTCAGTCAAGTGTCAAGTTCGGCAAGAAGCGTGTGTTCCTAGTTGGAACAATCAACTTCATGACTATTACCGCCGAAGTCGCAACTTCTAAGACTGAAAATAACGTGTTATAAAGTGTACTACTACATCAAGTGGGATAGTGCACGAGCACAGACTGCGAGAACACAATTGCTCTGCGCCGTACCCTTCCCAGCCTGCTGTGATGCACAGGCAACATGTTGCGCCCCTTACTCCCCTGCGGATACCGGCATTTGCCGCATGCATCGTGTGTGTGTGTGTGTGTGTGTATGTGTGTGTGTGTGTGTGTGTGTGTGTGGAAGGCTGGCTCAGCCTTCCAGCACGTGTACATATGCGGCAAGCGGATGCGACTACCCGTGCACCTGGAGCGTCATCGAGCGTCGTGTCCTCTCTCTCTCTCTCTCTTCTCAAGTTTCCCAGTGATGGGATCACGTGACCCTTTTGCGGCAGTGACTCTACAGGACAGGACAGGACAGGTGTGTGTGTGCGCGTGTGTGCATGTGTGTGTGTGCATGTGCGTGTGTGTGTGTGTGTGTGTGTGCCCATTCCACTGCCCGTCATGTAACCGGTGCTTTCGATCTGCTGCTGGATTTAAACGGCACAATTGCGAGCGTGGCAAGCGACCAACAGCAAGGGAGCGTCTTGAGTTCAAGTTCTGCTGTGCATGCGGCGAGAGACATCGCAGACAGCAGGATCTGCAACGGCATGAGGCAGGATGTTCTGCCGCGACGCCGTGATGCTACCCCTTTGCTCCCGGCCTCCTCATGAGGGCAGCTTAGCCGTTTAACGGCAGCTGTTTGTCAAGGTCAAGGTGGTGTGCGTGCGTGTACATGTATAGACGGGATGCTGTGATCAGAGCAGGGTGTGTTGTGTGTCGGCTGATTGGCAGATAGAACGCGCTGCACATGCACACGGTTCACACGCACTTTCCTCAAAATAGAACGTGAACACTGTGCACGCAAACGTTTGTTCCCTGCACAAACCTGCTGAAATGCCAGTGGAGCACCGTCCTCCAAGTCCAGCGACGGCTCTGTTGAGGCGAATCTTACAGGTCCGCAGTAGCAGGGCTGCAACTGAGACACAAGCCTACTGGTGTGTGTGGTGGTGCTGGTTCTGCTGATTCTGCTGCTGCCAAGCCATTCTGTACCGTGACCATACGAGCATGTGTGCCAACACCTGCCAGATATCTGAAGAGCAGGACTCAGCTTCACTAACAAAGCCTTTCCATGCCTCAAAGTCTGCATCTTGTCAAGCTCTATAGGCTATGTGGCCGTGATAAGAACAAGATAGGGCTATGATTGTATCGAAAACTACAACAGATTGCTCATCCCAATAATCAGTTTACACTCAAGAACATTGAGAAAACGGACAGTACCCAAAATTGGCATTTAAAATGAGACCGTGACAAGGAGACTAGTATCAGAAATCTGGTGAAATTGCAACAATCAAAAGTATATCTAGCCCCTTTGCAATTTTGAGAATGTAGTGTGGTAACAATTATTTAAATTTTACATCGATCTACACGATAACCAGGCCAAAAGCTGGGCATTTTTGAAAAAAAAAGTCGATGGCATGTGATCCCGCAAAATCAACACCGTACACGTGCAGTAATCAGGTAATGAAGGACGCTGAAGAAACCCCGATCACCGGAAAGGCGAGTGCAGCAGCTCAGAGAGAGGGAGTGATACGGGAATCGATGGGTTCGAAACTTTTATCGACTCACAAACCCGATTTTGCCCAAATTCGGCAATAAAAATTAATAGAACACAAATTGATCAAATCATAAAAATTGAAATGTAGTACAGTACTGAAGAGATTGAACTCAACAGCTTGACAAGAAACCGTTGCCCAAATGGCCTACTATACTGGCATTCTCTACTCCCTGATCGCGAGTAACCTGGTAGTAAACTACAAAACAGCCTCTTACAGGGAACCCCAACACACAGCATCAAGAGCAAAATTAAATAACCTCAGGAAATAAGTTCATTGTACTGAATACTTCAATGATTGTTATATGTAGTACCAAGAGTACATGAAAACCGTTTTCATGTATTACTCTTGGTAGTACTCCTGATATCAAGAGGTCATAACCCCTATGGACTCTTGCTAATACCAAGAGTACATAACCTCTATCAAGAGTACATAACTACACAGTGTGTAGTTATGTACTCTTGCCTCTATGTATGTACTCTTGCTAATACCGAGACATGCATGGGGCTTAGGATCCGAGGCCTGCTGGTAAGTTACCCGGTGGCAAAAATGCGACCGAGCCTGGCACCCATCGGTGCATCAACTACGATCATGTGCAATGACTTTGTACAGGTAAATTGCCAATTTCGCAAGCAGTGATGTAGTGTTGCATCACGTGATGTGAAGTGGGGGGGGGGGGGGGGGGTGGCATGAGTCTGAGGGGCGGAGATATAACATTGCGACAGATACATAATCCCGGCAGGCCATTTTTCCGTCGCTACCCTAGTCCTGACACTGTTATATCAACGCTTGACGCCCCGATACTAGTATGCAACGTGTGAGGGCTTAGCATCTGAAATAAAAAAAGTTAGTTCAGTCTGTCTCTCCAACCTGGTATCAAGACTACTAGTACCGGTACTGCACAATACGAGCATGCGTGCAAGAGTTCATAACTCAGAGAACCCTTGATGTGCGTGCGTGTGTGTGCGCGCATGCACGAGTGCAGAATACCAAGGCCATGGCGGTAAACTGCTCCGACCCGCCACCTTCCACTGGCACAATGGACGCCGAGTTGTGCAGCCGACATGGCTTTTGTCACTGCATTGAGAGAAGTAAATTGGCACTGCAAAATTCAACATCACATGCAACCGAGAAGTGTATGCAGGTTACCAAGACAGCAGAGAGGCATCAGCAGTACATGTACCAGATCACCACTGCACAAGCCGGCGTTAACGTTAGTTTTTTTTTTATCAGGAGAAGAACAGCTACAGCACAGGGCAAGCCAATACTGGTGCCAACACAGAGAGCCGAGCTATTGGCTAGCGCTGCTTTCAACGAGAGTAGTAAAGCATTAATTATGCTATGCCGAAGTTGGCAAGTAAAAAAATTGGAGCCGGCATTGAGCCGTCAATACAGTACTACAAAGAATTTGCCTTAAGACAGATTATGCCAGCATGTCTGCAGAATAAATAATTTCAAGTTGTGCTTGCCAGCAAGAGTCTCTCTACAATTCCGTGTGAGCACTGTCTTCCTCACCCTCTTCTTCTTCTTCTTCTTCCTCCTCTTCTTCTTCTGCTGTGCTCAACGTTGCTGCGTTCTCCCGCAGGAACTCGGCGACGGAGTTGGAGTTTCGGGGGCCAGAGTAGATCTTGGGCGCACCTGTACGCTCATCACCAGCCTTGAAGAGGTGCAGAGAGGGGAATGTGTCAATCTTGATGCCATGAGGGAGGTCGTTCACAGAGGAGTCAAACTTGTAGAACATTACGGAATCTTCCTTCAGGACTCCGTGGGCCTTCTTGAACACAGGCAAGAACTTCTTCGATTCCTGGCTCCACGGTGCCATAAAGAGCACAGCAATGTCACGAGCGGTGTCGCTCATCACCTGATCGTACGAGTTTCGGACGAGGGTCTTCACAGGCCCTGGGTTAGACCTTGGTACCTGCTGAGATCTGAAGTATGCCTGCAGCTGTTTGCCTTCCTGGAACGCAGTCAAGTGAGCGGCAAGTGACTCGGCTGTGAAGTCGCCATCCAGTGGGTAGCGTTGAGAATGGTTAACATAGAGGGCGGCCGACATGTCGTAGTCGCTATCCAGAAGACCCACCATGTCCTTCAGGCCGTGCATCTCCTCGTGGTCCACGACGACAAAGTGAACACCGTCGAATTGCTCGGCGACGCTAGTGACACGCTTCAGGCGGTAGTTCATGGCCTCCCAGGTGTCCGGGTCCCACTCCACATCCATGAAGATCAAGGCAATGGGACTGAGGTCACCATACATCTCCTGGAAATGGCCACGCGATGATGCATAGCCGACGAGAGAGCGCCGGTTATCCTTAATGAACGTCTTCAAGCTGTCCTTCTCCATTGGGTCCTCGGCGAAGACGGAGAAGCGGGTGCTGCCCTTCTTGACAGGCAGGCGGCGATCACGCACAACGACGACGCCGTACTCGTCACTGTCCAGGCCAAAGTCCTCCTTGGCGATGGCCAGGGCATTGGCACCGACGACGTGCCCGAACACAACCGACTTGTCATCTCTGAAGCTCTCGGCCACCTCCATAAACATGGTGAACTCGTATGCCGATCGGCTCTGGAAGAAACCGACGACTGCAGGCGATTTCTTAGAGTCACTGTATACGCTGGCGGCACCAGCCTTGACGGGCAAGTCGGTGGATGAAGTGCTGATGCGAGACTTGACAAAGTCGACGATGCGGTCGGTGGTCTTAAGGCCTTCGAACACAGAGTGCTGACCATTCTTGAACGCCAACAGGTACGGATATCCTTTCAGGTTGAACCGGAAGAAGACGCTGGAGTGCTTTTCTGCGTCGATCTTGGCTACAGTGATTGGGGGCTCTTGGGTCTTCAGCTCCTTAGCAACTTCATTCAGGATTGGCTCCAGCTGTTGACAATGGTTGCACCATGGTGCGTAGAACTCGACCAGCGTCAGCTTCTCCTTCTTGAGGTGCGCTTCAAACGCCTCAGGGCTATCCAGCTCCAGGACGAGGTCATCCGTGGCAGGCGGGGTCCAGTCAGGTCGAGTGTGGTTGCGCACCTCATCGACGATTCCCACTGAGGTGAAGTTACCCTCGAACAGGTACGGCTTGGTGCTGTGGAACATCTTGATCATCGGGCCTTCGCTGGCACCGAAACGGTGTCCTGTGTAGTCATCCACGGACAAATCTATAACGGCAAATGACATATCCAAGCCTTCTTCGGCCAACCCATTGGCAGCCTTTTCAAATTCGTAGAGAACTTTTGAGGACTTGTCAGACCAGGGAGAATGGAAAAAGACGGCGAAGTTCTTTTCTCCGACAACCGAGTCAAAGGCCTCCTTTGCCAAATAGTAAACATTGTCCCGCTTCTCGGTTTTCCCCGCCGAAGCGGAGAAAGGCAGGACGAAGAGGACCAGAATAAGTCTACCACTCAACATCTTGGAATAAGTGAGCTGACGTGTTTTTGTCGACAACGATGATGGTTTTATCCCACTTCGACTTCCACTTCCACGGCCACATGTACGTGGACTCGTGGAGTGTGTGGATGATCAACTCTCTACTGCATCATACACGTGGTCCTGGCTGAAGATGACGTGGCTTGAAGTCGTTTGCTGGTAGATTTTGGTTTCGACCGCGCGTACGCGCGTAGCTACGTAGACTCTACCTGTACTGTCTGTGCACATGTGCGGTAGATCTACCGACGTCGACGCGATGCGCGGATTCGGGTGGATACCGGATATTAGAGAGGTTAAGTTACACGTTTTTTGCCCTTTTTCAAAACGCGGTGCAAATCTCACGTTACGTGTAATTTTTAGAGGTTAAGTTACACGTGCGACGTGACGTGAAATTTTGCCTGGCAGGATTCGGGTTTAGTTCGCACAAATATCAAATCTTCCAACAAACTTGATAAATCTCGATAAAATTCCGGAAACTCACACAAATTCGGTCGGGATAACCAAGCGAAACTTCCAAAAACTCACGTCATGAACTTACGTGCGGGACAGTCAACTCACGTAAAACACGTCAAATTTTACGTGAGTTTTTTCACTTTTTGACGTAAAAGTTCACGGACGTAAGACTTTTACGTGAAACTTAACCTCTCTATCGATGCCCGCGCCCGGGCCCATCATCGCGCATCAACCGCACAACGACGTCGCGTCACTGCACTGGCGTCACACCATGCAGCTGGTCAGCCGCGCTGCAGCGTTGTCGAAGTAAAGTTGAATATTCGAGTTCGGGGAAAAAAAGGTCAACAATATTGCCTGGGCTATCAATTATTTGTCATGCAGAGCACAGAGGTTGGCCTTGCTAATTACAAGGTATTCGGGGACTTGTAACATGAGAATCTCGCTGGGGAGATTTCTCTCACTCTGTTTCTGCCAGCGGCTCGGGATTCAGTTCTTCCACCAGCGAAATTTTCAACGAGGTCGCCTGATCCTCAGTATCCTCGTCATTCAGCTGGTTGCGGCCAGCTGGCTTGTGTATCGCCTGAAACAGCCACACAAGCGGGTCCGGTCTCTTATCAAACACCCGTATCATCTGTTCAACAAGGATCAGTTCAAACAACGCCCAGAGGAGAGGCAGTGCAGTCCAGACAGTCAGGAGCAGGAGGAGAGCATATTTGCTGCAGTCACTGGAGAGTCTGTGGAGAGGAACAAGGCGACTATCTGCACTTTCTGTCCCCGCTCTGGCCTTGGGCAGAACATCAGTTTCTGGAGGAGTCGTCTGTTGGAGCATAACACATTCCAGCAAGCCGAGTGTGAGCCTGGCAATGTATACAATGCATACGATGGCCGGCAGCAGCAGGCAACAATCTTGGTTCTCAACGTCGCCGCAAGAGACCACGTGGAGGCGTTGCGCGTCGCACTGTCAGCGTTTGTCGTTGCGGTGCTGGCACGGAAAGCATTCGTCGTGGAAGGTCCCGGGATCATTGCCAACGAGTATCTCCTCACGCACAGGCACCTGGACTGGAGACCGGTGGCATCCGCTTGCGGTCAAATGATTTCTGAGGACGACTCGCAGTCGGTTGTACAAGTAAATACCATGGACAATTGCACCAAACTTGCAGCACTGCTTGGCATGAACATCAGCAAAGCACAAGTAAAGCAGGAAAATCTGAAAGCCGTTGGTCTGGAGTGTCTGGCAATGCTCCTCGAGTCGACTGTCCTTCACGAGCCAGCAACGCAGCCGCTGGTCCATGCCATTGCTGCGGCCTCCTTTCGCTCGGCGTTCGACTTGCCAGCGGTGGTTCGGCGTGCGGTGAAAGATTTCCTGCACCTGACGGGTGCGGGACGGCATCGTCGCCAGCGCAGCTCACATCAGCCAGTAGCTGCAGTGAACACCAGTGTTCAGGCATTGAGTAGTGATGTTGCAGCCACCTCTATCACCTCGGTGAGCCACTCGCATGAACAGCACACATCAGCTGCAGCGGCGGGGGCGGTCGTCAGGCCGACGATGGGAAGTGCCGTCGATTCTACCATCCTGGTGACGCCTATCTGCATTGAAGTGGAATCGGACATGGTGGAGACGGACAACCTGTGGCGCTGTGCCCGCCTCCTGGAGCGCGTTCTGGCCAAGGCCAAGTCGAAAGAGGCTGGCCAGCACTTTGATTGGATTCTGGTCGGCGAGAACAAGACACGCGTGCTGCATTCGCTGGACGATGCGGCCAAATACCAGCACTGCACCGGCCGCGCCGACAGGGGCTTCAAGGTGGAGCGCAGCGTGCGTGCCTGGATGTCACCGCTGCCGGAGCAGTCGCACCACGAGTGGATGGGCCGTGCCTACCTGCTGTCGCAGTGCGCTGGCCACGTGGGCCACTCGCACTCCAACCTCAGCCAGTTTGCATCGCTGATGGCCGGTCGTCAGTACATGTCTGTTCTGCCCGGTACCACGCAGGCCAAGCCGGACAAAACCAAGCAGCAACTCGGCGACATTTGCAAACTGCAACTTGCAATGTAATGATGTGCGAGTGCCTGCCTCCATGCTTGACTTTTTTTATCACTAACAAAAGGAGGTTAGAGTTGTCAAACCCGATGGATGACTGAAAACTCACTGCCAGCGTCTAATCGTCTGCATGCTTCCTGCCTCCTCTCCAGCTGATAAGCTTACAGAGCAGTTGAAGATAATAGTCTCACTCTAACTTGAGATCAATACACTGCAAACGCCGTGTGTGGTCCCACGTATTTGGAATGCTATTCTATTATTATGTTCCGGGTGAGCTGCTTCTCCCCCGCATCTATGGTTGCATGAGGTATCTCCTGGGATACCGAAAGTAAGTAATAGTTGGCCATTCTGTTTTTAGAAGATTTTTCTAATCCTTTATTATCAGCACCGTATTGGTCATCGGGTGTTGACCGGGTAGTGACCAGTTTTTAACCTCTTTCTACGTATTGCTGTCCTCACCTAACCTGTTCCTATTTTACTAAGTAGTTGGCCATCTGTTTGTCAGCTTTCGTCGAGTAGCCTTTTCTGCTTGATCTTGGTTGTTTATAAATAATTTTGAATGTTTTCTTTCTTTACAAAAAAAGAAAGATTGAAGAGCTGTCTCACATAATTATGCAACCCTGGTGCCCTTTGCTTTTGGAAGCGCAGAGCTGTGAATGCGAGTGTAAAGAGCTTGCAGAGCTGTGAATGCGAGTGTAAAGAGCTTGCAGAGCTGTGAATGCGAGTGTAAAGAGCTTGCAGAGCTGTGAATGCGAGTGTAAAGAGCTTGCAGAGCTGTGAATGCGAGTGTAAAGAGCTTGCAGAGCTGTGAATGCGAGGGGCTCCAGTTGTTACCATCATCGTCCAGGTTGCATTGCTATGAAGATGGGTCGAGTGATTGCCCCTGTCGGCTCGTCACTCTTCTTCTTCCCAATGAGAAGGCATGGAAGGTTCTCCGGCAGCTTATGTCCTTCGGGACAGACGTTCATTGTTTTATTTCCCAATACACTTCAAAATACATGGACAATGATAGCTATAAAAGGCATACTTCATTTAATGTAACTAACGAGACAATCATATAGGTAGTTGCTACAAAGTAGTTGTAGCTAGAATGTAACTTTTTGTTAGTTGCTAGAAATAGAATACATCCATAATATTTCATCCATATTTTGAAAGGTTTGTCAACAAAATTAATAACAACAAAGATGTGATGTCCAGCAAAACACATCGTCATTAGCCTTTTCTGCAGATACACGTCACTATTGGTAGAGCCTAGGCAGCTGTGGCATCAGCTTCACCAAGACCTCCGCATTCTCTTCCAGCAGTGCCAATCTTGAATTCCTAGCCAGTGACGCCTTACGTTCTGGCCTCACGCTTTCCTGGCACGTTTGCGCGAGGCAGGCTGCTGCAGTTGCGTGGCGGCTGGCCGTTTTCGGCTTGCCGGCTGCTTGGGAGGTGACTGCTTGGGCGGCGACACCGGCGCTGCTTTGCCGCGTGTGCTTTGCCGCCTAGTACCCACAGCTTGCTTCGTAGTAGTGGCCTTGCCACGAGCCGAGACGGCTTTGGTTGCAGCGGGTTTCTTCAGTGCTGTGCCTGCACCCGCTCGTGGAGCCTTAGCTTTGGCAGCAACGCTGGCGTACGACGACACGCCAGGCTTAGGCTTAGCGGCTGGGCGACGGCGTTGTCCAGCAGCCTGCCTTGCCATCGCCGCCGTCTTTGTCGTCGTCACCAGAGTCGAGCGCGTACGAGGCTGCGACTGGTCAAAGCGCACCGCCTTCTTGGTGGTGCGTTTGGACGCGGACGGAGTGGAGGCGGCAGCCGCCACAGAGGTTGACCGACGTGCCGGCGCCGGTGCGGCGGGCTTTCTTGCCGGTGCTACGCGCGCCTTGGCCGGTGCACTCGCTGCCGCCGGGGCAGTGCGAGAAAAAGCCGACTGGACGCCGGAAAAGAAGCCGGTGACGCGCTGCTTGATCCCTTGCAGGGGTGAGAATGGAGTGCAACCATCTTGCTGGTCTGCTGCTGCTCCTGCCCCTTGTGTCCCGGGTGTTTCCAGGGAAATGATCTTGTCCAGGAGCTCCAGGTCTCCCTACACAGTACACCGTGAACATGACAAGAGACACACGAGACCAGACCAGTCCAGTATCAGGGGCGCTGCAGCTCGCACATCTGTGGTGTGGTGACCATAATGATATCAGAGCGCACATCTCTGGTGTGGTGACTACATGATGTGTGTACCACCGCCAATCTCAAAATCACCATTTTGCTTATTTTGACTACGGTATGTAGCCTATAATAGTATCAAGAGTACATAACCCCCAAGAGTGCGCAACTGCCTGCACAACCTCTATGCAGTGCTGCGACGGCAGAACTTCACATCACGTGACATGGTTCAAAAGGTTACACTGGAAAACAGTGCAAAGTGACCCTAAGAGAGTTGTACCCAAAGCTGGGCTGCGTACAACCCTGTATCAATCATGCACAGAGTGCAAATAATGTGTACGGGTTCATAACGTGATGTGAAGTTCTGCCGTCGCAGACCCCATAGCTGGAGTTGCACACTTTTATTATGATGGTCATTTGCTGGTGTGCTGACCGCACTACGCTGACTATACACGAGCTACCCTACCTGAGCATCAGCTAAGCATTGTGCAGTATACACTAGCTACCCTACCTGAGCATCAGCTAAGCATTGTGCAGGATTACATTGACGTGACCACACACCCTTTTTTCATCACATTCTGGAAAGCTATGAATTCAACTTCACCAACATCTTCAAGATCTAACACGCCGACAAGGAGGGTCTGCGGTGTTGCAGCCGACCGAACTGACCGAACGTTGTGCCGGTCAAACAGGGTCTTTTGCAAGTCAGCCTGCCATGTCGGCGCTATGCCTACTATTGCCACGTACCTGGTTGGTGGTCTTCAGCGTGTCGTCGCCACTCTTCTCAACCTCAGATAGGAACTGTGGACTGCAGGAGATGATGAGAAGGCAAATCAGCACACACACACACACACACACACACACACACACACACACACACACACACACACACACACACACACACACACACACACACACACACACACACACACACATACACACACACACACACACACACACACACACACACGCACGCACGCATATATGACCAAGATGTGCTCAGATACATAGTACAATGCTACAATAGGACTGTGGGAATAGGAACTGCCTTAGATACTTAGAGGTCACCAGGTGTAGCAGTTAGCGAAGCACCAGCACCAAGAAGCGTTAAAATGCTGGTAACGAAAGCAGAAAGAGATTCTACCCATGCACATGCGTAAACCATTCTGTCTAAAAGTACAAAGAGCTTGGTGACTCAGGCTGTTTCAATTCCGGCTGCTGTGTGAACACCAGGGAGTCGTGGCATATAGGGAGACGCATGGGCAACTGTAACACTAAATCATGGGGGTTTCAACCCTGGGCTGCCCGTTGCAGTCGCCCCCAGGGGCAGGGCCAACATTCACACTTGCATATCAGGCCCGTCGCACCGACTTTGGAGGTGGGGCGGCCATGGAAGGGGGTCCGGGGGTCCTCCCCCGGGGGGGGGGGGGGGGGGGGGCATTTCCGGGTATTTTGTGCCATTTCAGTGTATGGTAACTACAATGAAAGTCTTTTTGATTCTGCAACAAACGAAGAAGACGCTACGATCGGGGACAAACGTTACCCTCCCCCGGGAAAAAATTCAAAAATTGAAGCCAATTGCAAGCATTTCCAGGCATTTGGTGCCATTTCAGTGTAACTGCAATGAAAGACTTTTTGCAACAAACCACGATCGAAGACAAGGATTTGTCACGTTTGCGCTAAGCTGCGCGTGCGATCATTGTGCTTTGTTGTAATGTGCTCCAAAAAAAAAAAAAAAAAAAAAACGGTCGAAAAAGTGGGGCGGCCTCAGCCGCCCCAGCCGTCCCGGCTGTGACGGCCTTGCATATGACACCGCTCGCATGGGCCGAGGTCAGCAGGTCAAAGGTGATGACCGCAAGTTGCGTAGACCACGGTAGAGCTACCCAATCCGGAGTCGAAATGCACGTCGTTTCCGGTATTATGATCTCGTGTCGTCTCCATGCTGGACACTCACCGGAAACCTTGGAATAGCTCCAGGAACTTCATCTTGTGCTTGCGCTGGTCCATCACATAGTCATTGACCAGGTCAACATAGTGGATAATGGCCACCGCCTTGCGCAACCCATTGTCCTGTACAGGGTCACGGCAAGATTGGGCCAGGAAACAGAGCATTGCAGTCTACTATTAATAATACAGTGCTGCAGAGTGCAGACCCAGGCATTCATCATATTCCTAGCATTAACCAGTGGGTACGCATCGTACTGGTATGATGTGAAAAGTTGAACCTTTGACGACGGCCTTGCCGGGACAGGGTGACTTCTGAACTCCAATAGAAAAAGTGACCATGTTGATCCTGCTGATGCAAAATGTTTAAAAATAATACCGTAAAGTCGCGGATAAAAGCCGGGCTTATAAGCACATAAGCCGCTTTCTGCATCAGGCTTTAATGCAAGCCAGGCTTGTATGCAAACCATGCTTATATGCAACACTGATATTTTTGCCAGGCGTGTATGCACATAGAAGCCAGGCTTCTAGTAAGTTCTACGCGTGACACGCGTAGATCTTAGATCTACCACTGACTACCGGTATGGCGGCAGTTTTACTATGCGCCGTAGATCTACATAGCGCATGCACTCTTGACCTACCCGATCCGCGCTTGCATAGAAGCCAGGTTTCTAAGCGCGACAGGTGCATTTGACCCGTTTGATTTTCAGGCTTCTATCCGCGATGTGCTTGTATGCAAACCCGGCTTTTATCCGCGACTTTACGGTAATCAATTCGAAGTAAAGCTGTTACCAGAGGAGCATGTACATGATCACAGCACATGACGAAGACAGACTGGCTGTTAGTGTGGGTTAGTGTCGTGGGTGTGCATGCAGCAAACACTCACGATCTTCGTTTCGCCGATGGTGACTTTGAAGTCCTTTGTGTGAGTAATGCCGTTGGTGTCGTCCCACTGAATTGTTACCTACAAACGTTCATCACAGTGGTACATGTTGCCACAACAACACAACAATCAAGGTGTCAAGCATAGGATAGTATCAACTGTGGTATTGGTGGGTATCTGCACGTACACGTACACGCACACACATGTACATGTATGCAAGCACGGACACACACATGCATGCACACACACATTCGCGCGCACGCGCACACACACATACACACACATAAGCACGCACACACACACACACACACACACACATATATACACACACACACACACACCATGCACGTGGACATGGAGGCATAGGCATGTTCGAAGTGGCCTCTTGAACCTTTTGGGAAACATCTTGGAAGGGATAAGTTGGTCAGAACGGTTGCTGTTAGCCGGTTAGCCGCACCATTTTCGATGGAATCGTCTTAGCAATGACATGCTCTACGCGTACCTCCAAGTGAAAAAGGGCTTCCCATAGCGCATGTGTATGCTTTGTCGTAATTTCTATGCGAAATGCATACAAAAGGTAGTTTTCGTGGGAATATTCCAAGCTCTTCTAAACTAATCCACCTCTCCCATTGGATGAGGCAACCTGGTCGTAAAATTTCGAGGAGTTTCAAGGAGATTTCGAAACTCCCCAAAAAGTCACAGAGTGACAATTCAAACACCCTCTTAGATGCATGCAGGTAGTATGCGGTGCACAGATTTCACTGCAAGAGTAATGGAAATACATGCACTTTGAAAGGAGACGTTTGCGCCTTTGCGGAAAGTACCATAACCTGAGAGAATCCACGCCTGTGTCAGTACAAGTGACCAGCGAGTGTTCCGACTCTAGGGGTCTCTACGCCAATGCCGGAACAAACAGCGTGGCAGCTAGCAACTCACGTTCACTGTGTCTGGCATTTTTCCGCTGCTCTTGCTAGGCTCCAACTTGAAGGCCATGATTCCACCCTAGAACAGTGATGTCATGACACAGAACAGTGATGTCATTGCACAGAACCGTGATGTCATGACACAGAACAGTGATGTCATGACACAGAACAGTGATGTCATGACACAGAACAACAGTAGATACAGAAGAACAATGGACGATTGGACACACACAAAAAAAAGAACAGTAGACACAGAACAATACAGGGGCGTCGGAAGGTAATTTAGTATGGTACGGTCAGGTCAGCCATCTGAAGTACAATTTACTCGTCGGGGAGTGGTGGCTGAGCTGAAAATTTTGGGAAATTAGAGCCCAAACCAGTGCATGTTATTGATTCATGGGGTACTTGGGTCAAATAGTGGTAAGGTCAATACCGCGTAGTGACCGTACCGTGTGCGACGCCCCTGCAATGGTATACACAAAACAATAGTACTGTATACACGGAACTTCAACAGTAGTGAGAGTAGCCTGCCAGACTGCCAGACTGCCAGAGTGCCAGACTGCCAGACTGCCAGAGTGCCAGAGTGCCAGAGTGCCAGAGTGCCAGAGTGGTTGGTACTGTACGCTGGTGATACTGTACTGCAGCAAAGCAAGAAGATCTCACTTGGCCATTGGTTGCAGGTTGCAGGTGGGTCACCGTAGTGTATCTAGGAATTATTGTATTTTCGTAGTTTGACATCCATATTTTTTTAAACTAAATGTACTAGTCACTGCAGAGTCAATGTTTAGCTTACACCAATCGTATTATCTGCTTCCGTCAGATTGTGAATTCCAAATTTGCGCTACACGTGTTGCGAATTTCGCACTACAAGTTCGTACTGTAGTTTAAAAAAACCATGGCTACCGCAACTTCCAGACTAGGATTTGTGAAGGTTTCAAGGCACATCTACTACAAACGCATAAAGATTTTAAAAGTCAGTGTCCATGGATACAGAGGGGGAGGGGGGGGGCATCAGCTCCAAAATCAGGCGAAATGCTTCCAGTGCTAATCCATAGTAGTGCCATTCATCCTGGAAGTTGGAGACAGTTGGAGATAGTCTGCCCGTACGTACCTTGGATTGATCCTTCTCGTCCTGCCAGCATGGAAACTCAGATGACAGGGTGGCTGGCTTGTTCTTCTTGATGTCATTGATCTCGGGTGAGCTGCGGACAACACACAATATCCGACAATAATCAGCTACTTAGTACCAACGAGACGAGAGAGAGAGAGAGAGAGAGAGAGAGAGAGAGAGAGAGAGAGAGAGAGAGAGTGTGTGTGTGTGTGCATGTGTCTCCCAAGTACAGTCAGACCTCGCTTATCCGGTCCAGTTTTATCCGGACCCTCGCCATCCAGACGAAAATAGCTGGTTACAGATTTGCAGCATAAGCACAGTGTCTGCTCCAGCGCCGGGTGAGCCGGGTAATCCACCCGGTTGGGCGGCGCTTGGACCCGGTTGAAAATATAGTACCGGGTCAGCTGTGACCCGGTTGGTACTTTACACTTTCGAACTTTGAAAGGACTGACTACATGGCTTGTATGTGTCAGATACTTCTTCTTCTTTCGTAATTTTCTAATTCCTGTCCTCTCTTTTCTAAGTGCGGCTTATCCATTCGCCTTTATATCATTGGGCCTAGTTCCCGTTTATTGTCCGAATTAAAATAAACCAACCAACCAGTTAAAGCATGTGACTCGGCTGGTGAGACAGCGCCAGGTACATGTGTACCCGGCTCCGACCCGGTTGAAATGGTTGCGCCAGTTACACGTGTACCCGGTTGTCCTACAATCCTAGAGCAGACACTGAAGCAGTGCATCCAACATAATCGGTGTTTGGTTATCCGCTTCCCTCGCCTATCCGGATATTTTAGCGGAAAGCGGATGTCTGCGGTTAGGCGAGGTCTGACTGTACAGGGAAAGCACTTGACAGAGGCACACACACGCACGCACGCACGCGCGCGCGCGCGCACGCACGCACGCACGCACACAGACACACACACACAGACACACACACACACACACACACACACACACACACACACATACACACACACACACACACACACACACACACACACAGCAGAGAGGCGGATTGGTGATTTGGTGCCGTCACTTTCAGTTGTGCCCGACGTCGCCGCTCGCGGAGGTTTGACAAGCCCCCAGCTGGCCAAGTCACGGGATTTAGAACATTGCGCGATGATATTTGTTACAAAGAGAAGAGAGGGAGAAGAGAGGGAGAAGGAGACGACGGGGGACTTCTGTGCGTGCAGTCTCTCCAAGTCAGAGAAATGGTGTCTGCGTTCAGAGAAATGGTGTCTGCGTTCAGAGAAATGGTGTCTGCGTTAGAAAGTGACTACCGGTACTTGGAATGGACATCAGTTTTGCCCAGGACGTACGCATACCGCTACTGCAGTTGGATCCAACCAGCTGTGGCGGCACATGTCAGCGACCAGAGTCTCGGGTCAGAAATCTGTAAAGTGCATGCCGAACTGAGGCTTCAGAATGTCTCCATTGTGGAGGCCAAGAGTAAAAGGTGTAACTACACTGCGGATATAACGACAATACGCGAATAACGACAGAATTTCCATGCCAAGAGCAAAGTTCATTCTACCTGTATACATATAACGAGACTTTGGGTATAAGGACACTTCGCGAATAAGGACACCTCTCTGATGCCCCGCCGAGTGTCGTTTATCATGATACGCAAAGTTGACTGTATCTCACCCGTAACCTTTGACCCAGACGACATCTTTGGACGTGATTGACACCTTGATGTTGAAAGCGATGACAGTGATATCGTAGGAGAACTCCTGCATGCGCACACATGTGCAGGCATACAAACAAACAAACACACACACACACACAATGATCAACAATTGACACCAAGACACCCTCTGCGTACGCTGCAGTATTTCGTTTCCTTTCGCACACGGCCCTCCACGGCCCTGCACAAGAAATTCGGACTTCACGTTGATCAGAACAACTCCCATGCAGAGGAATACGAAACAATCGAAGAGAATTGAACGTCCTCAAAAATCACACGTACACAAACAGATCAGAGGCCGGACGTGCACCTCTAGCCCAGACGATGCAGTAGCAGTGTGAAGGTTCCATTTCACTTACTAGTAGTACAGTCGTTGGCAAAAACTCCGGCGAATGCAGATACAGACTGGTATGGTACGCGGACACGGCGGTGCCACACGGTAGCCGGCATCATGCGCATGCTTTTACCAGTGTTTGCTGTAGATCTACCAGCACTGCACTGGCCCGTAAGCAGCTACGTAGTACATGATAGGTATGTGCAGTGGTAGTGGTAGTGGTAGTGCAAGAGCTACACTACCATGTACATGTACAGCATTGGCCGGAATGTGTTTTAGCGACGACCGTGGCATGCCTCGGTAGGACTGAGATGCGCGACGAGGTCGGATGTCCCTGGTCACCGGTGCATTGCAAACACTACTACGGCCAACCAGCCTGCCACACAACACACTAACCTTCTCCATGAGCCGTTGGAACTCGTCAGTGGAGTCAACACTCAAGTAGCGAGCACCTCTCGTTGAGCTGATCTGCTCCACCAGGCGCACATTCAAGTCCTACAATCGGAGAACGGCCAGAGCAACACACTAGCCGGTCAACAGTCCGGCGTCACAGCAATGGGAAAGCGCAGGGAAAATTGGAAGGGGGAGGAGGGGGCATGTGCACGCGTGACATGTGATTAGACATTATTATACTTATGCCTCCAACGCATATGATAATGATATGACAGAGCTTAAGTGTCTCAGCACTTGGCCAGTACAGTGTTAGCAAGTACTAGTAAAACAAACTATCCTTCATGTACCTGACGCTGGCCAAGCGCCAACAAAAAGGTTGTCATGACGCTGGTCCATCGCTTACATGTATTCCTTGGAATGGATGTGTCCACGTGACTCTTTTGCTTTTGCAGAAAAAAATCTGAGCCCAGCCAATCTACCCCTATCCGGTTGCCGAACAAAGAACGCATAGACTGGCGTATGGTATACCATTACGTCAAGCCCCAACGGTACGTAATGCGCCGGCGATATGCCATCCTCCGACGGTACATCGTGCCTTTAAAATCCAGTATTTGGCGGCATCCAGCAACGGATTCTATTCCACTCTACCCAGCATGGTCCTGGAAGAAGAGAACACTCTAACCCAAGTCTCTGCATGCCGCCATACAGTTAGCCACTCACTTACCATGCCGATTCCCACGATAGACGTGAAGACATTGCGAGCAGCCTCCGTCCTGAGGATGTCCAGCAGCTCCACTTCATCATGGGCACTGTCCACCGTGCTGTTGAGATCGGTCAGGAACAGCAGGCGGTTCGTGGACTTGGCCGACTCCGCTGCAGGCACCGCACGGCATGGCCCAAACACACACACACACAAAGCAGACCACTTCTGAATGCACCGCCCTGACTGTATGGATGGCAGCGATACGTGAACGCTGTCATGCACATCCAGCAGATAGAGACGGCACTGTATCCCGGCGAGAGAGGCATATCTCCAAATGAAAGCACGGATTGGAGGAAGTTGAAAAAGGAAGGACAAGCGCCTATAATAGAGAAAGTACGGCAATAGGGATTTAGCAGCTGAGCATGCACCCCCCCCCCCCCCCCCCCCCCCGAGCAAAACAGACCTGGCAGGTGTATTATTATCGTGCCCTGAACATACAAAATACGTTTTTTTAGCGATCAATCGCAAGGGTGTCCTAGGCTAGGTACGGTACTTTCTGAGCACTGCTTACGGGCGTTGTCAAATAGCTTCACTGCGGTCCTGGCAGCCTTGCTCAAGTTGGTCATGCCACCCGCCACCAAGTTGTCGATCGCCGTCTTGAGGCCTTGCTTGGGGATCTTGCCGATTGGCTGAAGCTTGTACTTGACGGTGGCATCATGGTTGAACAGGACCAGGCCAAACGAGTCACTGTGAAATGGAAATATTGCATGCAGGTGCAGTCACAGCAGCATACCAATACCGATAACTGTTAGACGTGCTGTGTATCCAAAAGACCTCACCTTCTCCAAGAAGGGAGAATAGTGGATCCAAGTGTCCAACTGTTAGCAGTGGATTTCGCATACGCTTGCAGGGTAAAGGCCAGTTTGAGCATGCGCAGCAATGATGATGACAACGATGTGCTCAATAGGGCTTGAAAGTGATGACGTCAAAACGGCCAGGGAGTAGTAAGTTGACATCAGATTTCTATTTTGGATCCACTAAGGTGTGACTTTGCTATTGCCTCAGTATGTGGGTACATAGCAACCCACTCATGTCGTATGCAGGGGTGACTTTCACTTCGCCACCAGTTGTAACCCCGCCCCCAGTAGCCAAATCAGTCGGTTTCACTGGCTACATCACCTTGCTGTGAGTAAGACGGCTTGAAATGTGCTTGGATCCATACTTGGATCCAGTTTTTGAATTTTTGAAATTGTTGCTATGCTGTGACGTAGCACTTTCAAGCCCTATACAGTCACTACACAAAGATGAAAGAAATCTTTTTTTTCCCTTTCCCTAGTGTAGAGCCCCCCACTGCACCATTCCATGACAGGACAGTGTTACTACTCAATACGTCCACAACCTCCCCCCCCCCCCCCCCCCCCCCCCGCGTGAGATCCTGCTGGGTGGTGCGACTAGCCGGTACGAAAAACATGAAATCATGCATTCGCGACTCTCCCATCCCAGCCACGAGTGATCGTGTACAATATGCCATGGATAAGCATAAGCGGTAGCAAGAGTACATACCCACTGTTTAATATGTACTCTTGCTACCGGTACGATAAGTGCTTGCTTTTCCCTACTGTACTGCACTCGTATGTGTATGCTCCCACTATGCAATTTTTTGTCTTTGCATGTGAGCTGTGATCATTGTACAAGTAGAAAAGGAAAATGGCAATAAATAAGATAAATTATGCACTCATAACAACAGCAAAAATGAAGAAAGTCAAGTTCCATAACGTTTTCTTGTGACTGTCATCAGTGGAACGCCGTCACATATAAATGTAATAACTAAAACACACACTTATATACATGTAGCTAATATGGTTTCAGGTAGAAATACAGCAGCTTACAAGTACGAAAAGCGAAGTTTGCACCTTTGCAATGTGTGAATATAGTGTATGTGAGAAAGGTAGTGGCAGATGAATGTGATACTGTGTGATACATTCATTCACACAGTATCACATTCATCTGCCACTACCTTTCTCACATACACTATATTCACACATTGCAAAGGTGCAAACTTCGCTTTTCGTACTTGTAAGCTGCTGTATTTCTACCTGAAACCATATTAGCTACATGTATATAAGTGTGTGTTTTAGTTATTACATTTTTATGTGACGGCGTTCCACTGATGACAGTCACAAGAAAACGTTATGGAACTTGACTTTCTTCATTTTTGCTGTTGTTATGAGTGCACAATTTATCTTATTTATTGCCATTTTACGACTATTGTCTCCTCGTCGATTGTTTAGAAAAGGAAAAAGAAGAAAATTCAGCCCAGAAAAAGTCATTGCGGCATATATTACCGGATGGTCAAACGAACGGTGATCTACAGGGTAGATGTATAGTATTTCACGACAAACAATCTGCCGGGGTGCGGGCTTATACTCAGGAAAATACGGGAATTGCAACCGGCACGGCTATTATGAAAAGCAGTCATGTCCCGATCACCACCCGAAGGCCCTGCTGAAGTACTAACCCTTTCCTGAGCTGGGCAACAATGCTGTGCAGACACTTCTTGGCCGCGGCCATCTTGCTATTACCAGCCTGCTGGTTAAACATTGAAAGTCCTGACTCATTGCTCATCGCAGTGCTCATAGAGCCGCTGATGTCTAGAACTGCACACCAGCAAGCACACAATCCGCACACAATCAAGCATACATGGCATTTTTCCAACACACATGGAACCTGCGGCATATCTCTCGCTTGCATACGATAAGCCAAACTCGCCAATTGTATGATACAGTACAACGTTACGTTGCCATAGCGACCAGCGCAGTGATGACTTGCGATCGGCTTAGCTCCGCCAGAGAGAAAGTCGATCACTGCATAATTATATCATTATCAATTGTTATTATTATATTAATGATGTGAATTCATGATTCATGATGTCAATGGTGTTAGTGCCGTGAACTGTTTATTAGCAGTCCTCTCCGTTGTGTACTGGGACGTGACACCGACAGGAGAAAGCTGGAGTGCGGAGACATCAGCAGACAAGCGAAAAAGTGACGAACGAAGTCACGCAGAAATCTTGGTTGGGACAAATCAGACGTTCAGCATTTACCCCAACCAAGGACCATGCCGTTTGCTCTTTTCACTTCCTGAAGATGGATGTGATGCTTGCTGACGATTCTCCTAGCTTTTGTAACATCTTCTGAAGCCAGGTGAGACAACGAGTGGTGGAGATTGACGAACGACATATTAAATGCACTTTTTCGAAAGTTTGCTGAAAATTTCTAAGGAGAGATGGCATATACCAAGCATCTTCTCCTAGAGGAACCATTTCCTAGGCTACAGTCAGCCTCCGGAAATGCAGGAGAAGGCCGATAAAGAGTTCAGGGCACTAACAGCATTGAACACAGCACTTCTTTCACATCGTGAATACAACAAGACTATTGAAAATGACACAGTTCTGCAGTGATCGACCTTCTCTCTGGCGGAGCTAAGCTGATCCTACGCCATCACTGCGCTAGTCACTATGGCAATATCAAATTGTTCCGAGTCACACTAACTGTGACCCGCGTCACAGGCGCTCCTATCCCAACTGACCACGGGGCCACAGCAAATAGCAACATGGCATGCTTTGGGCGGACGACTCCAGCACAACCACTGCCCGTGACTAACTGTTACAATCTACTATGGGACCGGCGCCGGGAAGCAGTTTCGGATTGGTCCGGCCATACTGGCCTAGCCTTTCATACTACTGTGTGTAGGACATGACGGGTAGGTAGCCGGGCATGACGGGTAGGTAGCCGGGCATGACGGGTAGGTAGCCGGGCATGACCTCATCACCAGTCACAGTAAACACATGTCGGGGGGGGGGGGGGGCCGGGGGGCAAACAGTTGGTCCGGCAGCCATGGCTTGACCAAGCGGACCGGTTCCGCCGGTCCTGTGTAACTACATGCACATGCACTTACCAATGACAAGGTTGACGTCAGGCCGACCGTGCTTCTCCATTCCTTTGCCATCGAACATGGAGTTGAGATTCATGCCCAGCCAGTGCTCCGCCTTGGTGGTGACCGGGTTGCACAGCTGGCCGGCAACGAATCGCGGCTCAAAGGCAACGGGCGGCCTCTTGCCGGTGGGAAAGGCGTACGAGTAGAACATGTTCTCATAGTTCTGTGAGCACACGGCAGAAGAACGCACAGATCACGGCACAGTCACCAGCGCACTGAGGTTCGACTGGCGTGTGTACAGCATGCTAGCAGTGTGCGGCATGCGATCCAAAACAATTCCAGGCGCTTGTGACTCACAACATACATGTACAGGAAAACCTGGTTTTTAAAAGCGACCACCCCACGGTGCAACCACCCCACGGTGCACCCCACGGTGCACCCCACGGTGCAAGCAAACGCGGTCGTTAATATAAAGCCAGGTGGTCTTTACTGAGAACCAGGTCCCACAGTATCTGTGTAGAACTGTCGGTGCATGGGGAAACTGTCGTTACGAGCAGGTGGTCGCTAAACACAGAGGTCTGAAGAGCAGGTGGTCGCTAAACACAGAGGTCTTAAGAGCAGGTGGTCGCTAAACACAGAGGTCTTAAGAGCAGGTGGTCGCTAAACACAGAGGTCGCTTACACCAGGTTTTACTGTGCTTGTAAGTACGTGCACTGCCCTCACTGGGACAGGGGACGCTGGAAACCAGATATGTAGCACCAGGGAGTGGTAATTTAACTACTCCTTGGTAGCATAGCCCGCCAGAACAGTGTACCGAGTCCGGCTTGCGGGGCCGGGGCCCACGATGGCCTGCGCACTTTCTGTCTCAGTTCGGGGCTTGAGATGCGTCCAAAACTGGCCTCACCGCACGCATACGACTCCATCATGAGTCAATGTTAGGTGCTATAGTCTCCGGGGCGGCGTGTTTCATTCTGTATTGTTGGGGGGGGGGGGGGGGGCTGGGTACTGGGTGGTGTCCTGAGCACTGCAATCTACATGTACTTCCCATGGACCGTTCTGCCGGGATTCTACAGCGCATGAAAACTCTTCCAAGTGAAGGGTATCGTGTTCTACTACTCAAAGTAGGAACACTTCGTACTCGTAACTGCCCGCTTCACATGTTATACTCTCTTGGTAAGTTTCAGTGACTAGCGATGCCACACTGCCACAAATCTGACACTAGGCCCAGACAGATCCTGCCGGCAATTCTTTCGGCAAAATATCGAAGAATTGAAAGAGCGGAAATTGCCGGCAAAATTTGAGCAAAGTATCGAGATGCTGGGTAACATCGATGCCTGATGCTTGGATTTCCTTGTTTCTTACCCGTTCAGCAGGATACACTGCCCAGGACGAGATCATGCCACCGAAATATCACTGGGATTCACTGTGGATCGACATAATTTTGGAAGAACTCAGGGACACGTGCGTGGAAACCCGTGTTGAGAAACCGACCCTGCAATTTTTATGAAACGTTGTAAGGGATTGTACGGGAAGAGGATAAAATACACGTTTTCCGGAGCAAAATGGAGCAAAATATCGAGTTTCTTGTGCCACCGGGCTCGGCAAAATATCGAAGATTTCGCAGCAACATTTTGCGGCAAAATATCGAGGCGAGCAGAGCAGAATCTATCTGGACCTATCTGACACAGACGACAGAGCAAGGCCAGACCGTATAGACCGGACTTGAAAGTTGAAGCTAACGAGTGACGTGTCGTGGAGTCGAGTGGGCTCGACTGTAACCAGGTTGTGTACTGGGCATGGCTATAGGGCCACACACATGTGTGTGGACAATAACGGTAACAAAAGTCAAGTGGCCAGCGAAGTGCGGACAAGCCGTCCTCGGGTACAGTGCTACAACTCTTTGTGCAACTATGACACACGTACACACACACACACACACACACACACACACACACACACACACACACACACACACGCGCACGCACACACAAACACACACGTGCGCGCATACACATGCGTGCGTGCAGCCAAGGATGATTCTTCGGCGGTGTTTGTAGCCGTCGTCGTGAGGCCAACATCAAATGCCTAAAACTTCATTGGGCACTGGGCCACAGTCGTACATACAGTGCTCGACCTACTAGTACTACTACCAATGGCAAAGAGTTCATAAAGCTGACGTCATTGCCACTGGTGCAGTCATGCAAAGTAGAGTTTGCACGTCCGCGTTACCACCGGCTATACAATTGCGTTGAGAAACACAACCAGCTGAGGAAGTTTCGCTTGTGCCAGGCCACCACCATGCCTGTGATACCAGGGTGGCAGATGCCGCTCCGTAACGGCGAGAGTGAGCCGTGGTATTCTCGTCTGGTACATGTACAATAATATGTGCTAGTGCTAGAAGTGCAGTACTGCCAGTAGTACTTACTAAGTAAGATGTCACTGCTCCACCACCTGCACCACTGCCAGCTGCCGAGCTATAACTAGCAGGTGAGCCGGGTAGTCTACGAACAGCGCCACCTGGTCCAAGTCCTCTTCCGGGGCCCCCACGCCGCCGAACACCGCCGCCTTTCGCTAGTCCTTTACCGCCTGCCGATCCGTGATCCACCTTCTGTCGGCCGGTCATGAACGAGCGGAACTGCGCCGCGCTTGACGCCTGCTGAAGGCGCCGGGGCGCCTTTCCGCCGGTCGACTTCCGCGCAGTTTGCTTCGTGCGTGCCATTTCTGTTCTTCACTGATCCGGCGTGTTTGTCCTGCCTGCTGTCTCCCAGTGGTTCAATGACACTACAGCTGCTGAGTACTCACTGATTTAGAATCCTGTATCCCGAGTACTGAACGGTGACTGCGGAGGGGAATGTGATATCGCAATCCCAACAGGAGAGCTTGTGTGGCGGGTAGCGTGCGCGCTAGAAACAGCACTAGCTGCAAACAAGTCCGATTTTTCTGGCTCAAAAGTCAACCAGGTCAAGTAATACTAATAGTTGTGGACCGCGTACAGCTGGCTGCTTGTTTTGAAAGCTGCCAGTAAGTAAAGTTGTAGTCCCTCTACTAGCTCTAGGCAGTGTCCTGCACGGCTTGTAGTGGTGCCTACAACAGGAAAATTTTGGCTATCCTCACAAATCCTGTGCTGCAAAACGGTCACAAGTAACAGTTACGAGGACTTGGCTTGTTGAGAACTTCTCTGAGTTCTCAGTCGTGAGAAAGTAAAAAATCGCATCGGGTTGCACTTCGCTGGCTGGTACTAGATACTGGTAGTACTAGTAGTGGTAAAGCCGTAGATCTACATGGTCTGGCTCCGGCCTGGGCGGATCCCGAATGAGCAGTCTGCTGGCTACTGCCTTGTGAAGTAATACTACTAGTACTACCGGTAGTTGTGTCTGATCAGTGATCAACCTCGTCTGGATCATGGACTGGAGCCCGCGCAAGCTGGATGTAGTAAGTAAAAAATTATTGTGTGACTTGTCTACTACTACTACTAGTACCAAGAGTCCATAACCCAAGAGTATGCAACTGTGATTATGGGTGCATGCGTGGCGCGCTGCCTTCATTACGTAACTTATCTTCATCACGCTCTGAAAGCATGCATTCAAACTCACAATTTCTCGTACGAGCCCATCTGTTTTTGCTCGATTCGTTCCAGTACCTACGCGATCTCTAAATTCTGGCGCGTGAACTCCAGTTCCGTACGAAAGTTCATTTCAAACCAGAGGAAAAGTGCGGTGTTTGATTTTCCGCAGTGCGCGGACTGCAGCTGAATGATGTAATGAAGGCAGCGCGCCGCGCGGTTGGCCCATAGAAAAGAGATCACAGTTGCATACTCTTGGGTTATGGACTCTTGCTAGTACTACAGTACAGTGGCACATGGTCTACCATAGGCATATGGCCATGTGTAGCTACAGCCTACTCGAGGTAGATCTACAAAATATGCCGGATCATGATGCACACGATCAGCTGAGTCTGAGCTAGCTCAGCAGATCAGCTGACACACCAAAATGAAATCGCGTGACCAGGTGACTCAACATGCCAAAAAAGCTGACCCACACAAAAAATGAATAAAAAAAGCTGCTGTGACACAGTGACGTCACGGACAGAAGCAGTGTCATCAACTAATACTTGTCACATCAGGAAGTCGACTCCTAGGCCATCCCTTCGGCCATGGCATAAGTAGGCGCTAGGCATTAGGCTGTGTTTACATGAGAAATAAAATTTAACCCTTTAAGAGCCGCCCCATACTTGAATGCGTCGTAAACGACGCATTCAAATGCAAAACTTCAAAAGATCGTAACTCAGTCTAATCTCGCTCAAATCCATCGATCGAAATATCCAGGGCGAAGAGAAAACTCTCACCTGTCGGGAGAAACAATCCGCAAAGCGCTGCGAGCAACGGTTCCCGAGATAAATCACTCGTAAGTTGAGCCGCGATCGCGGCAATTTCAAAAGCGCGCAGTGCAACTTTAGTATTGAGATTTTTGAGACTTTTCGTCACGCTGGTTTACTCGAATTTGCACGGGTTTCACTGTTGATATTGTCAAGGGTACACAGCAAAAAAATTGGAACTCCACGATCGAGTAGAATGAAATAACTGGAGCGGGACGCAATTGGACGCATTTGGGGCATTTTTCGTACTGTCGCTGCGATCTAGCGCTGGATAGACGGTGTGCTGGCTATCATGATCGACCTCATTCTCTTCCTCTCGCGAATACCTTTCCAGGAAGCCCTAGATTGTGAGGATTGAGTGAGTAGAACTGAAGCTATGATCCGAGGAACATGAAAAAATGCAGATTTTTGAAAATTTCCTGTGGCTCTTAAAGGGTTAATTTCAACCCGGGTCGAGTTCAGCCCGGGTTGAAAGTCTGTACGATAGACAAAATAGGTGAGCGTTTACATGAAGACAGTTGACCCGGGTCAAATACTGATACGCCGCCAAAAGTCCACTTCTAAAGTCCTGTATGGTCAAGTGAATCCGTTCGCGCGAAAATTGCATGTGCAGTGCTGTTCAAACCTGGCGTGAGATATGCACAGAAGTACATTTGTACGATTTTCTTGACCCGGGTTGATTTCAACCCTCCCCTTGGGGGGAGGGGGGCGAAATTTCAACCCGGGTCAAGCGCAATGCGTCATGTAAACGCGCCATTCATTTTGTGCACATGGCGGGTTAAAATTTGACCCGGGTTGAAACGCCTCATGTAAACACAGCCTCAGAGAGGTTCTGGAAAACAAAAATGCGTACAAACTTTCGCTCTACGTCATGAAGCGAGAAACTTCGCACTAACTTTCGCAGCTGTGGACACGAAATGAACTTCCGTGGGAAATTTCGTGAGATCGGGTCATGGCGTACGTGCACTTGGCTTGGCGCGTGCAAACTACGAAAATGTGCAGAACACAAAGTTCGTGTGAAAATTCGTGCACATTTCGCGAGGCCCGTCACGAACCTTCGTAGGAATTTTCGTTTTGCAGAACCTCTCTATTAGTGGCCCGAGCGTCACCTCTGCCAACGGATGGCAACAGTACATAAGGGTTGGATCGCAGAAGCCAAATCGGCAGGTTGGCCAGCTCCTGGTCAGCCCCGATGTCAAAGGAGATCATGTGCACACGGTTCGAGTACCTCTGTAGTACCAAATCTACCACTGTAAACTGACCAATATTCCTGTCACTAAATTTTCGCGATGTCTTTTAACCAGCGAGTTTGCGGTGGCAAAAGTTCGCAAAGCACAGGGGCCACTTACATACACCCACTGTTGAAGTTATAGAGTTCACGATGGTTAATATTCGCGTTACTCTCTTCTTGCGAAAATAGCAAACATTTAATCCGTCGTGGATATTGGGCAGTTGACAGTACGGTAAAATCCCGCCAGAGCGCCCCTACCTCCTCGACGCTTCAAGTGGGGAGGGGCGGATGGGCGAGTCCTACTTGCCGCATGCAGTGCTACATGAAAAAGTACTCACCCTACGAAATCTGTTCGTGCATCTCGTATGCCGACCAAAGGTCAAGAGCCAGGAGTCGTACAGACCCGACAAAACGCAGGGTTTGTGCAATCCCTGGTCAAGAGGGTGGGCACTGTTGCGTACATTTCCAACGGGGTTGAGCACGCGTCTGCAGTACAGTACGGCATCACAGACTGCAACAGAGTCATACGAGGATACAATCAATCACGTCCCTGACAAGAAGTCAGGGCCTAGGGAGGGGCAGATGGGAGAGACGGGGCGCTCTGGCGGGATTTTACGGTACTTGAAGTCTAGTAATATCAAGAGCAGATAAACAAGAGTGTGCAACTCCGGATCTCTTCTGCACAATCTGCAGATACCCCTGCCCGTGGCGGAATTTTTTGTTGACGTCACCTTTTTTCAAGAAAAACGCGCATTTTGCTGCAGAGCAGGGTGAAAGCACGTGCTGGGCACCGACCTTGTAATGTAAAGCCCGGTCAAGTGCACGAGGCAAAACTTTCCAAAGGACTTGCAGGGCGTGCGTCTTCGAAAAGGTTAGGTCAACAAAAATTTCCGCCGCGGGCCAACCCATCCCGAAGTTGCACACTCTTGTTTATCTACTCTTGATATTATCAAGAGTACATAACCAAGAGTGTGCAACTCCTATCTCGAGCTGCGATGGGTTCACCCACGGCGGAATTTTTTTATTGCGTCATTCTTTGGCTGAAGTATGATCAAGTGCGTATGCTTTCCCGCGCATTTTTTGTAGATACGGTGAGAGTTCGCCAGGTTCAGGACACATCGATCTATCGTCCGTTGTTCTGCTTCGACTACCGTAGCTGTGATGTACAAATTCTGTGTACTTTGATCTCTGGCTACGCATGATGGCATCAGCAAGCCAAACAGCCGCCAAAGACTGATGTCATAAACAAATTCCGGCGTGGGGCTGGGGGATCGTTGAGTTGCACACTCTTGGTTATGTACTCTTGATATTATGTACTGTAAAGCGAGAAGCATTCGCGGCGTGCAAATAATTTCACCTTTTCAAACATACATGACCCAGTTGTGGCAAGTGAAATCCGACACTTAGCATAAGGGACTGCACCATGCAGTCTGCAGCCCTGCATACGTAGTACAAGTGTTACATACAACTTTATCTGTCTCATGACAGAACTCGTACTCGTAGATCTACTCATCACAGTCAAGGTTCACAGTCAAGTTTCAAAAGGTGCTGGCAAAAATGAATGAGCACTGGATACCAATACTCCTTATGTGTACCATGTTTGTGAACTGTGTGTATCTACTAACTGAATGAGTACTTTGTCGTTGAGCGTGATTGCCTCCAGGATCTGCTACTGTGCTATTAGGGAGGTTCTGCTCTACGTTTTGGGAACGCGACGCAAAGAATCACGCGAACTTTCTTCGCGTTCCCGTAACGTAAAGAAATGCTGTTCTGCTCTACGTTTCACCTAGAGAAGTCACGTGGAATGTGTACTGGGAATTTCCCCTTCCATATTTGGCAGTTTTCTGCATGCAGTTGATCGATACCCAGCAAATCCGTACGCATTTTCTCTGCGTGTGCCACAACGTAGAGAACCCCATCTCCGCGTAGAAATCTGGAGCCAAAACACGCGAAGCCGTAGACTCTAACCCAGACACCTGCTCTCTACGTGATTTCTCTACGTTTCACGTATAGCAGAACCTCCCTACTGTGCTACTACACCGGGAGTTGATAGAGCACTTATCACTATGTCCAAGAGTACATAACCCCCACTCTTGCTAAGTCTCAGGGGTCGACCGGTCCAACTCCCTATTGTTGTATAATACTATCAAGAGAACATAAAATGTACTCTTGATACTATTAATACTATTATTAATTTTATGGCACCGTGCGTTTGACATGCAATGACTATTGACTATTGTACATGTATGCGGTATACATGTACCATGACGCACACGCAGACACATGCCACTATTGGCAGTATACTGTATACATGTAATGGAATGGCTTTTATGAACCGGTACGGTACGACTACACTGTAGAGTGTAGTACAGTCATAGATATTAGTAGTAGGCACTTCAGGCGGTTTTTTCAAAACCAGAAATACTCGTATTTCTTTCTTGTATCCGATTCAGATAGGTTTAGGAAGACTCCACAGAAAATTTGAAGCAAAAAGAATAACTTCAGGGCTCACAGTCCAATACAAAAGCGTGGAGTCGCGCACGGCTTTGCGCGGATGTCACGTGATGACAACTGACCAATCACAGGCCTCTATTCTCCTCTATTCTCAAATCTTTGATCTTGTCCACTACATCGGCCCTGATGTCCACGAAGCTGGGATTCGCTGTGCTGATTCAAAACCCCCAAACTCAGTGATCTACCGCAGCGTTTCACCATTTTCCCTCCAGTTTTCCGGCACAGATTAGCCAAAGTCTGGTCGTTTTGGCTTCGATTTCGGCACAGCAAACGGAAAAGTGATCGGTAAATGTCTGGAGAATTCCACGCTGAAAAAAATAAGCCATAGATGATCAAAATCCGCCAAGAATGAGATGTAGTGGACATTTTTGAGTGAGTGCCACTCAGCGCGCAGAACGCCAAAAGTGCAAAAGCAGCACCAGATCAAACAACAAGAAAAACGCATGCATGCAGCGGAACAGCAACGCGCGCCGTCCAACAGAAAATCATTGCGCACAGATTTTTCAGTGTTCTCTCCTCAGTTCGCCCGCGGAGTTGGTTGCTGTGCTTTCGTTCTCGCTGGAGTTCTTGTGGCAGCGCATTTCGCCATCATGGAGGAACTGGTACCTCTGGAAACCTGGCCTTTAGTGGCCCTCAACTAACGCCTGGCGGATTTGCTGGTCCCGTTCGCCTCCATCCGATCAGCAGCTCCGTGTTGTATGTTCTCGGCGTTACCTGCCTGGCGAGCTCTGACTCGTTTGTTTGTCTTCTTACCTGTGGAATATCGCGATCGCTCATTGTAGCATCAGCATTTGGTCGAACAGCGGCTACATGACATGAATTTCCTGGGACTAGCACAGGTTGCCTTTCGCCTTCTCCTTCGGTGGACCAATTCTACAAGGCACAGTGAAAGGCAAGTCGTTGCCGAGGGCTGGCAGTAACTGTTCAGTGTTGCAGTGCAATTCCCAGTGAAAATAATAAAGCAAACTATTTCCACTGGAGTATGCACGATCGTAAAAGCACAAGATCGAGACGAACGGAAACGAGAATGGTTTGACACTGCATGCCAAGAGAAGCGAGGAAAGGACAGGTCCGACCAAAATATCGCGAACATCGGCTCTATAGATCTACAAGACAAGAACAGGCTACTCAAGCCCAGGTTCTTTCTCTTTACTTCTTTGTTCTGTTGGGATGCGTAGGATGTACACGATCTGTGCTCTCGTGGGGTCACGCGACTCACGTGCACCAAACCCGCCCTCGCACGACGCTTTTGTCGATCCTGCATACCGACTGTGAGCCCTGAACTTGGCACAGAGATATAGCCATCCAAAGTCGGAGAATTGAATAACGGCAATTTCAGTATTTCGACGGCACCAGCAGCATATCAGAAATTGGTAGGACTTGCTTCAGTGTCTATAGTGGCAAAATACCAGGCTCGCTCGAAGCAGGTCAAAATAACCAGATGAATGCAGAAACAGCATGGTTTGGAAAAACTTCGCATTTTTCATCCGTCCGGCAGCTCAGACGAAGATATCGGGTGTGGTCACCATGGCAACTCCATAGCAACTCCATCGCAACAGCATGAAAACAGTGCAGAGAAGCCTTTGGAAAAGCATAAGATGAGACTTTGAGGTAAGATAAAGTAACTACAATAATTCAGTGCCAGAACACATTGTTGCTACATGTACAGTACTGACGTGGTGATGAGTACAGAAGAACAATGAGCCACAGACGGAGCAAACTAGAATTTTACAGAGTATTTGACGGAAAGAAATGACAAACTATTACATGTAGAACATCGTTTGCAAATGTTTGGGACTACTGAAACTTCAGCAACTCCAGCATGAGAGATTTTGTGCATAGAGTGTGTGCTGGATTCTTGGTATTATATCACCGTCAATGCTTTTCTTGGTTGCTGGAAGCCACCTGCTGATCAGCTGACGATTTGTTCCAAGCAGGCCGTTTTGATGTCAGCTCTCTTGGTCCAGTCGCCGAAGTATATACTGTCCTACTCGTTGCCTGCAGGAGAGGACGACTGCTCCGATGCGACTCCAATAATACCTGGCAATATTAATTTTTCTTCTTGCGCAGCCATGCGCATGGGCTCCGACGAACAAGGACTACTGCCGGGAGGACGCCTGCCGCGGCTCGCTTTTAATAACACCTCGCATTATTTCTTCTTGCGCAGCAATGCGCAAAGTGTTGGACAAACGAGGACAACTGATTCCGAAAGGAAATACGACGCTGAAGACGATGAGCTACATGGCAAATGCGTGCAATCAAGTGAAATGCCCGAAAAATCCTTGCCGATTTTACTCGAACTGTACGTGAGTTCAAAAAATTGCCGCATCATGACGTATGTGGGCTCAAACGAAAGCTGAGGGCCTCAGCTACACGCTGCGCCACACGAGAAGGCCCTGCGCAGATTCCGTGCAGCTACAGATCGATCTATGCATGCGCCTTTCCGTGGTGCCACGCATGTACGCGATTCAGCGTTAGCACTTTTTGACAGGTCGTGTCACGTGACTGAAGTGCCTATTAGTAGTATTGGTATGCAGCGAACTACAAAAATTATTTTTTTCTCATGGTTTTGATGACGAAATAATTGTGACATCACCCATCGATCATCGCCCACATCACCCACGTCATTGTGCAGTCGATCGAGCCATTCACGCAGTCACTACTCGCATACTAGTGCACTGGAGATCTACTGCACATGTGCACAGGTCACCTGCGCTGCATCGATCCTCGAGACCTCGACTCGAGTCCCGTGTGCTCTTTGCCGTCGCCTTTGCCTTCGACTTCTTTGGCTTGGCTTGGGCCAAAGTCTGAACTAACTTGTTTTGCTTGCTGAGAGATCTGGAGATCCAGGAATCTAGTTGTGTGCCTGGCCCTGTTGCTGTGCCGGGCCTACGTGAGTACGTGTTATAAGTGTAGTTAGTACAGGTATATCTGCCTCGATAGCTGTCGTAGTGTGGTAGAAGGCAACCATCAATCTGTGGAAGTAACAAGTATTAGTTTAAGTTTACAGTACACTAAAAATCATTCAATTTTTGAATTATTTGTCAGAAATGCCTGCTTTTCCTGAGCAGCAGGAGGTACCGGTATGTCTAAAGACAGCAAAGTCAGCTTCAGCGAGCAGTCATCCTCGGCCAAGAGAAAGGTCTACGCTCTCCGCGTAGCAGAGCTTCAGGGATTTTTGCAGTCTTGCAATTTGAACAAAAACGGCAAAAAGGATGAACTTCGTCAAAGGGCTTTGACCTTCATCAACAATGCCATTCAGAGTGGGTCTTTTCTGCCAGTATCGGCCAAGCTTGACCTATATTACCAAAAGCGGTTTCCGCAAGCGGCAACACTGCCAACAGCAGTACCTCGCCATGGTCCTGGGGGTGTACAGAAGCAATTGGCGTCGAGTTCGAATTCTGCCGTAGATGTTCAATTCAAGGCACTGCCATTTCATGAAAAGCTGGAGACTCTCTTGAAGCCCATTCTGCTGCCTTCGTTTGACAGTAGAGCAAGCATGGCTCCTCGAAATATGGAGCTTGAGTGCAGGCTGACTCCGCAGCAGGGTGCTCGCGTGGAAGAAGGCCGTCGCACGGTTCCATCAGTGTACGGACCTGGCCACAAGAGCGACCTTCACTTCACCGTGGAGGTGCTGGTCCGGTTTGCTGCATGTGAGCTGAGCTGTACGCAGGACGATCAGTACCCGCCCAAGTGCCAGCTCAGCGTCAATGGACGGACCGTGATCATGCCGGGTTATCAGATGGCCAAGCCGTCCGGCGAGATGAAAAAGCATGGTCAGCCGGTGGAGATAACTGCCAACATGCTACTCAGCGGCAGGAACAAGATACAACTCGTGTGCTCTCCCGTGCCAGAGATCACGCGCAAGTATGTTGTCACTGTGGAGCTTTGCTTGAAGCGCTCATCGGCCGAGCTGCTGCAGCAGGTATGTCAGCGTGTCCGCAGTGCAGACATGTGCCGTGCGCTCATCAAAGATAAGCTGACTGGCGGTGGCGATGCAGAGATTGCAACCACCAGCTTGCGCAGTTCGCTGAAGTGCCCGCTGGGAAAGACGCGGCTCGTCTATCCCGGCCGCTCGATGAACTGTAAGCATGTCAACTGCTTTGACATGGCCAATTTCCTGCAGATGAATGAGAAGAAAGCCCGCTGGGTGTGTCCAATTTGTGACTGCCTAGCCATTTTTGACAGCCTTATGATCGACGGACTGATGAAGGAGGTGCTGGATAAGTGCCCGTCGTCAGTCGACCATATCGAGTACATGGCGGACGGTACGTGGACGCCGTACAACCCTCGTGATGCCAACCAGCGTAGGGCGACGGGCGGCCCGGCATCCTGTGCGACCAATGCTGTTGGCAGTGCAGCAGTGTCTACAGTGTCTGATGATATTGTCCCTGTTGTGTTTGACCTGTCAGACAGCTGCCATAGCTTGGAGCCGTGCGAGCAAGAGCAAGAGGCAGGCGGTGATGGCCGCGCAGCCGCAGCAGGGCCAGACGTTATTGATCTGACTATGGACACCGACTCAGACGATGATGACAGTGCTGCTGCTGCTGGTAGTGGTGGTGCCGGTGCTGCTGCTGCTGCTGCTGCTGGTGGTGGTGGTGGTGGACATGGTATGTTGAGTGCTACCGGTGGTAGTGCCACTACTGCTGATGAAGCAATGGCGACAGAAACAGCGGCAATGTCAGGTCCGGGGTCGCGCGACAGTAGTATTGCCAAGGGAACTACTGGCATGTCGGCAGCGCCGATTGGTAAGCGGTCCGACACGCTGGACAGCATATCGTCAGCTCAGTCGACTAACGTGGAGACAGGCTTGGTACTGGGCAGTGAGGCTGATCTGAGTGCGTATACTGGTGCTGGCCTGAGTGTCTGCCCTCCACTATCCTCCTTGACTCCATCCATATTAGGAATCGGACCGGTACCTTCTTCGTCAGCAACAGCGTATCCGTACCCCACTGATCCATCGAGCTATACCCCCTTTATGGATCAGCCCTGGCCCGAGCAGCCTTACTACCATAGCAGTAGTAGAACTACAGGGCCGTCGACTAGAAATGCACTGCTGCCTGCCAACGAAACGGGCATGTGGCATTACGACCATGGCTTGGACGCCACCACCATGAGTTCTCTGCCAGCGGATGTGGATACTAGTAGCGGTGGAAATGTTGCCGCCGCCGGCGGTGGCAGTCAGAGCATTGTTCACTCGTTTGACACGCCACCCGCTTACAGTCCCTTGCCACTACCCTCGCAGCAGCAGTACAACTATGGTGGACCGTTCGGAGCACCCCCTGCGTATTCTCCCGTCTATATGCCTTCTCTGGACCGGCGCTCATCGGCTGCTGCAGCAGCAGCAGCTCCGGCCTGTTCGTCTCCAACTCAGCCGTATCCTGTCCTTTACCCGCAGGAGGAATCTACTCGTAGAACTACACGTGCTGATTCATCCTCCTCCTATTTGTAGCATCAACACTAAGCTAAGCAGTTCCTCTCCATGGCTGCTGACAGCTCTGGTCCAGACCAAAAGAAATTACTTGTGAATTTGTATAGAAACAACAAAAGAACAGCACGAAAACTGGCTCCATCCGAAATCTTGATTACTGTAAGGTCTGCTTCGCTGCTACTGCCGGGTAATAGTTTCTATCATTATTCTTCAATCCGACTGCATAGTGCATCCCATCCAAGCAACAAGTAATATAAACGGCACTATTCGCCTACAGCATAACAAGCATAAAACCGCGCATGATATTATATATTCACTAGCAGTACAAAACGTGCCTGCTGTAGCGCCATCGTCCGGGAAGCACAGCCCGCCATCATTTTCATGGTCACTCTGCGCCGCTGCTGCGTGTGCTGTACGTCGTGCACCACACAGTATTCTAGGTGTGTGCGTACACCGGTGTGCAATATATCTGTTGAGGCTTTTTCTTTTTTATATCATCCTTAGGCACTCTGTTTTGACTTGCTCGTTTTGAAAATGAATATTTAAGTACGTATCATGTTACGTGCCAGTGCTCGCTTCGTACCCTGCGTGTCAGTCTTGAACATACGGTACATTTCTTCGGGCTTGCGCCGCTACTTTAGATTTCGTCTCTGTGTTTTGTCCCTCGTTCCTTCTTCTTTTGAGTTCAGCAGTTTCATCATTACCTCTCTGTCTGGTGTATTGTTTTTTTTTATATGTATCCGTACGTCCTTCAATTGTGTGGTTTTTAATCCGTTGAAGCAATGCTTTCACAGTCTGCTGTGTACCTACTGTGGGCTGTGAGCATGTCCAAAGCATGCGCGCGTGATAAGTTGTATTGAGACACATGCATTGTTTGTGGTTGATGCCCTCAGTGTAAATGGACACAGTTGAAAAAGAAGAAAAAAAGAAGGAAAAAAAAACAAAACAAAAAAAGGAAAAAAATAAAATAAAAAGAGTGGTCTTGGGCAGTCATCACCGCGTACCGTGACTCGTCACGTCGGTAGTTTTTTGGCAACCACTAGTACAGAATACATTTCCTACAAATTGATACCGTGTTCCCTGCCACTTGCATTGCCAGGCATTGCGATTGTGGTAAGAAGCAAAAAAAGAGAGTAAAGTATCGTGTCCGTCCCCGAAGGGAACTCATGACGCTAACACCCGATAAACCCTTGTATGTAAGAAGACTATTCACACATAAATGGCTAATTATCAAAAACTGCACACTTGGCGATTTGCCTTTTCGCCGTGATAAGATAACTGCTGTGATGGTAGGGTACTCCAGAAAACAGCGTCTGTTGGCGGTCTTGCCATCATCCTCATCTCTGCTTCTGCATAAACCCCATATCAGTACTATCAAGAGTACATAACACATAACCCCGGGTTATGTACTCTTGGTACTATAATTATAGTATTATTATCAAGAGTACATATCCCAAGTTCTGCCGTCGCAGACCCCATAGCTGGAGTTGCACACTCTTGGGGGCTATGTACTCTTGTTATTATTATACTCCCATTTTTTTGGCACTTATCCCCCCCCCTGGCCCACCTTGCACTACAGCTTGGGATTTGCAACTTCTTGCGGAACACATACTACTACTGTAGTATATACTGAATATGGTCCACACTGAACTTCTTTACAGTGGGGAGGTAGTAGTAGTAGTATTCTTTTATTTTCCATCGGAAGCCTCAACAGTGATGAACACAACTCTTAAGAGGGCCGATAACAGAGTAGAGGGGTGTGGGGTGAGAAAAACAATAATAAGAGATGTTTAAACTAAACTAAACTGAGGTATATCCTTTGCGAGGCACGTCTGAACTGAATGCACCTCTGTTGTTGAATTCTACTGTATTTTTTTAGGTAATAATAACAATAGCTACAGTTCGCATGTCACTCATGGAAGGATCCATGGGCTTAACGCATCTGTCAACGAAATCCAGGCAGAAGAGCCGACAAAAGGCATCTCATTATTGTTAGAACGTATCGCAGTAAGAACAACTACGCAAGCGCAGCACATTTTTCCACGAGCATCTGTCATTTTTTTTCTTGTCTAGAGCCAGTTCAAAACAGTCAGAAATATCAATATTGGCGTGCTTTAGATCATTTTTAATATTGTCAATCCATCTGAGATGGGGTCGGCCACGTGGGCGCTTGATGTCCCGGGTATTAATTGCCATCTCCAGTGCTTGGTTTTAGGTAAAAAAAAGTTGCTAAAACATAGTAAAAAAACATAGTTTGTAACATGGAAATTGTGGGCACAAGTCATGCGATCGAGTCCACCAACCAAACCAGATTTTGAACAGTCAGACGTGCACAATCTAGCACAAAACTGACAAGGAGTAAAATAAGAATAATCTTGCCTGCTGATCGCGTAAAAGTGAAACTAATACTTGAGTCACAATGAACCTTGCTCTACCTTCAATTTCTACCTTTAAATTAATACCGGTATTTGTAGCAACGGACGATAACGATATGAAAGATGCCAACATAAAACGCACTCGCAGTAAAAATAGAAATCAGCAGTGATAAATTGCAAGTCCCTGATTCTCAGCATATACATGATGCAACTGTAAGGACAGAGTGTGCAAAACAAAAGTTTACGATGTCAGCCGAGATACCGTACTGCACACGTAGCCACAACAGGTGACTGCTGCAGACCGTCCTAGCAAAGGCACCCCCCCCCCCCCCTTCACAATCCTCTGGCACCCCTCTTCACAATCCTCTGGCGTCAAGTTTGAACGGGAAGAGAAAGTAAAGATGTTGCATGTGAAAACTTACAGCCACGACCAGCGAGCATTAGAATCAGCACACTGCACCCAAGTGCCAGCACAGCAGTGTCAAACACATAGCAGGTGATGTGCGTAGTATTACTAGCCACGGCACGAATGCAGTTAGCCAGCACTTGGCACCCACAGCAGTAACACACCACAACGCAGGTGACGCGTGTACACTGTAGTGCTAACGATGTCACTAGCCACGAAACGGATGCAATAGCCAGCATTCGGCATCCACAGCAGCAACACATAACCAACAACGCAGGTGATACGTGTACATTGTAGTGCTACTAGCCACGGTACGGATGCAATGCTCAGCACCCTGCTACTAGCCACGGCACGGATGCAATGCTCAGCACCCCGGCATCCACACGCCAGCACAGCAGTGTACATGGCAGTGCAATTAGACACATCATGGATGCTGCCCGTGCAACAGCCAACACAGGGTTCAGGATCGGTACGCAGGTGGCCGCTTCTTCCCGGGGGGGGGGGGGGGGGGTTTCAATGCATGACCCACTGCCCAGCATTAGTCCGGTACGTTATAGTCCTGTAGCGTGGTAGGTAGGGCCACTGGAGTTTCCAGGGCAACTTGTCAGCCATTTGATTCAACGTGACCAGTAAAGCACTCTGCCACAGGGCTTTCGTTGCTGCTGCTATTAACGACGATGGTGCTTGTGCTGGTGATCTAGTATCATCTGTCAGCAATAGGCGATCTTATCCTCATGTTGTCAATGTGGATGAAGTCATCGTCCCCAGCTCACCATTGACTGCATTGCCGCCCGGTGACTGGCACAGATCACACTGCGGCCAAGCATCCACAGCATGGATCCACCACACGTGGGTCAACAGTGTACATGTACATCCAATTATGACATGTACAATACAGTATGCTGACTGCCATGGTGGGAATGAGAACTGATCACGAGGACGATGCAGGCCAAAGCTGTAGTATTCAACCACCTCCGCCACACGGAAAACACTCCCGTCGCTACTCCCTTACTGAGGGTGTGGGAGATAATGGACAAGCACACAAACGCGGTCATTGATGGTGAGGTCCAATAGTTTGCCACAAACACAACCCCACGTATCAGCCTGCATCGGGTACGAATATGCGAACCATCTGCTCAGTCGACGCCGGAAGGTGTGTAACCGGGCAGTACCCATGTCGGCTGAGGTGGTTGTGTAAGCAAGTGTAACAGAAGACATAGCTGCAGAGAGAGACAGAGAGACAGAGCACAGTCATGCATGAGAGTGTACAGCAGAGAACCATGTGGTAAACAAATTCCCTGCACAATGCCGGTGGCACACAATACCACACCGAAACAACCAAAGTGCGAGTGTAGAGGAGAGACAGAAATGTTTCGTTACACTCGGCCTAATTCGTTCACAGACCCAAAGCAGCTGTGTTTTAGAGTGCCGGAAGCAAATATACAAGTACATCAAAGTACCATAGAGAGTATAACTTTGCAGCTGAGAGAGCATGTCTGGGCAGGCATATAACGTTATTCACCGCCATTTCTCCAGGTTTGCCTTTACCACCATACGGGTCGACTACTTCAAGGACTAGGTATCAGTCAATTCTCATGCATTGTAGTAGTGTGCATAGGTATAATTATAATATTACCTTCAGCCTCGTGAATATGGGCGAATATTCACTACTACATGTATACAAACCGATGCGAAGCCGAGGTTTGTATAACTAGTGAATATTCGCCCATATTCACGAGGCTGAAGGTAATATTAGACTTATACCTCTCCATATTCACCCTCTTGTCCCTAAAACCCAATAAACGAGTCCTGTTGGTCATACATGTACATGCACGCAGAACTAACGCTGTTACTTCACTATCCTGTATACACCGACTGGCATGTTCTTGCATGAATCTGAGAACGACTTTCACGTGTACTTGATGACGGAATCTTGTTCAACACAGTCAGTGTTGATTGAGGATCGATCGTGTACACGTTCTGGTGCATGTGGCACGGGAGGTGACGACCTTGGAGAACACGCTCGTGCAGCTTTGTGGCGGGAGCCAATCATTGTTAGTTTCGATGCGAAGATTTGACCAATCCGGGAGCATCGCGCCAATCCCCTTGGAGAACACGCTCGTGCAGCTTTGTGGCGGGAGCCAATCATCGTCGGTTTCGATGGGAAGATTTGACCAATCTGGGAGCATCGCGCCAATTCCGGAGTCGGTATATAAACAGCGAGCCAAGCCATTCTGCCTTCACTTATCTTCAAAGTTTGGCAAGTACAAGTCGAAGATATGGCTGATGAACCTCCTCCGAAAAAACGGTTTGGCAGTGCAGGTGCTGCCGAGATCAAAACTTCGTTGAAACAATCAACACCGGCTGCTACAGCGTCAGCCACATCGTACTGGATACGAGTTTTCGATAATTACTGTAAAGAGAGCAGTATTGGTACTGCACTTGATTTCTCTTCAGTCAGCGCACCGGAGCTGGAGGATGCCCTAGAAAAGTTCTACGCTACCGTCCGTAAACAGGACTTTTCTGAGTACAGGCGAAACTCCTTGCTTGCAGCTCGATCCGCAATCCATCGACATGTCACAAATCATCAGCCAATAGTGAATATTTTCACCGATGGAGCATTCCAGCGGGCGAACAAGGTTTTGGACGCTGTATTGAAGGAGAAGAAGCGAGAAGGCCGGGAACCAGCAGTTCAACATAAGCGTCCCATCAGCGATAGCGACTGGGAGAAGATGAGTGAGTATTTCGCAGATACTGACACTTCATGCGACCTGCGGAAGCTATTGATGTACGTTTGTTTCCAGATATCGTCGCATTTCTGCTTGAGAGGTGGCGAAATCCAGGCTAAACTGAGAAAGCAGGACCTCAGCTTTGAAGGTGAAGGCAACAATGTCCGTATAACGCTTTCTACCGACTTCAGGAGTAAGGTCCACCCAGACGTTGACAGGCTGTTTCAGCGAGCTGCGTGCTCACCAGGTATGATACTCTCTAGCGATTTGCCTTGCTGGTTTTTCAAAAGCCCGCTCTCCCATAATAAGTTAGACTCCATGATTAAGATGATTTCAGAAGCCGCTGGCCTTTCTTATTCCTATACCAACCACTGTCTGCGTGCTACGAGCATTACTCACATGAAACGCTGTGGCATTGAAGACCGTAAGATCTGTACTGTAACTGGTCACAAAAATGTCAATTCACTTGCTGCATACAACGGTGTAACTCACGCTGAGTCAGCTAGGTTTGCAGATGCTATCGATTTGAAAGTCCCAGAATGCTCGGTTTCAGAAAGGACTGAAATTTCTCAGTCTGCTGTAACTGAGGCTACTTCACACACGAGTTTGTGTAGCGATCAGGGAGATACATCACCTTCTGGGTTTGTTTTCAATGCTCAAGGTGCAACGTTCTCGAATGTGGTGTTCAAAGTACACGCTTCAAAGCCGAAGAAGAGATTTTGTTTGTCATTGAAAGAGAGGCGTAAAGAAACACAAAGAAAGAATTTTCTAGCTGAACAGTGTGACCAGTAATAGTCAGTGCCATCTTCTGCTTTCGCGGTAACAAGCGTGCTGGATTGCTTCTCAAATGTACTACCGTACTGGCAATATATATGGTCGCAGTGAGGCCATGAAGCGTTACATTGGCACATGTTTACCGCACGCAGGGCGTTACATGCAAAGTCGCACAGGAGCCGTTACACAGGTTTCTATATTGCCGCAGTCCTTTTTTTGCTATTGCAGGACTTCCTGCTGCGTCCAGTTTTGAACTTTTCACCACGCGGTACACGTGCTTTCACAGTTTTCAGCCTTTTTTGCAATGAAAAGATCGCCGCACCCCGCCGGACGCGCGTTACGAACGCAACGAAAATTTGTCGCACTAGCCTGGTCGCGCGTTACGCCGCACCCCCCTGCGTTACGCGTTACGCGGCAACATATATTGCCAGTACGGTAGTAATGCTGTGGCGTTGTTCTTCAATGCATTGCTATTCTTTGCTACCCTGCCTGCTTTCACAGTACGAGAGAGCTTGGAAGCTCAGGGCCCTACGCTATGCTTTTTTGCCTTGATGACCTAGACAAAAAAAGCATAGGGATGTTATAGATTCTTATATTAAAGTTTCAACTTTTTGTTTTTAGACATAACCTGGGATTCGAACCCGCACTATCGCCCTGCATGCATCCCCCGATACACTTCGCATACATACTGATTCTTCCAAGTTGCTTCACGTTATGATCTTGTATTTGAAAGCATAAGGATGTTACAAATTTTTCAATTCTCCTATTCTTTTTCAAGCATTACCTGGGATTCGAATCCGCACTATCGCCCTACATGCATTCCCCCATACACTTCGCATTCATACTCATTTTTCCAAGTTGCTTCACGTTATGATCTTGCGTTTTAAAGCCCTATTTGAATATCACGGCCAGCTGTATGTGGCCAGCTGTGTTTGATGGTACGGTACGGGATAGATACGGGATAGCGCCAGGCGTGACACAAACACACAAACACACAAACACCAAATTAAAGCTGTGTGGACCCTGGCTAGCGCCAGACGTTACTGAAGTAACGTCTTCTGCATAGCTACGGGAATAATTAATTTTTACTTGCTTTCATGGCTGCACTTGCTAGTTGTACATAATGCTGCTGTCTCTCAACTCTCCTTCCTAAAAAAGGAGTGAATATTGATGTGCTCTGTGAACGCTTTGTTTTCAATGACTTTCCTGGAAAAGCCATATCGGAAGTGAACAACAGTGGTGAACATAAGTGGTGAATACAAGCGGTGAATATTGAGCAATATTCACCACTTATGTAGATGGGCAATGGGACGTATGCATCCATTTCCCGCCATAAGGTTTTGCGGGGCAAGTCCACTACAACCGTACACACTGTAATACCAGCTCTGCATAAAAAGGTCATGAACTTTGTGAGGTCATACTCATAAATGTACTATAACGGGTTGTACCGGCCAAATATAGGGTAACTTGCCCCGCAAAAAAGGTGACGGCCATCTTAGATGCATACCTCCCATTGCATGTGGGTGAATATGGAATGAGGTATAATGCATACTACATTGTAGGCGAGAACATACCCCGACACTGAGAGTGCTGTGCTGTTGCGCCGAACTTGACCACACAATGGACACAGGACCGGGTGAGCAGGAGGGTGCACGGCACTCGTCTGAAACAGCAAACACGATGGCAGTACCAGCAAACAAGACCATCCGTGATTAGTTTCCGAGATGTTCAAGATCCTGAAGCGTGTCCTTCTTCTCAGTATTATTCCATCTGTATTAAACGCTGTATAAGCAGAAATATTTGCCTGGAATTAAATTTCGTCTTTTTCGTCCAATGAGCTTTTAGACTAATTAAATGCCGGACTAATGTCGCTTTTTCCAGCTTTTCAATACACTCTTGTGATCCTCAGACGAAAATTTCAACCGGATGAACTCCCTTTCTTTGGAGTTGGGCGAAATTATTGACCGATGAAATTTTCTGCCTGTACAGTACCTATAATAATTATTACGAAAAGAAGATTCCTAAGGTCAAGGGAGTTGAAAACGGGAAGATTCTGCATCGTCTGTTCTGGGTCCACCGGTTCTAAATGCCGGGCGGTCATGTGTGTGCGTGTGTGTAGGGGGAGGGGGGGGGGGGGGGAGCAGCTATACGCAAAATGTGTGTGCGTTTGTGTTTGTGTGTTAGCACAGTGCAATCAGCATTATGTACACTCAGCAGGTTCATACCCAGCCCATCAGTACGAGTACAGTAGAGACCCACTGCACACTTAGTGCACGTCACATACATGATTGAGCAGCTACCCGCACAGCAGCTGGCAACACAGGAATTTGACCGGACAGTCACATGATTATTAAAGATATCCGTTGCATGATCCGGTTCTCATGGACCTCCAGGGCAGGTGATTGGTCACCCGATCAGAGTGATCCCCTTGACAGGTTGTCGCATACGAGCAAACATGTACATAGCTTTCGCAGGCTAAAGGACTATCAGTATGTCATTTAGGACACTTCGCTTCTCAACTCCGAACTCCAAAAATGGTCTCTTCACTGCGGTTCAAATTCAAATTTACACTACACCAAATTTTCGGGCCTGGCCCATCATCAGGATACTAGAGGACAATTATCAGTATGTCATGTTAAAAAATATATATTAACGTTCATAGCCACACAGCAGACACTTGGTGTCACTGGCACAGTTGTGCTCGGTGAAATCTGACCCAAAGTGCATATTTGCTGCCCTCAACTTGCACGGCTCTCGGCGCTCTGGAAGTGGCACGAATGCGGCTGTACGTGCACACGTACAAGTTCAGTGCTGTAATCGGACGCGGTCCAGGGCGTCAGTTTTGCACTTTGGGTCAGATTTCAGTGAGCGCAACTGTACCAGTGAAGGACACACAACACATAAGCAGCACACGCATCACACGCATGGCATACCGCAGTCGTGGGCGGAGGTGGAATGGGCAGCTGCAGAGTGGAGCGAGCGGCTTGACGCGATGCAGTGCCCTCGTCACTCTGCCACCATTCCATGAACTTCAGCAAGAAGGCCAACACGGGCAGACCTGATGCCGCCATTGCCACAACATGACCACCTGCACGACTTGGCAGTGAGAGAATTCTCCAGAGAAACGATCTGTTCACCATAAAAGCAGCAGTAGCCACCGCCATCACAACAACAACAGCAGCAGCAGCAACAGCAAAAGTACCTTGACGAGCAAAGCAATACTAGTAGTTCAAGCAAGACCGAGAACAAAAGCGACAAACATGCTACAATATGCTGCTGGCAGCGTACCATAGAAAGTTGCCAGCCACTTCTGGATAGCCCTCCACAGAGTGCCGTGGATAGTAATGCAGCGCATTCAAGCCCGATACAAGTACAAACAGAAGCTGACAGACTCTACCTCACACAGTGCCTCGCACACATCCCGGCTCAAACTGCCTCGTAAGCAGCGGCAAGTTGTCACTGTTCTGCGCACACCCCAAGCCCATACTAGGCCATAGCCTCACTTCACACCGCTGTCCTGCCCTGCCCCACCGCCACTGCAACAGCAAAAGTACCTTGACGAGCAAAGCAATACTAGTAGTTCAAGCAAGACCGAGAACAAAAGCGACAAACATGCTACAATATGCTGCTGGCAGCGTACCATAGAAAGTTGCCAGCCACTTCTGGATAGCCCTCCACAGAGTGCCGTGGATAGTAATGCAGCGCATTCAAGCCCGATACAAGTACAAACAGAAGCTGACAGACTCTACCTCACACAGTGCCTCACACACATCCCGGCTCAAACTGCCTCGTAAGCAGCGGCAAGTTGTCACTGTTCTGCGCACACCCCAAGCCCATACTAGGCCATAGCCTCACTTCACACCGCTGTCCTGCCCTGCCCCACCGCCCCTTCCTGCCCCCCCCCCCCCCCCCCCCTATGAGAGAGCTTGGAAGCTCAGGTCCCTACGCTATGCCTTTTCGCCTTTATGACCCTGACAAAAAAAGCATACGGATGTTATAAATTCATATAAATTTTTCCTTTTTTTTTAGACATAACCTGGGATTCGAACCCGCACTATCGCCCTGCATGCATCCCCCGATACATTTCGCATACATACTAATTCTTCCAAGTTGCTTCACGTTATGATCTTGCATTTGAAAGCCCTATTTGAATATGCATTGTGGCCAGCCGTCTTTGATGGCACGGTACGGGACAGGTACGGGACAGGTACGGGACATGTACGGTCGAGGGTAACACGACACCGTCTACCGCCTTGATGACCTAGGCAAAAAAAGCATAGGGATATTATAAATTTTTCAATTCTCCTATTTTTTTTAGGCATAACCTGGGATTCGAACCCGCACTATCGCCCTACATGCATTCCCCCATACACTTCGCATTCATACTCATTCTTCCAAGTTACTTCACGTTATGATCTTGCGTTTGAAAGCCCTATTTGAATATTGCGGCCAGCTGTATGTGGCCAGCTGTGTTTGATGGTACGGTACGGGACAGATACGGGATAGCGCCAGGCGTGACACAAACACACAAACACACAAACAAACAAACACCAAATTAAAGCTGTGTGGACCCTGGCTAGCGCCAGACGTTACTGAAGTAACGTCTTCTGCATAGCTACGGGAATAATACCATATACGGTACCCATGTAGCGCTAGTAAATTACCCAAAGCCAGTACTAGTACTAGAACTGCAACACACCACACCCCAACCTCAAAAATACAAGTTGCAATAAATATATTGTTCAGGACTTCCTCTGACTCTTTGTTGTTTGTACTCACCTGTTAGATGGAGCAAGCAATTTGCCGGAACCATTGATCGCATCAAACAACTCCTAAATACATGAACAGAAAAGCAGAAGGGAAATTAAAGGAGGTATCAAGACTCTGCCAGTCGCCTCAAAGCATACAACAAACACAATTACCAGGTGCTGCACAGCGGGAATTTGTTGCACGGAAATATTCTTTCGACAAGACGAGGGTTAGCAGCACCTTTCGGCCTGTTTATCAATGAATTTGTTCCACCTCCCATCACAGGGGCTCTCTGGCCAACCTCATTCACACCGGCAACAGAACACCAAGTCGTAGATACATGTATTGGCAAATTAATAGAATTTCCTCGATACAGCGCTGTTTCGACCATCAAGAGACAATCAATATTCTCTCTTGTACGATTTTGTACACCATGCATGTCCAACGAAAGGAATACAGTTCTGTCCAGACCACAATGTCCCCGCTATAAGCATGTAGCGTTGGAGAAAGGTGCATCAAACTGGCAAGCTGCTGTTCAGTCACCAGTACAACCTCACTAATGTGGAATCTCAGGCTGGCCTCTACACGTGCTTTGCAGTACAATTCTCACACAGCAACGGTGCAACCAAGTCCTTCTTTGCCGCGCTACTCAAAGCTCCGTGTTTGAAAAACAACACTCACCAGGCAGCAAGGAGGACTCGGTTGCACCATTCCTGAGTGAAAATTGTACTCACCGGTATAAGTATGCGAGGTACGCCTGACTGCAATCAAAACTTCCGTCCCAGTATCCTCTATACCATACTGCTTTTCATGATGTTACATGCTCTCTCCTGTTCTCGTGGCAGGTTCCCCACACTGAGACACAATAAGGTTCGCAACATCATTGCCTGCCTATTGAAGCAAGTTGCACGCCCAGCTTCGGTGGTACTCAATCTTCAGCGTCTCTCCAATGAGATCCTCGGATGCTGCACTGCCAAATGCAAAGGCCACACGCATACTTGCCTGGATGTCGGGGGGGGGGGGGGGGGGGGGCAGTAGCAGGTCGGATGAGCAAGTCAAACGCAATATTGTTTTGTTCATGCATGCGTATTCAACCCTCACGTGCCCTCGGGTCGTTCCACCTCGGTTGTTGCTGTTGGTCACATACATGTATAGGATGACTGTGAGAAGAAGTGTGTTGGCGAGGCATGGCTTCTCAACGCGAAGAAGTGTGTTGGCGAGGCATGGCTTCTCAACGCGGTGTGCTTATTGTTTGTAAACGGTGGTTGTGGTCTCCACGACTGGTGAGATTGGTCGCTGCACTGCAGCTCTTTCCAGCACCTCGCCAGCCTGCTAGCTGCCAAATGCAATGGTTCATAGAGTGCCATCATCGCCAATATTCGATGCGAGCTACACGTAAGTATTGGTCCGCTGCGCTCGAGCATGTTTTTCAGCCAAGCAAGATGGGTTTTGGCCGTACCCCTATGAAGCCTGGGCTGCACAGCAGATTTTGCTGCTGAAGCTGAAAATTCAAAAGTTGAGGGAATGGAAAACACGTTTGATTTTCAAGTACTCTATTCACATGAGTCGGACAGACACAAGGCAGGACCAAACAGCCGCAATACACATGATGAACAATTGTCAGCGTCATTCCTGCCGCAGTCATCACGGACCGGCACGGATCATCTTGCAAGCAAGTACCATTAAACTCACCTCATCCTCTGCAGTGACCCGCCGGAGCTCCAAACCTGGTAGACACAGATAATGAAAGGAAAAGTGATGGGTAAAGACTATCATGCTGCAACGACGCTTGTCATCCTTTATACACGGGTATCCTACAAAGCATTGACTGAAGATGAAGGGGCTTGCAATAGCAGTAGATTGCCACTGGACATATAGATGGGTAGTTTCGGTAGGGTTACTTTTCTTATTTTCCGCAAACTCCAACGCGGCAACTTACACATTTATACCCATTAATTCACTCCTCATCTCCAATACTGGTATCCTTACTGCGATTAAAATCAATTCATAATCCACCAAATTTTCGGGCCTGGCCCATCATCAGGATAAATACATCAGGTTGGCTTTGCAGCCTTTGCTACATCGTTTCTGGACAAAAGAAATGAACTGAAGTGAAGAGACGGGACCGGGCCCCCGTCCACTTCCCATAGCCCTGGCCAATCGCAAAGACACTGTAGGTCTTCAGGTGGCAATGCCAGTCTGTCCAACCGTGTCACACGTTCCAAAGCAGGACACCTTTATAAAATGTATACAAAGGCAATTGTCTCCCATGTAAATATACACAATGTTTTGGTCCAAAGCAGGACTGTCCTGCTCAAAGCTGGACGGTTGGACAGTGCTTGCCAATTGCTCTAGCCAATCCAGAGCAAAGCAGCACGACCATGTGCCGTTGACATGAGCATAGATGGCCAGGGTTGCCTACCTGCCAAGTACAGCAGAGGAGTGAAGGCAGTTGTCTTGCGCAGGAGGTATGCCAGCTGAAACAAGAAGAAACAGCCCTGCAAACAGAACAGAATACACCAACTCAATTCTTCCAGCAGGGCAACGAGTGGCAAGAACATTACTATACAGTAGCAATCAGGCTTGCTTGTCGCCTGTACTGTTTACCAAAAAGGAAGATGATGCTGTCAGGAATGGTCAGCTTAACTACAGTCTTCTACCACCTGTGTTTTGTAACAAACACGGTGGACCAGAAGACTGGGCAAAGTATGCACGGACAAAGAGCTGAGAGGAAGTGATCTCACGGGGGGCCACAATCGCAGAAGGAATGGCAACGCCAATGGTGGCGACACAAACACATGCGTCTGCGAACAGACATCTAGTTCGCAGTATGCCCTACCTCCCATAGGAAATGGAAATAAGGATAGACGGCCTGAAACAACTGTAGACAGCGCCTGTCAAGCCCAGAAGCACACACACACACACACACACACACACACACACACACACACACACACACACACACACACACACACACACACACACACACACACACACACACACACACACACACATTGCATAAAAGAAACTATTATAGAAAGCGAAACCAGAGGTTCAAGCAATTCAATGGAATAAGGGAAAAGGTAATACCCAGCAGAAACCTACACAAGTTAGTGTAATAATGTGTTGATTGTGTGTTTACAGGCAGAGTGGATGCAAATGGCGGGCAGTAATTATCATGATAGTTTGAGTTTCACCGCCTTACCTACGCCACTGGTTTCGTCCATGAGCAGTCATCTGTCCAGAGTCTAGTGCCTCGTACAGGTCCTCAAGCTTCTGCTTCAAATACGGGACGAATGTCTGCATGTTTGGACATAGGGAAACGGTGTTGAAGCCATAAGGGTAAGGAATACTAGAAAACAAGTCCAACGTTGCATGCACATGCACTTGCACAGGGGAAAAGCTGGTCCCCCTTTTAGGGGGGGAGGGGGCATGGCTGCATACGTGTAGGATGGTCGGTGCATGTCATTCAGGGTCATTATGTGCATGCAGAACCTAGATCGAAATTCTTAGGGGGGGGACCCCCCCCCCCCCGTGCCCTATGCGGGCTACGCGCCTGCTTGAAGTACTTGTACATGTCCATGATGTGAGAGGAAGCTGGTTGTTCCCATGATGATCTGTGAGAATTCAGGTACACCACTGCACTCAGACTGCAACACTATTGAATATTGAGTCATTGACCGCACTGCACTAACATTGCACTCTGTGTGTGTGTGTGTGTGTGTGTGTGTGTGTGTGTGTGTGTGTGTGTGTGTGTGTGTGTGTGTGTGTGTGTGTGTGTGTGTGTGTGTTTCCAGAGGAAACATGAAAAGCATCACACCAAGTGCACAGAGGACTAGAGACAATACAGCACTGGTCACAAAACTTACAACGATAAACAGAGACGTGTAGGAATGAAAGTGGCAGAGAGCGGTCGGTGGCCGTCCCGTTGAATGGCTGTGTCCAGCCGACGCGCTGGCAGCAGCTGTGCAGCAGTCCGGTTTGGCAGACGGGCTAGTGCAGAACACAGGGAGCAACACCACACTCCTCTAACCATGGCTCCCTTCTCTGTATGTACAAACATGCGTCCCAACATATGCCCTAACGTGCAGCCAGATACACGTAGGCAGCATACCATTTTCATGCGTCCATGTCTATTCAGTATTTTGTGAGATGCACTTGTCCGACAGGAAGAGCAGCCTACTTCTCATGACGTTTTTTTGTTGACCTTCAGGCCAACCAAAACCGGTCCGGTTTGTCAGGTGATCACTGCACCAACTTGGTGGCCACCAACGCATGCTTACTGCTTAGGACGTTGTTTTCACCAGCTATAAAGTATCATACACCAAGAATGAAAGGCTCCGGTATGGCCGGACCAATCAAGACCAGTATCCGGCGGTCCTGAGTCCTTACGCATCAGACAGTTGCGAATCATTACATCAAACCCACTTATAATATCCAAGGCTTCGATCACATCTTACACATGTACTTCTATCTCAAAGCCGTTTTGGAGCTGGTACGTAAAGCTGCCATGATTGAGACACGAGAGGTACCTGGTTCAAGTCCTGCCTGGGAGCGGTTTTCCAGCCGTGCTGCTACCCACAGTCAACTGGGAACTTGTGGCCAGGCACAAGGGGTACACGGATGCAGCTAATGGGGTCGTTTTCGGCACTTGTGCCAGTGGTTGTGAGACTTACCCACTCACCCCCACCGTTAGGCGCTGCATCTGCTGCTAGGGTTTATCGGGTGTTAGCGGCCGTCGTGAGTTCCCTTCGGGAACGGATACGATAATTTACTTACTTTACGTAAAGCTGCCAAAGCGTTCCATTGCTAGTTCACCTTCTTGCGGAGTTAGCTCTACGAATCCTGTTCGGGAATGTTTGAACACTTGTATCTCGTCCAAATAGGCAAACTTTATTGGCACAATAACCCTTTCAAGATTTCAGCGTCGCCGGGACGTGGCTTGACATCATGTAAGCATAGGAACAAGAAAGTTTAAACACACAGTACTTACGGGGAATGTGGCCTGGGACTCCGTCGCAGGGAATAAAAATTCTCAGAGAATGAAGCACCTGTACCAAACAAAGACGGATTAGATACATAAAAGACGTGGAGACAACAATTTCAAAATAGCAACAAATAGGACACATGTACATTCGGCCGTCATCGTGTGGTGATGACGGCAGCATTTATCCTATTTATTGCTATAATTATAGGATTAGATAGTAGATAGCATTGGAAATTGGCAGTCATCGGCAGCCTGAACAGGGTGCTTGGCCAGGTCAGCAAATCACGTGTTTAGAGCATAGCAAGTATACAAGAGAGCATGTGTAACGCTCACACTTCCACTCTCAGAAGGCTCACAGTTATGGTTGGTATGTTGTCCAGTGACAAGGAGGAGAAGATAAAGACAGTGCGAGTATACATGTTCGCACACAGCTTACCATGAAAACTTCAGGTGTACATGCACTACATCAAGAGTAGATAAACAAGAGTGTGCAACTCGCGGATGGGTAGGCCCACGGCGGAATTTTTTGTTGACGTAATCTTTTCGACGACGCACGCGCCGCGAGTCTTTCGGAAAGTTTTCCCTCGTGCTCTTGGCCGGGCTTTACACTATAAGATCGGTGCCCAGCACGTGCTCTCACACTGCTCTGCGGCAAAATGCGCGTTTCTCTGAAAAAGGTGACGTCAACAAAAAATTCCGCCGTGAGCGGGGGTATCTGCAGATTGTGCAGGAGAGATCCGGAGTTGCACACTCTTGTTTATCTACTCTTGGCTACATGTATTTATGTGTATACCAGTATGATGGTATTACGCATGCTAAACTACCTATACGTGTATGGTATTACGCATGCTAAAGTACCTATACAACAGTGTACAACAACACATCTCCTTACCGGTGTGCTTCAAGTAATAGTTCTGCAAGAGCAGGTCTACCAGGAGAAATAGCTCATTGTTCAAGCGCCAGGCCGTGGCCCAGCGCGAGTCTGGCCGACGCACTGCCAACACCTGCCATGCACACACACGCACACACGCCACACACACGTGCACACACATACACGTACACACTAACACACACGCACGCACACACGTCGCACATACACACACACACGCACACAAACACACACACATGTACACACACGCACAAACACATACAGATACAGACAGACGCACGCACACATGCGCACGCACACACACATACACACACACACACACAAATTAGTGCAAAATGCGTAGATGCCTACTACTACTAGAAGATGAAAGCAACGAGAAAGCATGACGAGCACTAGATGCATAAACGAAAGTGCAAAACAAAGCCTGCATACCAAAGCCTGCATACCAAAGCCTGCATAACAAAGCCTGCAGTCAAACTATGTCTAGATATACAGTGCTGCTTAATGAACCGTGTAAGTCAAGTTTGCGCCTTGCACCTTTTCGCAGCCCAGTGTTTGCAGGTCTAGGGCTGTGCAACGCCCGGCGCGTACTTGAGTGACTCGATCGAATTTCAATGGGCAGTACTGTACACGTACTGCACGTGTGCACACGCTATGTCTGTGTATCGTGCACATGCTATTTCCGTGTATTGTGCACATGCTGCGTCTGTGTATCGTGCACATGCTATTTCCGTGTATCGTGCACATGCTGCGTCTGTGTATCGCGCACATGCTGCGTCTGTGTATCGTGCACATGCTGCGTCTGTGTATCGTGCACATGCTGCGTCTGTGTATCGTGCACATGCTGCGTCTGTGCATCGCGCACATGCTGCGTCTGTGCATCGCGCACAGGCATGCCTCCTTCACACATGTACAAACCCAGTGACAGTATGGGAACTGGCCCAGCCTGGGGGGGGGGGGGGGGGGGGGGGCAGCTTTGCACTTGGGGCCGGATTTCACCCGACATGACTAGTCGACTGTGCAAAGGAGCAGTTTATGTTCAGGAAATTATACTTCCACCAAAGACTGCAATTCCTCTCACTGTGGAGTCACTGCAGAGGGCAGTAACATGTCAACAAACTGCACCTTCTCACATCATGTGAGATGGCAGCAGCAGCAGCAGCAGCAGCAAACAGAATACCGGTATGCACCGCAAGTCCTGCCTAGCATGCCATGTGCTACATGTATTCACAACTGAACAGTTAGAGAACTTGCAGTTACATGTACAGTAAACCACCTGTCAAGGCGACCACTCGGACAAGGCGACCACCTGTCCTAGAAGACCACTGCAACCAGGACCACGGGATGCTATTTCCAGTCAATGGACCCTGGATAAGGAGACCACCTGGTGACAGAGACCACACGTTGAAGGTCCCTTGAGCGGTCGCGTTAGACAGGTTTCACTGTACATGTAGTTGGTGGAAATTCCCCCGTGCATAAACTCAAGACGCCTCAAGAGTCAAAACCTTTTCTAACGTGAATAATGCAATGCATTCATGATTGCATGCACGGAACACAGACGCAGCAAAATGATCTCATGACACCGCATTGGAAGCAGCTAGCTGCGGTGCCACTAAATAAAATCAGGAATGCTAAACATCTCCTACCTTCAGGAAATATTCAAAGGCAGGTTTCAATGTGTTTGAGAGGTCTCGCTGTGCTACGAGCTCGAACAGCGTCGGCTGGTCCCTGTCCAGCCATTGGTTCAAGTGAGTGGAAAAGTCACCCATTGCACATCAACAGTAAGTCAAACTACATTCTACAAAAGACAAAAGTTTGTTTGAGGCCATGACCATAAAATTAATAATCAAATGGGGGAGCCAGATCGAGACGGAGTTGATTTCAAAATTATTTTTTTTTTGAACCAGCACACACAGAGCTGCATGCACAGAATCCATGCCATGCCATATGGCCATGCCTGCATGCATGCGCGCGCCTTGCTGAATGAATCCTCATGCATGATACCAAGAGTAGATAAACAAGAGTGTGCAACTCGCGGATGGGTTGGCCCACGGCGGAATTTTTTGTTGACGTAATCTTTTCGACGACGCACGCGCTGCGAGCCTTTTGGAGAGGTTTCCCTCGTGCACTTGGCCAGGCTTTACACTACAAGGTCTGTGCCCAGCACGTGCTCTCACACTGCTCTGCGGCAAAGTCCGCGTTTCTCTGAAAAAAGGTGACGTCAACAAAAAATTCCGCCGTGGGCGGGGATATCTGCAGATTGTGCAGGAGAGATCCGGAGTTGCACACTCTTGTTTATCTACTCTTGATGATACTGGTGATATACGCGTGACCGTGCAGGCGCTAGGCGTGCACGTGGCACGTGCGCAAACTGATCTTGACTCTTGACTCGAGTCTTGCTTGCAGGTGCAGCTTGGTTCAGAGTTTATAATATCTTTATTAGGATGACCCAGAGGCTTGTCGCCTATCAAGGGGTTCACCGCTTTGAAGGATGTACATGTACACGTATGAGCTAAAGTGAAAGGATCTGGACAGGATGAGATTGAGATTCAGATAACCCCCTCCCCTCCAAGCTTGTGGTACTTGTCACGAATACAGTCATGGTCTGCAGTTGTCTCTTCTCTTCTTTCTTCCCTTTGCTTCTCCAGTTGAACTGTTCAGGCCTATCGAGGGGCTCTCCTGTGTAAGTTGTGTAAGTTTGCTGATGGTCTTGTGGCAATCTGCCTCTCTGCAGCCGTAGCGTCGAAGCACTCAGTGACTTTGTTGAGCCGATCAGCAGCATCCACTGTTTTTCTCTCCCGGCTTCACCGTGGCTCTTCCACCTAGTGTTATTTTATTAATTTATTTCAAGTTTAACCTTAATAATATTAAATTATTTGCCTTAGTTCCCCCCCCCCCCCTTTTTAAACACAGGGAACCATGGCCAATACGGTCCGCATCACGGTCAGCACCACTGAGCGCCATCGTCGTCACAGTGAGCAAACAGTGGGTACTGAGTATTAACAAGACAGAGAGTGTCAGTCTGACCAATACAATGAATATACTGACGAATCATAGACATTGGCACAACCGCCCGCGGCACTGACGGCTTCATAGATAAAGGTGATATGATAGAGGTATTGATAGAGGTAGAGGATATTCGTATCCAGTGGTAAAAAGGATTTCCGGAACGAAATATTATCATCCCGCATAGCATAAAATCTGCCAGATAAAACTTCAAGCTCACTTCGGTAGTTTTCAACATAGAACATAATTTTACAAGAATATGAATGGCATGAATGAATACGAATATGAATATGAACGTGTCTGTAGGATCAAGCCTGATCAGGGGTGGCAACGCACCAATTCTGCTGCTCCATTTGCAATCAACTGATCAACTGGTACTACCTTGGACACTAGCACACCAGTGCTATTTTTTTTTAAGCAGTGACAAGTTTGTATGTTTCAGACTCGGTGGCCAGCACACGAATCAAGTCGCACTTGCGGCCAACAGCGGCCACTGGTCACTTTGGTGCCGACCCGATTGAAGTCAGCGTGCACAAGCACCACATCACCAAAATAGTTGTAGAGGCGTGTACATCGGTACAATTACAACATTGGCCATCGCTGCTGTGCTTGACATCTAGTCGGTGATGCTACCGAGTGTGTTCATCGCAGTCAGTCGGCCGGGATACAATCCACCCTGGCATCAGCAGGTCACGGTACTTACGTGCTGAAGAGGTGCTAGAATTGACCAACCTGCAGGATAGCTAGTGCATTCAGCTGGCAGTCGGAATCTGGTGGCCAACCGTGCTCCAGGATGAGACAATACCAGCCATCATCCTGCAAGTACCCTGGAGATAACCGTGCTCCAGGATGAGACACTGCCAGTCATCATCCTGCAAGTACCCTGGAGATAACCGTGCTGCTGACAGTTGGACAACACCGCGATGTAAGTCTAGACAATTGTGTGAAGCACCCCAGGCATGGGTGCAGCTTCTCAAATGTCCAGAATCCAACGACGATATTATATTTGTCCGGAGACAGCCGGTGTTTTAGAGCTGTTTCTCCACCAATCTAGCACGAAGCGCCATAACTATGCACCCCTCACTGATAAGGTCACTACGCTCTCATCCTCATGTGTCAATGGAGCCACTCAAATCGGCCAACCTTACGCACCCGCACCAGCCCCTCATACAGCTGTTTCAGCGATCTCATGATTTGAAGGAACGCCACGTCCTGCTCCAGCTCCTGCTTGGCTTGGCGAAGTACAGCCGCTGACAGCGGGCGCACAGGATCCGGACTCACGTCAACCGGCGTTGTAGACCTTAGATTGCCTGCGGACTGCATGAAGTCAGGTTGCATGCTGTAGCACGGTGCTGACGCCAAAGTCTCGTGTTTCAGTGACCGCAATTCCGTCGACTTCAGGCACAGCTGTGTCATGGACTTGGACAGTGTCCTGCAGGGCGAAACAACAAACAGCACACCCCATACACATGCAGTGGCATTGTCTAGAATCAGAGCTATATGGTTTAATACGAACATATCAACAACATACCCGCAGCGACCAGGAGCCACAAGGAACATACAATCATTATGTATCCGCATGCCCAAAACCAAACCTGTGTTCAGGGACGCACAGAACGTTTGCCTAGGAAATAGCTGATCTACTGAGTGAGTAGCATTACACTGAAGTGCATGCACGCGTAGATCAAAGCACTGTACTGTCTGTGCATGCACGAGTAGATCAAAGCACTGTAGTACTGTCTGTGCATACCAGGTATGGCTGGATGACGGTGACGCTGGCACACGCGTAGAGTTGAGCACTGCCATACGCACGCTGCTCATGGACCGATGGGGGTTTGATACTACATAGTCTCCATCAACAAGCACTACCTGCACAGCAGAGCAACACACACACATACACACACACACCTCAGACATGCCCATCGCGGAAGCGATGATAGCGAACAGCTATGTTAGACATAGCAACTTGTCCTGGGATTACACCATTCAACAGCTTGCAAGGCTGATGAATTGACCGCCACTATTTTTAGCCTGGTATCCACCACACAGCTATTTGAAGTGACTTTTTCTGGACACACACACACACACATACATACACACACATACACATACACACACACACACACATACAACATACACACACACACACACACACACATACCGTATGTGTGTGTGTGTGTATGTGTGTGGCAGGAACACCTGTCAAGTGAAGACTTGGCGAAGCGCAGCGGCATGCCAGCCTCGCTGGAGGAGGCCATTTGTGCGAATCGCCTGCGATGGCTTGGTCACCTCGCAAGGATGGACGACACCAGGTTGCCAAAGCAGATCCTGTTTGCGGAGGGCACTAACACGCGGCCCCGCCATGGACCCAAGCGTCGTTGGAGAGATGTGGCAGCTTCAGACCTGCGTGCGACCGGTATCCCGGAGGCGCAATGGTACCACCTTGCTCAGGAACGGAGGGACTGGCGCGAACGTAGCCGTCGGAAGCCACCAAGCCAGCCCCAACCAAGAAAGTTCGTCTGTGTCTGCGGCCGCGACTTTCGCCGTCCGAATGATTTATCCTGACACAAGAACTACTGCCTCGCCTAATAGCTATCATCGCCTTCGGCGATGGGCTTTCCAAAGGTCCAAAGGTGTATGTGCGTGTGTGTGTGTGGCACACATACACACACACATACACACACACACACACACACACACACACACACACACACACACACACACACACACATACACACACACATACACACACACACATACACACACATACACACACACACATACACACACATACACACACACACACACGCATACACATACACACACACACACACATATACATATACACACACACACACACACACACACACACATACACATACACACACACACACACACACACATGACATCGTGTTATTTTTAATTAAAGCAAGTTGCGTTCTTTTACTTGAAGTGTTCCTCCACCAGCCACCACCGTTTCAGTCCTGGAACTTCTGGGACTGGTGGCCATAGCACCAGGGATGCAGTGCAGACTGCAGTGCAGACTGCAGTGCAGACTGCAGTGCAGACTGCAGAGCAGTGCCGTGCGCCAGGCGACACACTGATACTTGTATGTAGCATGGTCAAAGCACGGGTAGGTTTCCATGGCAACTAGTTGCCGGGGAGAAGAATTTCAGAGAATAAGCTAAAGATGTCACAGTGCAGTGTTGGCAAGTGAAATCCGGCTGGCTCGTGAAATAAACCAGAGGTGCAACACGGGAATCGTGGTGCTAGGGCTGTGCGGTCCCCCAAAGCGGGTATGTTCACGTGTTCGGGGTTTCACTTTCCACCAGTGTACACACAATAGTTACACAGGCCTTGCACAACTCACCATTTCCTCCGAGTAGTGTTGTAACCAGCGACGCAAGTGTGTAGCGTAGTCACTCTGTGCCAAGCAGCGGTCCAGGTGCCTGCGTTCGGCTCTGTCATCTTCAACAGCCTCCATCCCCGGCCAATATCTTGTTCGGTGCTGCAGCGAGAGTGAGAAAGAGGGGAAGAACCGGCGCCTGGTCGAATTTCGGCCGATCCTCATCAATGGTCAAACACTGATGTCTAATCTCTGCAGTTCATTATCATTGTGGTGGTCAGAGAATGCACTAAGGCATGGGTTGTTTAGCTTCAGAATTTAAAATGTCTTCTACAGTCAGACCTCGCTTACCTGGTCCTCGTTTATCCGGATCCCTTGCCATCCGGAAGAAAATCGTTCGTTACCGATTTACAGCATATGCCATGCACACACACACACAGTATGTGTGTTCGATTATCCGGTTCCCTCGCCTATTCGGATTTTTTCTGGAAAACGGAGGTTTGCGGTTATGAGAGGTCTGATTGTACTGTACTGGACCCTTACGGGATAGAGTTCAAAATACAGTACAAAATGCCGCTTTTGGTGTCACACAGACCTAGTAGCGGCAAGTGGATCCCAACAGTAGCACTTCACCTGACCGATCAAACTGCCTCTCATACTTGTAAAGCTATAGTAAATAATTACAATTCCGAGTGCAGAGGTATGGGGGGGGGGGGGGAGTACTAATATAACTACTTCTAACCCAGGCTATCTGCTAAGTAGTGGAGTAGAGTATGGGCACTGACCAGATAACAGTGAAGCACCTCATCGATCAGTGGCATGAGAACAATCACGACATGCGCAGCAGGGAGCAGTGCATGCGCTCTCTGAGGTGCCATTGCCGACTGGAAGTAGCGCGTGCTGGCATCTGCGACGGTCGCGTTGACTGCAACGGACGTGTTCAGGCCGTTAGCCTGGAGTCTGCCAAGATACCTGTGTGAAAGTCAACAAAATGTGTATGGAGAGATCATCATCAAACACAGATAATGTCACAATTACTAGTTTTCTTAACTTTATCCACATTCAGACCCATTCTTTCCTCTGCAGCACTAGATCGTGTCTTTCCGAGTACACATTTGATCCCTGCTGCCAATACAATTTGGTGTGCACTAGAATATTGAAGTGAGGATTTCACGATCCCATCTCCCATTCACCCTCCAGACCAGTAACTGAGCACACACTCCATACGGCAGGCCCGGATGGAACTTTGCTCCGGCACAGTGGCTGATTCCAGCTACTCAACACCTTAGCAGTCTCCCGCGGTGGTGGCTGAATGCACAGGCCCGAGCGGCATGGCAGGTTTCAACTTTCAACCACTAGTACTGCTAACACCATGTCCCACAGATCAGACCGCCGCCACCGCCGATACTCTACCAGCACTCACCGGTCTAGTGACTCGCCGTAGGATTCGTTTGAAGAGAAGAACGAAGAGTCCCACATCTTCCTGTGACACCGTGCCATCCCGGGTGTGCCGACGACATGAGAAGCGGCCCCAGGTTCTGATGACCCTGGCCTACAGCCGTGGAAAATAATCTGTGCCGGCTGTTGTTTGAGACCAGCTCCAGTAGATTGCAACATCAATACCAGCGAGTCCATGGCCAGAGCAGAACTGCTCGGCCCAATCAATAGAGCTGAGGGGAACTCCCTGCAGGTAGCCGGCTTGTGATTCCAGGTAAACAGATGTCGAACATCAGAGCAGGGATTCTGCATGATCGGAAAGAACCACGGATACGAAGGCCTCAGTTTTCATTACGAACAAAGGCAAAAGTGCAGGTGCAAAAGAACACAGTGTGAGCAAAGCTACCCGCTTGGAGAGTTGATATTTACCGCACTATGTAACACACATGTATACAGTGAAATCTGTCTAAACCAACCCGGCACTCAGGGGACCTTCAAATGTGGTTGCTATGTACAGGTGCCGGGTCTCTGCATCCAGGGCCATTGGACTGGAAATAACATCCCGGCTTGGTCCTAGCTGCAGTGGTCCTCTAGGACAGGTGGTCGCCTTATTAAAGTCACGATCGCCTTGGCAGCTTTAGTGTGTATGCACCCCCTACTATAGAATGTATTAGAGAGCATTGGGGCAAATGTAATCAGGGGCTTTTTGCCTACCTCCCATACTGGCCCTGCATCCTCTGGGAACAAGGAGAAGTATCTGTTCGCCAGGTGAAGCGGCGGTTCCCAATGCAGCTGCAGGTTTGTCCAGCTGCTGATGAAGTTCACCAGGCGAGTGAAGACCGTGTGCGCCAGACGATCGTTAGCGTAGTTGTTGGCGTGAGTCATGAACAGGGAGACCTGAAGTGTGGAATACATGGCACACCATGGGTTGCCGTGTGTACGGTAGCACTGAAACTCTCTAAGTCTAAGTGATTACATATACTTTGTTCATCGGTTAGCTTGTACTGGGTCATGACAATAAACAAGCGATTTACTGACCCAGCCTAGGCACAGTAATCGATTTGGAGCCCTCACGAAACACATTCTCGAAATGCATTGCATGTGCACACGCCAGACAGTTTCTTGGGATCGGGAGAGCTTGATTTGACTGAATTTGACTGACACTGCACAAGAGGTAAAATTATTGTTCTTGCTGTGAACTGAAAGAAGACGACGACTAAAACGCAAGGCGCTTGCGCAGAGCAAAAAAGGAGGAAAAAACATGGAGGAAGTCGCCAAGAGGCGAGTGAGTCAGTAGAAATAATAAACACGCGGCCCCGCTTCGGTGTGGGAACGCGGAAACAAACCGGGGTAGAGAACACAAACTATGACGTGTACTGCAAATAATCTCATGACGTTGAACATCATGTCAACGTCGTGACACTCCCCCGTAAGAGATGCAGAGAAAAGGAGATAATTCGTAACAAAGTAACGTGGAAACAAAACACAATAAGTGCATATAACATACGCAAGGGTGAAAGAGAGTAGACCGTCACACAGAGAGAGAGAGAGAGAGAGAGAGAGAGAGAGAGAGAGAGAGAGAGAGTTCAGATGTGAACTACCAACTGTCTAGCTGATTCAACTAAACAAGTTGTCCACGTACACCAGTGGACGCGAGTTGACGACTGCTGACACTTCCATGAGAATGGTAGTCAGTTGCGACACAGTGAGGAGCGCGCGGCCAACGACCTTCTTCAGGCTTCGTTTGACTGTTCCAACGAGACGCTCGTAGAAACCACCCATCCAAGGTGAGATCGGTGGGTTATAGTGCCACTTCACACCAGTCCTCGACATGTACGACAGGACATCATCACTCGTTGCCAATTCTTCAAAGGCCACATCCAGAACAGACTTAGCTAGGATGAATTGTGGCGCGTTGTCAGACACTACCTCTTCAGGGCAACCACGCAACGACACGAACCTGCGGAACGCTAGCAGGAATTCCTCTGTGGTCATGTCTGCCACCAGTTCTAGATGGACAGCTCTAGTTGCCATACATGTCACTAGGAGGACCCATACCTTCTTGGTACTTGGCTGGTGCTTGACGAGCAGAGGACCGAAGTAATCTAGTCCCACATGGGTGAACGGGATAGATCTTGTTGCGCGGGCAGATGGAAGCGGGGCCATATCTGGGGTGCGGTATGGACCACCGTGGTGCTTCCGGCAAGTCAGGCACTTAGTGATGAATGACTTCACTGTTGCACGCCCTCGTGGTAACCAGTACTCGTAACGCAGTCTTGATAGCGTGTGTGCAACGCCGCCATGCATCGTCATCAGGTGACAATCGTTGATGATGAGCTGGGTGATGGGATGCGTTTGGGGAATCAGTACTGGATACTTTGCTTGATAGCAAAGTTCGGCGTTCTCCAAGCGTCCTCTGCATCTGATGAGGCGGTTCTCATCGAGGAAGAGCCGCAGCTTGTCCAACGGGCTGTGCTTCTTACAATTTTCGACAGCACTGACGTCTGACAGATTCTGTTGTGCATGGTGTAGCCACATGATTTTGGCTACCTTGACCTCTGAGTTACAACTAGAATCCACCCCGAAGGACTTGCCGCCTTGTGGTCTCAACCTGGAGAGAAACCGCAAACACAGAGCAGAAACACGCACTAAGGCACTGAAAGACGAAAACCTGGCACAATCAATACCAAATGGTGGTTCATCACATGTTTTTTTTTGTTCGTGATGCGCATCAGGCTTTTTTTTCATTTCGTGTGCAAGCTCAGTGTCTGGACCGGTGGACTCTGTTGGGTGTGATACAGGTGCAGGTATCTCCGAAGTGCTTGAAGGACCCTCCCCAGCGGCAACGTTGACATGGTGATCAAGTGCTGGCTCGGCGTGATGGTCAGCAGTGGCAAGGAAGTGTGGACCGTGCCACCATAGCGAGCTGGCTTGAAGGGAAGGAACAGAGACACCGCGTGAAGGCAAGTCGGCGGGATTGTCGGCAGAGCGGACATAGCGATAGGCAACATCGGGAACCGCACGAATGGTATCGTCAAAAGTACCCAAGCTCTCTGTCGACCAGAACTTACGGAGGTCGAATTCAGGGTCCGTGTCTGTTTGATGAGCAAGACATGACTGCGCCTCTGTGGTGGCAGGCACAGGCAGACTGCCGGTACAGATAAAACCAAGAACGGAGTCGAGCAAGACCAGACCACCGCTTAGTTCGGTGCGGTCCTTGCCGATAATATCATAATAGTGATCGAGACCAATCAAGACGTCTACGACCATGGGCTCTGCGCTGCTGGAGAGCGGTTCTGCAAGTGGCAGAGACTGTAGAAGAGGAAAAGAAGAAGCAAGTGGACATCGCGCAATTGGAGCGGTTATGTTCGGAAGTACACTGGCCTGAATCGCACGAGTGGACCCATCCTTACACTGCATGGTCAAACTCACCTTGGCGTACACGGTACTTTTTCTTTTGTTGTTCCCAAATGTAGCCAAGGAGAGTGTTTCATTTCCGATTGTGGGCAAATCGAGCTGATCTCGATAAGCTTGCGTGATGTATGTCTTGGTGGAGCCGGTATCAAAGAGAATACGGCCATTGATCGGCTTCAGCTTGGAGGAGAGAAACGGTGCCACAGCAGTTTGCATCATGATCTGGTGATCGGCGTTTGCGACCGTGCTCGTGGCAGGCTTGGGTTTGAAGGACTGAGCATTCGGGCTCATAGTGGAAGCTTGCCTCTGAGTGGATGCGGCAGTGAATTTATCTGGACACAAGCTGCTGTGGTGTGCAGGATTGTGGCAATAGAAACACCGCCGTTTGCTAGAGCAATCGTGCACGGAGTGGCCTGATCGCAAACACTTGAAACACCTTTGTTTAGCTACGCTCTTCCTCGCTTCTACTGTAGTGTACTTATTGCATTCGTCAGAGAAATGTGCCTCCGAACTGCAAAAAACACACACTCTCTTGGGCTTCGCTTTTGAAGTAGCTGAAGCTGAGGCAACAAGAGATTGACCGGACGCACTGGCAGATGGTGATTCGTGCGATTTTTTCGGTGGCTGGCTGAGGCGATCTGCTGCTTCATTCGCTATTATGAAGTTGGCTACTGCAGCGCGCAAGTCCGAAACGGTCCAGGATTGTGGCCCCTTTTTTAATTCCAAAGCCGCTAGCGTGGTGCGTGGCAATTTGTTCGTAATCATTGACACAAACACCGCCTGATTAACATTCTCACCAAGCGCTGTGAGGCTTCGCAAGTGCACCTCCAACGCATCGTGCAACCTACGCAAAGATGGAGTAGCGTTGGACGCAGGCGGTAAGTCCATGATTGCCGTGTAGTGTGCATTGACGCGAAGCTGATCATTCCCGAAACGTTTGCGGAGAATGTCAAGCGCGGTTGTGTAGTTGGTATCTGATATGGGCAAGCCAGCTATGGCATCCCGAGCCAAACCCGTTACGTGATCTCTTAGGTACGACAGTTTCTGGACACCCGACAACCCTTGATTCGCATCAATAGACGCAACAAACATATCGTGAAACTCAGCCCATTTCAGGAAATCACCAGAAAATGTTGGTATTTCAAATTTGGGCAAATTGACTGAACTTGTGGGAGCTGGTTGTGGTTGAGGTGATGATGCTTGCATGTGTTGTACGACTAGTTGGTGTTGTTTGATTAGATCCTCTTGCGACTGTAATACTTGCTGGTGTTGACTATGTGTAATAGACTGCGTACGAACAAGATCTCCTATTGACTGTTGGATGCTGGACAAATCAACCATACTAGTTTCTTGTTTGATACCCGCACTGCCCGTACTCTTGGTGCTACTTGGTGAGCTAGTACTAGTAGTAGCAGCTTCTGGACGGTTCGTCTGGGCTCTGTACTGCGGAGATCGCTTGCATTCAACAATTGACCCTCTGATGCGTACCGAATACGCAACCACATCGCAGATCTCCGTTTGCAGAGCCTCATCTGAACCCTCCAGAGTCTCCGAGTCCAAAACACTGGCCAATGCATCACACGCCTCATCATATGCGTACAATTCTTCAACAATACAATCCACAAGTGTACTTAGCTTTTTTGGATCCGAGTCCACGTGTTCTGGCGACAACTCGTCGGCCCTTTGACCTCCTTCCTTCGATAAAAGGAGTTCGGCCTCTTTGACGAGTTCGTCGATGGATCCTTGCAGCTGCGCGATCTTGGCCCGGCGCATGATCTGCGTGCCGGTCGTCACTGCTCTCTTCGGCATGTTAGCTCGACGACCCAAATCGGGCAAGCTGCTTACAAATTATTTGAGTCGAGTCTATCTTTCTCAAGATTGGAATGGTACGCACGGCTCGTTTCGAGCTCCGGTGCGGTTCATGTCCCGGGTTTCGGCACCACTTTGTGCACACGCCAGACAGTTTCTTGGGATCGGGAGAGCTTGATTTGACTGAATTTGACTGACACTGCACAAGAGGTAAAATTATTGTTCTTGCTGTGAACTGAAAGAAGACGACGACTAAAACGCAAGGCGCTTGCGCAGAGCAAAAAAGGAGGAAAAAACATGGAGGAAGTCGCCAAGAGGCGAGTGAGTCAGTAGAAATAATAAACACGCGGCCCCGCTTCGGTGTGGGAACGCGGAAACAAACCGGGGTAGAGAACACAAACTATGACGTGTACTGCAAATAATCTCATGACGTTGAACATCATGTCAACGTCGTGACATTGCACAAAGTAATGTGATAGTCCAACTTCTGCACAGCGGTAAACTCGAGTAAAAGTAAGCCTGTCCTTAGAGCATACATCCTTGGTGCAGACAAAACAAGTCTGACATGCTGCAGTCACAGTACTCCTTTGCCGGACTGCTCTCATCGGATAGGCCAGGATTACATGTACTGCGGGTTAAAATCTGTTTTGGTAACTATTGAGCTGTGCTGTATCGTCTTGTCAGGCGCGTAGCACCGCCGTTGGAGGTGGTCCGGCTGGAGGGGATCCGGGGGTATCCCGCGGGAAATTTTTGAAATTAGGGTGCAAAGTCCTGCATTCTGGGCACTTTTGGCCGATGATTGTGTTAAAAAAAGTGGTCCGACCAAAGCCGGATCAGCCGGACTGGCTGCTACGCCTCTGCTTGTGCCATCCCCATCAGGGGACACTCAGTGATGCCAACCTCACTTTACTATGATTATAAAGCAGGAGGTATGGTACAGTGTGGTGGACTGTCGTGAATGGTTACCCGGCTGCCACCAGTCTATCCACATACCTCCCTACCATGCTCCTTGGTGTCGCTACTACTCTTTCCATTCTGTGTTGGTCACTACTTAGTACGTGGTGACATTCCACCAGTTAGAGCCCTGGATCACTGGTTTAGTCCTCGTAAAGTCACTTACTGGATTGCGTAGGACGGTCAAGAACAACTCGCCGCCTTCAACAAACGTTGTCAGCCTCTTCTCACCACCTGGAAAGCCGCTCATGTAGTTGGTCGTCGTGAACAGCCCACACGTCTGCCTTGGCAGCACCTAACCGGTTATGGCACAGAAACACACAGAAAGGAAATTTTGAAGAGTGGATGATGCAGACCGGGACATGCCCGCGCCCTGAACCTGACACTCCACATTCCGGCCATACCGTAATCATTGCACAGTGTGCCGGTACGTGTATTCTTGCTTACACTGATAAACGTCACACAACTGGCAATGCTCAGATATGCCGGTTCAATTTCAGCGGGCTGAGCGGATTCCAGAATGAAATTGACTGTGTGCACCCCTGTGAGCGACATCACATAGTCGCCTGTGACCATATCAGGACACATTCACACCTAACACTGCACAGTAGATCCTGTTTTGCAAAAGGGTTAGAATCTTTAGCCATGGCAAACTGGCGAGCACAAGTATGTCACATGCACACACACACATACAAGTATTATTATTATTATTATTAAAAGCATGTCCGCGTAGGTGGCGGGAGTGCCACTTTCGCTTATGCCATTCAGGATTGATGTCTGAAGAGTAATACGATACAATGAAATGACAGAAACACACAACAAGTGACATGTGTATTTACCTTGGTCCCCTGGTATATGAAGCCACGACGCTTGCTCGCTGGCTTGAGATGAGGGTACTCCTCTGTCACGGTGACACCTATGTTCCACGTCTATACGAGGAATATCAAGACAGGGGCACACACTTTGTCTGCCATGCCCGCCATTCTTCAAGACAAACAACAGCATCAGACCGTGAACACATTATTGTTGTACATATACTGCAACTGGAGGTATGCTGGTGAGATACCATGCATGTGTTCTCAATACTATACGTTGCTCCTATGCTCCTCACCTCCATGCGCTTTTCAGCCGATAAGCTGCTACCACACAAGATCTCCCTAGTATGGAGTGAAGCGAGCTATTTATCGTGTTTTCTTGTAGCTATACGTATTATCACTAGCACTTCAATTATGATACTCTGGTCCACTGCATACATTCCGGTGAGGCTACAGTAATGCCAGCCTCGGAAAGAGAGACTCAATCCTTGCTTGTGTACAGCCCCTCTATAGAGTGGGAACGACTTACCTTGCGCCACACACGGAACAGCCTAGGGTCTACTGGGTACACTCCAGAGTGGCGCGGCGACACTGCATATCCATCCACGATATTCAGATTGCGATCCTAGACAGTCGTTTCCGGGGGCCAAGGAGAAAGGAAAAGAGATACATGTACAATGTAATGACACTATTGTTAAACAATATTTTTCCAGTGTTCGGGTCTCATTTATACTCAAACTATGGGTTCTGACTTCTGATGCTTGTAATACAGTACATAATGAATGATGAACGAGGGAGGATGAAACCCATCGGTAGCAATAGGCTAGTACAAATTCATGGACCCCCGCCTCCTCCTCAAGTCCCTCACCCAGCTCACCTGTGCAAATGCTTTGGCTTTCTGCATCTCCTGTTCGAGTTCTGCGTCCGTCTTGAACCATCTGGACTCATCGTGGCGGTACGTGTGGTCAAACCATAAGAAACTAAACACAAAAGAGAAGAAGAAGAAGAAGAAACACACGAGGAGAGGCGATAATATCATCATCCAAGGAGAACTTTGCGCACCAGGGGACAACAGAACGTTCCGCTTTTTTTCTGGAATGGAGGCCGGTCTTTTATTACCGCCTGTCTAAAATGAATAGTGCCACATCAGTTCAGGGCTTTCGGGTGAATGTTTTTTTCAATTTGGACGAATGTTAGGGCTCACAAACTACTAAGCACCTTGGTCAGTGTTGCCAAAAATATGCGGGTAGCACCCATGGCCCAACCAACCTTGTAGGATGCAATAACACACACGCACGGCAATGAGCTATCAATAAGAATGGGAAAGAAATGCGAGGCATCGTGTTAGCAGCACAGCAGCAGACCATGCTATCAGTCATCACTACAGCATCCAGGCGCATAGCCCACATGGGGCATGGAGGGGGGGGGGGGGGGTGCACCCCCTAAAAATATCGACCTAGGTTCAGCATGCACCGTGATAATGACCATGCATGGCAAGCACACGGCTGTCCCATGCATGCGACGGGCGTTCATTAAATATGGCGGCCAAATTTTAATATTTTTCATTTTTTACGCGACCTGGCCTAGTTGTATGTTTGCAATTTCGCTCGACTTCCATCTCAAACGGGCAAGGTCAACCGAAACCACGGGTGTTTGCCAGGTCATTCGATAGAGTTTAGAGCTTGGACTGGCCTAGCCTTGCCTTCGACTGCACATGTGCCGCCGCTCGAGCGATCTTTTTGGGTTACCCACGCGCTACGCATGGTTTCTTTCTCGACGTGGGTGCAATTATTTTTGGATCGTCGCTCGATTTCAAGGGCTCACCAACCTCGTCAGCGAATTTTCTCCGCCTCGCAGACAATTTTCTAGTATACCTCGATGTCCTAGCCTTTCGATTTCGTGTATTCCTAAGCTTGACGTGCATAACTGTAGCTTTTCGTGGCCATGTTAGAGACGTTATTTTGTTCAGAAATGGAGGCTCATGTTAGCTTCCTGTCGTCGTGTTGTCGTATTGGAGGGGAGAAATTCGCGTCAAGGAGTGGACGGACGAAGTATCGTGTGGCAGATCATACTCAATCCATTTTGGCAGTGTTTCATCTCAGCTTGATGTGGATGAAACCAAATACACCCTGAACTTTTTTGCCACACTTGCAAATTGGCCATAGAATGCACTGCTACTGCCAGGGGCCCAACATTCTCTGGAGCTCCAGAGGTGGATGTACACCGTTCAAAGACTGGGAGCCACACAGTGGGACAAACTGTTTGAAATGCAAGTCTTCCAAGCCTGGCAGGAAGTCCAAATGCAAAACACAAACGCAAGACAAACTTGCGGCATGGGAGAAAACGCGGGCCATCGCCCGCAAGCACGAGCACATGCACGCCGCCACCACTGACAGCAGCATCACCAACAAAACCTTGCCCCACCACACCAGTACCTGATCACTGGATAGTTTAGTCTGTTTGGTTTACGAATTCAAAAAAGGAAGACAAAATAACAAAACTAAAAACACGAGCGTCGCATGGACCGAATCTGATGAGCAGCAGCACGTCACACCCGCATACCAAGTTTAGTAATAGTAGTATAGTATTTATTCATATTTCTCTAGGGCTTAGTGGGTAAATCTCTGCATCCAGGACAGTTCATATAGGAATGCAATAACACACGCACAATGTCCACTATGTCACAGGTAGAGAGAGAAGTGTTTGCAGCTTGCTGGTAGACGTTCAGCCGTGCATGCATTGGCAAATGGCTAGAGCAGACGGCCCGCTGCCCTTAATGTAAGGCACACACGCAAGCGTCAGAGCTACAGCAGCCGCACAGCATAGTTTATGGATTCATGAAAGACTGCACCATACACTGCGCCAGCTCTGGTAGGGTGCCCTATTTGAGCATCGTCACTGGTCGGTGACGTTTTGCAGGCCTCACCATCAAAGATGCGAGGTGATGCTGCTGATCGACTTGCTGGCATGATAGTCACAAGCATAACTAACGGAGGATGGCTGGAAGTCGAAACCAGCTGTAGATGTAGATTCCAGGTATACAAGAGAATTACTGACGCCAGCACTTTATCCGATGCCCCATCAGTGTCAACTGTACGCCGATGGTCACAGGACCGTGACAGCCTTTCGATCGGTCTACGGTCGGGAGACGGGGCTGCAAGCCCAAAGCAGCGGGTATATAGTGTTCGTCACCAGCTGAGCAAGAGAGCTTGCTGAGAGATTTAGGTGTGCACTGTTCAGCAACCAGTCCCAACATAGGTTTGTCCATGAAGGCTGGTGATCCTCAGCTATCATACAACAAATTCCTACTCACTGCGCATATGCGCATATGGCTTGTGAAACAGCAGCAGAAACTGCACTGCCTTGACAAACGCACCAGTTACCAGGATGGAGCAGATATGCCAACACCAAATCTCCAATCGCTAGTACAAGTAGCTCTTCGCTAAATCATGCCTAGTGCCTGCTGGCAGTGATATTTTCAGCAAGAGCGCTGCAGTTACTGCTGAGGAGATATAATATTGCGTCCTTGAAGTCGAAGGCGCTCATCAAAGATTTCTTGCCATCAATTCTTGGCCTTATGCAGGCACGAGGTGGTCTCCCGTGGCATTGGCCATATTACCCCGAGCTGCACTTGCTCGAGGAGCACGTTGTTTCGCTCATGGAAGTCCTTCGTGTTGGACTGAGTAGGCTTGCTGAGAGAACAGAGCGCTGAATCCATCCACGTCCACAACTACGAATAATTTACAAAAACATTCCTACTGCAGATCAGCGCTTGAAAACGGCGATGCAGATCAGCGACGTTGGGCTTCTCCATTCAAAAGGAGAGCCTTCCTAACGAAGCAATTCTCATGTGACACTACATAGTCTCTCAAGCACTCTAGTTCAGGTCTTCTTCTCTCCACTCCATTATCATTTCGATCTTCACTCGGTCGACGTGATGGTAGTAGCTATGTAAAATAATTATGATGGATTTCTCCCGATCCTCGTCGCGGCTAAAATTTGTTCGGTGTTTGTCTAAATTCTCAAACTGACAGGGTTTACAAGAGAAATGTACCTAATTTTGTGCGATTGATGCAAATAAATCGGAATATGTCCGACTTCATAAATCCGTGCGGTAAACCGCATGAAAGGACGCCATGTCGTTAGTTGGTGCACATGAAGTCACCGTGAGCACCAGCCATCCTACACATATGAGGCTGTGCACCCCCCCCCCCCCCCCCCCCTGAAAGGAGGACCAGCTATGCCCCTGATGCACCCCTCCCCAACACCAACCAGTTGACCCAGCATGGCTGACTTACTGCTTGGCTGCAGCGATGAGACGGGTATCGCCTTCGGAATTCTCCTGTGGCAATTCGAACACGCCACCAACGAAGCCAAGCTGAAACTGGAAGTTGAGAATGTGCTTGGCCAGTTTGCCCTGCAACGCCACCAATGCCTGACAGGTAAAGAACAAAAATACAATACGATGACCTAAAAAACTCAACTTGACGCCGCCAGCGTTGACTACATGTAATGGTTACGTGTTACTGTACTGACTGTCAGCACTCATTGATCCTCATGGAATCCAGTGACATTTCACACCACACAAACTGGTTTGCCACAGTTTGCCAACACGGCGTTTGAAAAAGGCTGGAAGCAATTCAGGTCAGAGCAGACGTACACAGCTGTGTGTGTTTGTGTAGCGAGGGAAGGGGATTCAAGGGTGGGGGGCACGGAGACTCTGTGTATGTTGAGCACCACTTTGACATCATACATCTGAGATAATACCCAGCTCCATGTAGCTGCATCATGTTGCATGATCTTTAAAACACTTTAGAAGCTCTGGGAACCCCGTCCATCATACATGGGGCATGTCAGCAGTCTGCCATGCTCAACGCTAAACTGGCTTACATCAACATCGCTTGCCGTCATGCGATGCACTTCTGGACTACTGAATACATCATCAACGTCAATCGTGATGAACCGCTTCAAGCCGAAGTCTCCAAATCCTCTCGGCTGACTTTCTACCCAGTTTGTTGCCGAGAGATAGCGCACTGCGTCCAGAAACAGGATCTTGTGCATCCAGAAGAAGAGCCCTCGGCCGAAGAATATACGCTTCACACCGTCCTGCAGACCCCGGTCGACTAGCAGCGTTGTGTAGTTACGTCCGAGCGATGCAGTCGGAGCGCCGTCCGGCAGGGACACCTGCTCCTGCTCGTCCCGCCACATCACCACGCCGGTGCGAAACGTTTCGTGGAATGGCGTGAAGACCAGGGTCAGGGTGTTATGATCCGGCAGGCGAAGGACCCTGCCCGACTTGGCGACGTACAGGAATTCACTGCCATCGCTGCCATCAGCAGCCGTGCCGGCGACTGGTGGAATAGTGGCATGCGTCAGCCCCGCCACGGGGCGGGCGGCAAACGACCAGCCGATGTTCTGCAGGATCTTTGTTCCCGCGGTCAGCTGGCCCGGGAACAGGATTTGCCCCACGCCATACTCGAGGCAATAGCTATCGAGCTCCTTCTGCCACGGTACTTTGCCTTTCTGAGAGCGTGGTTGATGTCCCAGGACAGTATACAGAGAGATATCGTCAATGATCACCAGTGCATACTCACCTGCATTGACTACAGCGCCAGTGCGTAGCACATGCTGCTGCCTGACTAAGGGCCCGAGATCTAGATGGTTGTGACGGCCAACGACTTTCTCCACGACCACAATGCGAAAGCTCTGTAGCCATATGCGCACGTTGTACGACGTCACCGAACGTTCTGCGGAGCTAATGAGTAGAGCATGTGGCATGACCATCTTCCTGTTTTCCTGTACTGCTTCGTGCTGTTGGCGTTGATCATCGGACTTTGCCTGCTTGATAGAACGGTCGTGCTGGTCCACAAACAAATGATTTTCCGTATTGGCATCCTCGTCTCCATGCTTCACGCTGTCAATGCCATCATTGATGCTTGGTGAAACTGTAGCTCGTGCAGCTGAGTAGGCAATTTGCATGTTCTGTAAGTTGACAGTGTAAGCATCGCGATATGTCGGCGTGCCGGAGTGGAAGATGGCCACCAGGCACAGCGTCGACACCACGCTTGCCACCAGTATTTTCGCTAGTAGCGCAGGACGCGGACGGTAAAGGGAATGAACGGAGGGCAGAAGTCGGCCGCGACCGCTGGCGTGCGCGCCATGTGCGTCCATGCCTGAATCGAGAACACGGCTGTCTCACTCACAGGCCTGTCCTGACTCCTGGGTTTACTTTACTTCACCTGTTTAGGAGCAGCAGCCGCTAACTACCCAGTTGACATCGTTTTAGTTCACAATGAAACATAATAATATATTATCTCCTTTCCACTTTCTGGACACACGCTGCTCCTATATACGGGTATATCCTGTAGTTGTACTAGTTCTGACCAAACTCTCAACTCAAGGTAGTGTCCATTGGCATTGAAGTTCACCAACACCATCTAGATAGAGTCTTCAGTGAAATGAAGTCCAAAGAACGAGACGCGATTGCTAATTCGAAACGGAACTACAGCACATGTCACAATTAAAATATTTACGCCGAACAGAAAATGTCACGATCGCCCAGACAAACTAAACGTTACTTGCCAGTACTGTACAGTCATGATTGTATACACATCAATGACACTGAATGGCACATGTGGTCGACGGTCCGTGCATGTTTCTTATCTTTCATGTTTTGACTTTTTCAAACATTTTAGACTGGGTAGATCTAGTTTGTGTGTTTCTGAACATTCAAGCGATGCCAACGCGAATCCCGCGAATTATTATTATTTAGATCTACACACTACATGCATGTAGATCTACATGTACATGCATGACCTACCTCATCAATACATCATTGTTATCATGGTTATCACCAAGCCCAAGGCAAGAGTATTACTATGACTATGAGTCTGACTAACTACATGTCTACATACATGTATGTAACAACAGGGGCTTATAATTCCTACTTTTAATATAAATTATAATAATTATACTCTAGTCTATAAGTGTGAATCTGCTTCTGTTAGCTTACTAGGTTAGGTTTCTTTGTGTGATAATTATACAGCTTCCAAAACATTCGTCAACAACTTGTTAGATACATGACTGTATGTCCCGACAATAGAGAAGGCTTGAAAGTACAAGTATGCATACTGATGAAAACTTTCAAAGATGTTCAATAGCCTGCCGGAAGTGTGTCCTTCTTCTTTTTATTATTGCATTCATTTGTGTGTTGCAATTTCTGCAATGGCCTACCATGTACAATGTAGGTTTGTTCTTGTCTTGTTCCTTCCTCCCTCGACAACAACAACGACGACGACGATAATAATAATTACATTGTATGATAACGACAACGACGACAACGACAACAACAACAACAACAACAACAACAACAACAACAACAACAACAACAACAACAACAACAACAACAACAACAACAACAACAACAACAACAACAACAACAACAACAACAACAACAACAACAACAACAACAACAACAACAACAACAACAACAACAACAACAACAACAACAACAACAACAACAACAACAACAACAACAGCTCTTATTGGCGACGGTGCCATCGTGAGAATAAAGAATTCAACAATCAACAACGACGACGACGACGACGACGACGACGACGACGGCGACGGCGGCGGCGGCGGCGGCGACGACGACGACGACTACGACAACAACAACAAAAACAACAACAACAACAACAAATCGTGAGGCCACCGCTACGCGTTCTGTTGGACGTTTCGATTATCCCGAGTTGCTGGTTGATCTACATGGTGCTATTTTTTATTTTTTACAAAAACCACACACCATTTGACGGCACAAAGCAGCAAGGCAGCAATGAGACATATGGCCGGAATGGCAGGAGTGGGGGAGAGGCAGGGGCAGATTGACCGACCATAGGGTCTCGGCTTCATTGCAACCCAAGCGCTCCACAAAACCAAAAGATTAAAGAAAATACGCAGGGGGGGGGGGGGGGGATAGATAACTGGGGATTACGGGGAAAAGTATGCACAATAAAAAGTTATCAGAGAGTCAACGAAGTGAATGGAGGAGGGAACAGAGTCAGAGCCTTTTTTCGTCTTTTTTCTTTGATTCATAGCCTGTTCGTTGCCCACTCCCAGCGGGTAAGGCGCAGGCGGGCATTGACCTTTTCTTTGAACGTCTGCAGTCCTTTCCTTGTTGGCTGGTTCAGCAGAATGCACTGCGGGAGCTGGTTCCAGACCTCCACAACAGCGGCAGGGAAGGACCGAAGGACATCATTCCGTGCTCTGGGCGGAAGAGTGGAAGTGAGCTGAAACTGGTGCGAGGGATGCTTTTGTGTGCGTCGGCTATGGCGTGATGTGTTGGTCGCTCGGGGTGGAAGGAGAGTGAGAAGCATGTCTGGGCCAGTTGAAAAGTGGAGCTTGTACAGAAAGCAGAGTGCTCCGACCATTCTGCGGATATCCAAGCTAGGGAGGTAGGCCCCATCACCGATTAGGTGAAGGCCACGGCGTTGGATGGCAGTGAGGCGAGCCAGAGTGGTGGGTGCAGCGCTCATCCACACGAGCATGCCGTACTCCAAAACCGGGCGGACAAAGCCCTTGTAGATCACTCCACGGCACCTGGACTGGCTGGAGTCCAGCACTCGTGAGGCTTTCCGGAGGAAGCCGAGACGCTGCGAGCCTCGAATAGCCGCCTGATATGAGCTGTGAAGGACAGGTGTTGGTCAAATAGCACACCCAGCAGCTTCAGCTGGTCGACTTCCGGAACAACCGTGCCCTGGAATACAATCGGTGGGACGACGACTGTGTTGCGATGGTGAGAAATCAGGAGGGACTGAGACTTTGCAGGTTCAAACCTAATGTGCCAGGCCATTCCCCAGTCTGCCAGCGCATTTACAGCAAGCTGGAGTGTGGTGACATCTTCGGGTACGGCAGTATTGGTCGATATGCACTTGTACAACGCGGTGTCATCAGCAAATGCGGCAAGCTGGGCCCCAGCAGGTAGATGGTCCTCAGCATCATTCGTATAGAGAAGGAATAAAGTCGGGCCCAAGATGCTACCCTGGGGGACGCCTGACATGATGGGGTAAGCAGAGGAGGACTGTCCGCTCACTACAGCCTGGAGCATGCGGTTGGTGAGGTAGCTTCTGAGCCAGGCAAGAAGATGTCCCTGGAGCCCATACCGCTCAGCTTTGTACAGGACACCCGGGTGCGACACTTTGTCGAACGCCCCAGCAATATCCACTGCGAGGACGCACACAAGTCCTCCACTGTTGGCAACTCGGCTCCATTCGTGTTGAAGAGCTAGGAGGAGGTCGGTTGCGCCAAGTCCAGAGCGGAAGCCAAATTGGCGAGCAGAGAGAATAGAGTTGCTGTCGAGAAAGTTTGTAATGCTCCAGTTGATTATGGTTTCCATACATTTGGAGATAATGGAGAGAAGGGATATTGGTCGGTAATTCTTCACACAAGATCTTGGGCCCTTCTTGTGGACCGGGACAACGTTTGCCACCATCCAGGCAGATGGCTGGTGGCCTTGTTGGAAGCAGAGAGAGAACAGATGAGCGAGCGGGCGTGCAAGAGAATCTGCACACATCTTAAGCACCCGAGAGGGGACAGAGTCAGGGCCAGTTGCTTTTGACGGGTTGATGGCTTTAAGCACACGCCTCACAGTAGATTGGCGAAAGTACACTGTTGTTATTCTGTGTAGTGAACGCTGTTTGACATCGGGAAAGGCGGTAGCAACATCACTGAAGTCAGTCTCTAGACTGCATTTTTCAGCAAAGTAGCTTCCCATAATCTCGGCTTTGTCACTATGTCCCCAGCCTGCCTTTACTCGTCGATACTCGTCGATATCGATACTCGTCCGGTGCGGGTAGGTGGCCTCAAAGTGACTAGTAATCTGCGGCTGTGTGCTGGGATCTAGGACCCCCTGGCCTGGCCCAGGCGGGCACAGTGTGGTGAGTGTGCCGGTGTCGCGACTACATCCTCCGCCCCAGGCTGAACCCGCAGGTTGACTAAAGGAAGTAAAGATAGGAGGCCCCGGCCCCCGGCAACATCTTGATTGAGTGATTCTGAGTGCATGCACCGTGGTACTGCACGTTCAGGCAGAATGAAGCTTTACCAAGAGTTATTTTTAATAGCTCGCAAGGGGCTTATTTTATTTTACTCGTGTTCGTACATGGTCATCTGGTCATAGCAGTTGCAACTCGCGAATTATCACGCAAAGGCCAATGCTCAGGCAACAATTCAAACAGTATCAGTGACCAGGGAAATAACCTCTTTATGCAAGGACCTTAGGTAGGTGCTAGAAAGTACATACCTGTATAACGTTACCAGGTAATAACCTCTTGGTGCTACTAAGTACAGTCATGTAGCTATGGCAGCATAGGTCATGTATGATGTAGGCCTACAGCCTGGATGTTAGCTGCGTAATCGTAGTTGGTAATGTTAGTACGTCATTGATTGTGATGTCGTAGCCTAATCAGGTGATATTACCGGTAAATAGCAGCATGATGCATGCAGCAGCTATCACCCACGGCCTTCGTGGTCGATGGACTTACATGTTGCGCACGGTCCCATTCCCTGCGGATTGTTTAAAGCCTCTCTTGGCACTATCATAGCGAATGAATGATTACCGGCACCCACAGGGAGAGAAACCTTTGCCGATGACGAGCTGGCATTACTGGCATAGTCTGTGCATACTCACGCGTCCTGGCAAGAGTACAGTCATACTGAACCCCCGGTATGTACTCTTGGTCCTGGCGGGCTTGCTATCCCGCATTTCCAGCGGATGGCGGTTTTGAATTAACTTCGTCTCGGTCCGTCAACTGACCTCCAGGTGGCTGAGATCGTTAACCAATGCGATCAAGAGTACATGGGGGTTATGTACTCTTGATGCGATCCATCGTGGCTATCCAGAGTTCCAAGTGCCGTAGTTGAATCTGCATTGCTGGCAAAGTATTAGTTCGCTGTTGGTCGTGAGCGAGACCTGGAGAATGAGAAAAGATAGGTTCGCCACTCAGCTTCATCTGCCCTTGTCACTTGTGCGGAGACTAGATCAGCTCTCCAAGAACTGAGGGGATTTCGACGCACCTGAATGCGTTGCCACTTTATGAGCATGGTTTTAGAGATGCGCTAGCCCCCGTGGACGACTCCAGAAGCGATGTGTCGACAATGAAGACCTAACGCCTCCCCCTGCCAATTCAAGAATGCCAAAAGCCTCGCCACCAACGAGCGACTCTGGTTAACGAGCATTGATAGATTATGACCCCCGTATTGTTTGTTTTAATAGGGAGGTTCTGCTATACGTGAAACGTAGAGAAATCACGTAGAGAGCAGGTGTCTGGGTTAGAGTCTGCGGCTTCGCGTGTTTTGGCTCCAGATTTCTACGCGGAGATGGGGTTCTCTACGTTGTGGCACCGGCACACGCAAAGAAAATGCGTACGGATTTGCTGGGTATCGATCAACTGCATGCAGAAAGCTGCCAAATATGAAAGGGGAAATTCCCAGTACACATTCCACGTGACTTCTCTAGGTGAAACGTAGAGCAGAACAGGATTTCTTTACGTTACGGGAACGCGAAGAAAGTTCGCGTGATTCTTTGCGTCGCGTTCCCAAAACGTAGAGCAGAACCTCCCTAATACCGCGACTCGAGTAGGGGTGATGGTAATTTTTAGCCGCGGAGCGTCCACGCCCCGCTGCTTTCTGATGGATGTTTACCGTTATAACTTATATGACGGATGTTCACCGTTATGACGGTAAATGCGCTCGGCGGTCAGTCATGTCTTGAACAACTGGGTGCGGCGGTGCAGCGTTTGTGCCCATTTGCTGGACCACCGCAACCAGTCTGGCTCTGCAGCTCTGGCGGACGCTGATGCCCCCAGAGTGAGTAGACTGTGCGGTTGCTTCAGTAAGTAGAGACGACTTGAAAAGTTGAACGGATGTCACCATCAAGAGATTCACAAACTTAAACCGTCCACCTTGTCCTGTATGCCGGGCCTCAGTAGCTTTGGCATGGAATATCTCAGCGTGAGGTTGATCCGATATCACCATCCTCAACCAGAGTAGAAGCTACGCTCCATCAGCTACTGAAGATGACAACAAGCGGAATCCAGGTCAGGCTTTAGGCCGTAGTGAAGAATCCAGGTTGTCTGCTTGAGACTGAAACGATTTTTTTGTGAAGTATTTAATAGTTTGGGCCGCTGGATAGCTGATAGTAGATCACATCGGACAAGATGGCACACACAGACACCGTGACACACGCACAGGCCCCGAGTCCCAGTCCCGGATCCCGTCGGCCTGACGGCTGACCCGGGCCTTGCTTGGCCTGGGTCACAGCCGATTCTGCATGACGTGTGGCCGCATATGGGATATCGCTTGTCTGGGGTCAGCAGGTCAAGGCCGCAATGCACGATATGCATAATATATGGTGCACTGTCACTGTAGATAGCATGCAGTGTAGAATCCACATGTACGGTGAGTACAAAGTATCATTGTTTGTGTGTACGTGCATGCGACATGCGTGGCCAGTGCAGCTTCGAACTCGATCAGGTGTCTCGAAACTGAGAAGACATCGATTGGACCGCGGACAGCGCTGGATCGATCTGACTCAGTAGAGTGTTGATGGAAAGCAACTGTTTGTTCAGGCACAGGCTGTTTTCGGGAAGCTTTTTCAGGCGGAAGCTTGACACCTGGCCAAAAGGAAAATGGACCGTGTTCCTCAAGTGCTTTAGTGTTTATGAGCGTAGAAATTACAAATACATGTAGATAGCAACTCGGCATTGTTCAGTTTTCTTACTTCTTTGTTGTCATTCGTAGCTGATGAGCAGGTCGAAATGTCGTTTATGTCTGTGCCCAAACTCCTAAGTCCAGCCGCTGCGGACAGTTTCGTTATAAACGATGGAAAAAAGCTTTATTATGATCTAGAGGACCTCCGGCGGTCTTTAGCACTGGAAGAGGATGAAGGTGCATTTGAGGATGATCGCCACGACGAGGAACACTATGCGGAGTTTGCCCCACCCGAGCATCAGTGAGTGACATTTCATCAAATTTGGGGTTGGGAAATAATTCATCCTGAGTACGCGGCAAAGTGCGGTGGTGAGTCTTATGGTTTCGTCTTCGTCTGATTCTATTGTTTTACAGGTGGTACCATGGAGTACTTGACCGACCTGGTGCCGAAAGCCGGCTTCAGGGACAAAGGCCTGGTACCTACTTGGTCCGGGAATCGAATGGCAAGCCCGGTTCCTACTCACTCTCCTATCTGGGACGTCACGGGTTCGACCATTTTCGCATTATCTGTGTGTACGGTCAGTACTACATTGGAGGTCGCCAGTTTGAGTCCCTTGGAGACCTGATCGGTTACTACACGCACAAATCCTACATACTGATTGAGCAGAAGTTGGAATATCCGCTGCCGCCAGAGACGGTACGTACTGCGCTGCACCGCAAGTAACTTTAGTTCGGCTGGCGCATCCGCCATGAGTCCATGCGCTTCGCAAGTCCACTGCAGTTCTCAAAAGCGTCATACCACGCTCACATGTGAGCGTGGCATGACACTTTTGTTATTTGGGGCATGTTCGATTGTACGAATCCATCAGCCCCGGACCCGGATTCGCCAAATTTGTGCATGTTCGATTGTACGAATCCGGATCCCGAGAGCACGGATTCGGATCCAGTCAACCTACCTCCCAGAGACGGATTCGACGGATTCGACAGATTCATTTCGATAGTACGACTCGCATCTACTCAAAACTCGCAATATGCGTACACTAGGTCAAGAGTTTACCACAATGCGTACAGATACTACGGGATGAGCTGTAGCAACGCGGTTGCTAAGGCCTTGAAACGGATTATCGGTTGTGCACATTCGATTGTATCCGTCCGATCGAAGTGATCTGGTCGGTGGGGATCGGGATCCAGTTTCTACAATCGAATGCAGCCTTGGATATGCGGCGGACTGCGTTTTACATTGAAACTGCATTATACCATGGTACGGTACGGAGGGCCTGTTTTCAGCCAATCAGCGCTCGTCTAGCCATGGTTATATTGGCCAGTATAAATCCCAGTGCACGGTACGTACGCTAGGGCACTGCCACCGTACAAGTTCACTGCCTGAAAGTGAACTTGTACGACGGCAGTACTCCAGCACACAGACCATTCACAACAGACACAGCATACACCACATGCACGTGTACACTCCACACAGAACGGCATTACTGACGAGGAACAGTACACAATGGAAAAGAAGAATGACCTGGAATTCGTCTACCGAGTATTCTATTATACTGAAACTGAGGATAAAGAACGTCAAATAACCACGAAGTATCCCGAATGGATCAGCAATGTACATTGTACTTCGAATAGTTGAAGATCATCAACAGACTGTCTCCTTCGTAACTAAGTGCATGATACAGAGTGTACTTCAAATCCACCTAAACCGATTGGAAAACGCTAGAATGGATTGAAGTGTGATACAGTGATACAAAACAGTGTATGCAAATGCATCTACTTGCAAGTAAGCAAACCTGATTATAAGATGGCGCATGTGAAAATCAGCACTGTACCATAATCAGGATACTGTCATAGTAACACTTACCGTAAAAGTCCGTAAATAAGTACGTATTTACTTTCGAATTTAGTGACCACACCCGTACTAACCTTCGGGCGGGTACTGACTTTCGGGCGCGAACTAACTTTCGGACCTGACTGGTGTGTAGTGGAGAAGTCATTTTCATGTCGATGTACATGCTATGTGCTGCATGTGCGCACCGTACCGGTACTTATTTCGGGCAGTATGTTTATCGGGCTTGACTTGACTTCAACAGACAGAGCCAAAAGAATGAAGGGGGTATTTCTTTCGGGCAGGTATTTATTTACGGACTTTGACGGTACTCCCAAACTTTCAATTGACAACTGATAACCAGCAGAACATGTTCATGTACTGTATGATGTAGGAGATCTCCAAATAGGTTCGTTGTTCTGGAAATGCGTAGGGATTACCTGGCATAAGTAAAGTAGGATATGACCCTCGTAGTCAGGTTATACCGTACCCTCATATAAATCCCTCCTGCTATCGCAGTCGGGATTTATATTCAGCCGGTATAACCCTCTGACTCGGGTTATCCTCTACGTATAAAGGACCCTGCATACAACATCCTTTTCTCTTCGCTGTGGGTGCAAAGTACTGCTCTGACATGTCACAAGACTGCAGTCACGGAATTGACCAATTACGTTGCACCTAGCAGGGCCTAGGTAGGGTGATCAAAGCATACTTCACTTCCGTACTCACACCACAAGCTTTGATTATCCCACCAAAGCTTGCCCAGGCGGGCTTTGATTTTCCGATCAAGCCCGACAGCCGGGGTGGGCTTTGATGCACTGATCTCAACTTGCTTCTGGTATTTTTTTGTTCGAGAAGGTACAGTCGCTCTTTGCAAGCGTAGTGTTCAGATCGAAGTCCGCGTTCATGTTGGAAGTTCAATCAAAGTAGCTGTGTTCATATCCCATCAGCCAGTCACTGTCGTTCACGAATTATGTTTTAGTTCTGTTCTCGTGTATAAGTATGGGCGTGAATCAGAAACGTAATCAATATCAGTATTATTCTGTGAATGGTAACTTATGATTAGAGTGGTGTTGTTGGGAACCTGGGGACCAAGTGAGGACTGGAAATTATCATGTGCATTCCAGATACTTACACCATGCTCTGCCACTGTGTTGTGCGTGCTTTCTTTAAAATTTTTGTGACCACAGAGGATAATAGAAACACAGCAGGATCCACATGAAGGCAGACCGTAAGCTGCTAGCTACATCTTGATACACAAATTATAATTATACATGTACATATGTGCACGCTTGTACACACACACGAGCTGGATTAGACTGTCAGCAACGTGTTTAGCAGCTTTATCCCTCTCCCCTGTGTGTGTGTGTGTGTGTGTGTGTGTGTGTGTGTGTGTGTGTGTGTGTGTGTGTGTGTGTGTGTGTGACCGACACCAAAAGCGACTCTGTATGTCATTGGATACTATTGCGGCAATGGACAGTACTTCGAAGTACTTCATTGCTTTGAAGTTTAGGCATATTGGCAATTTGTAGTTGGTCTCATCGAGGTCAACTTTGAATAGCAGTGTTCATCTCTGCACAGTGAAGCTTGTATGCAGGAGGTGTTAATTAAACCACAGTGTTCAAAATGCACATGCTCGTATACCTGCATGCACATGCACACATTGTGCCAAAGTCCTACAGATCTTTGGCTTCAACTGTTGCCAGATTTACTGCCTTTGTTATCGAAAACAGACACACTCGAAGGGTGTGACTCCTTCGAAGAAACAACTCACGGTGACACCTCCAGGACAGGAAATGTACTTGTTGACAGTTGCGAATGTTATGTTGTCCTTGGCTAGGTGGTTCTTCTCCGGACTGTCCAAGCAGCATGCCATGTCCTATGTTCAGACACATGGAATGGTGGGCAGCTTTCTCATTCGACCAAGTGAAGCTCAGGGTGACTATTCCCTCATGGTGCAGTAAGTCCTTGACCTGCTCATTTCCCCTACATCTCCAGGCATGTCCCCAGGCATGTAGCCAAGCCAAGGTTGAGGGGGGGGGGGGGGGGAGGGATGGTGAGGAGGGTACTAGGCCTAGGGTGCCCCTTTTCCCTTGGAAAATTGGAAATCTCTTGTAAAAGGCACGTGCACGTTACGTGTACATGTCTGCGCATGTTGTATTGTGTAAATGCAACTCCCCATTTTTTCCGCCTGCGGTTTAATACCAGACTTTGTTAGGGGGGTCGGTGCATAATTTAAGAGTGATGCTGGAGTTGTGTGTGTGTGTGTGTGTGTGTCCCATATGGTGCAGTGGTATGTGCAGCGATTTCCAATCGATAGATTGCGGGTTCGATTCCCGACGATTATGGTCACACACGTCTTTCTTCTCTTTCTCAGACTCTTCCTGACTTTTCTTTCATTCTCCTGGGCGTTTACCAACAGCCAGTGCATGCCGGAGTATGTGGTGTGATGTGTGTGTGGGAAAAAAAAGAAAGAAAAAGACCAAAAATAGGGATGGTATGTGGTGTGATGTGTGTGCGGGAAAAAAAATGAAAAGACCAAAAATAGGGATTCACTGGCCAGAAAATGTCACTCCAAGTAGCTGTATGGTGTAGACCAGGCTGAATAGTGACGGTCAATTCTTCAGCCTTGCAAGCTGTTGAATGGTGTAATCCCAGCACAAGTTGCTATGGCTTCTGCCGTAGCATTGCGTGAAAGGTCAAGGTGTATGTGTGTGTGTGCGTACACGCGCGCATGTGTGTGTTTTCTCCTGGGACAGCATTGGAGACAGCACTGTGCAGAGATATCGGATTCGCCAGGACTTCAGGTTTTTCAACATTGGCGGGAAGGCATACAGAAGGTGAGGTCACACGTCCCATTGCATTATAGCTACATGTACAGTATATGAAGTCTGGTCTTATTCCTGCTTGCAGCTCTGCTGCTGCTGCTGCTGCTGCTGCTGCTGCTGCTATTGCTGTAATCAACCAAAGACACCTGGCTGAGACCATGGTCCCACTGGCCCAGCTTCTTGCTGACCAAGTGGAACGCTTCGTGTCTTGTCAGTAGCATTCGGCGGCACTAGCTGACTGTCTGGTCACGCTGCATTCTCGGTGCCAGCTGAATGACTGAAAGATGAACACGTGCTTTCAAACTCCCTGGTCTTCTTTCTTTGAGAAATTGACCCTTGTTTTGAGATTCCTGTCGATACGAGCTCCTTTCCTCTGCAGTTATGTTTGCAAGGAAAAGGAGCCAACTGGTGACGATCACACGTTCATTTCTCCACCAGTGTTGGCCTTGAAAGAAAAGCATGTCAGGTTCACGACAGGTTTTCCTTCCCCAATTCCTGAGTCTGCACGATGAGAGATGTAGCAGAAGGACACTTGCATTGAAAGGATGCGACATGGGACAAATTGTGGATAGAACGAAGCCAGAAATAGAAAGTTAACTTCGATAATGGGCGATCAATTGAGGCTCTATGAAGAACTTGGTCAAGGGACTGCAACTAAATGGGTCTGGTGGAATTCGCTCAGACTTATTTTCGGTCAAAGTGACGCTTTACTCTACTCAGTACAAACTCTCTGCAGCAAACTCCACAGAAGGTTCACCAAATTTTCAGGCATGGCACACTATCAGGGTGAAACAGTAAAACTAAATGCAAACAACCAAGACAGTGAGTGCAGCACGGGGAGTGGAGATACATTGTATTGTGTTTAGACAATGTCATGTATTATCCTAGCCTCTCTAATCCCTCTTCTTGCTCTGGGACTCTAAACCCATTGTTTTGCGCTGTTGCACGTGCCACTCTATGCATCTCCTCCAGTCTTGATGACATAATCGCTCACTACCGGCAATGCCAGATTGCAGCTAACGTGTACCTTATGGACCCTGTAGTGAAGGTAGGTGACATGCGTGGGTGTGTCTGTGGCGATGTGAGTTGGTGGATTGGTGTGCGAGTGTGTTTGTGTGGGTGTGCGAGTGCTTTTGTGTGGGTGTGTGAGTGCTTTTGTGTGTGTGGGTGGGTGGGCGTGAGTGAACTGTGTATAGACTATGTGTACCGTGTGCAGGCCTTTCCCTCTAGAATGCAGTGCTGGCTGTGGTGGCATAGCTACTCACACGCACAAGAACTGATAGGCATACACCACACGTATGGTCAGCGCTGCATATGAAATAGTACATGTGTGAGTCACATCACTAAGCCTAGTGGAGAGTTTCCAGAATATCTCATGCAGATAGCCTCATGAATATCTCATGCATGCTAGGCGAGTAGCCTCATGGCTTGGTCAAGGCTGCAGCATACTTCAATAGAAAGAAGTAGCGTTTACAGAGTGTGCAAACTGTTACTTAGTCACCTGGACCTGGAGGTGAGAGGAATATTGCTGCAGTTCCTGTACGTGCCAGAGTTAGTTGCATACATGCGCATGTATTCACAGCTCTGACAGCTTGATCCTCATATGACTTGTAGTCGGAGGTAGCATGTCTCGTCCTCCATGCTAGTATTTCAGTTCCCTGCTAACTGGCATGCTCATTCACTGGAAATGGAGTTCGGGCACGGTCTGAATCCTGCCGTAGCGCCTGTGAGTGAACAGCAGCTGTACACACGTTCCATAGAGCTGATCAGTGAACGGGATTATTCTGTTGGTGTTCAGACGGAGGAGTACATCACATTGGAGCTGGGTGTTTCAAAGGCTGTGCAACAACCCAACGGCGGTGTCTGCAAGGAGGGATACCTGACAAAGAAAGGTGAGGAGAAAGAGCTTCTAGTATAGTGTAACAGACTGTGTTGGTGTAGCAAAAAAGCTGTATGAGGGCTCAACTTTTACGTCCACTGTCTATAGCATGTACCTAATGTACTTTTTAAAAGTTGATCATCTTACCGTATCACGCTAGTGTAGCTGTGTATGGTTTGGAGTGCTCGACAGTTGAACGCATTTGAAAGAGGTACTTGGTGGTTGTGTCGAGCTCACGGTGTGTGTGTGTGTGTGTGTGTGTGTGTGTGTGTGTGTGTGTGTGTGTGTGTGTGTGTGTGTGTGCGTGTGTGTGTGTGTGCGTGCGGGTGCGTGACATTTCTTTTGCTTGCATTTGTCTGACCACTATCATTTCTTTTGCTTGCTTTTGTCTGACCACTGACTCTGCTAGAATTTAGGCTTGTCCAGTACCCTTCAAAGTTCACACTCACGCTCTCTGTCTCTATTTGTCTCTCTGTCTCTCTCTGTCTGTCTGTCTGTCTCTCTGTCTCTGTCTCTCTGTCTCTCTCTGTCTCTGTCTCTCTCTGTCTCTCTCTGTGTGTGTGTCTCTCTCTCTCTCTCTCTCTCTCTCTCTCTCTCTCTCTCTCTCTCTCTCTCTCTCTCTCTCTCTCTCTCTCTCTCTCTCTCTCTCTCTCTCTCTCTCTCTCTCTCTCTCTCTCTCTCTCTCTCTCTCTCTCTCTCTCTCTCTCTCTCTCTCTGTCTCTCTCTCTCTATGACTCTCTGTCTCTCTCTCTCTCTCTCTCTCTGTCTCTCTCTGTCTCTCTGTCTCTCTCTCTCTCTCTCTCTCTCTCTCTCTCTCTCTCTCTCTCTCTCTCTCTCTCTCTCTCTCTCTCTCTCTCTCTCTCTCTCTCTCTCTCTCTCTCTCTCTCTCTCGCTCCTTCCCGTGTTCTCGTTCTGTATCCAGTGGGCCACTCAAAGAAGTGGAAGGAGTTCTACTTCTCTCTGAAAGTTTCTGAACGTCATCTTCTTTTCTTCGAAAGTGACAAGGTATTTCTTTATCTAGCCAGCCATGTTAGGTCTTATTTTCCAGATCATCAGCAGCTGAAGGGATGCAGCGCTACAGCCAGTTTTCGAATTTCTGCATGCCTTATATGGTCGCATCATGCAGCCACTGCTTGCTCTCTTCCTGAGAACTTTGTCTACCCCTCCCCTCCTTGTTCTGTTTGTTCTTCTTCTGTTGTTCTCATTCAGTCATCTCATCCTAAAGGTCTCATTGACTTGAACTTCTGCAACCTGTACAACGTCCACGAGTCTTTACACGGCAGGTAAGCAACGTTGTCACAACTTAGTATTTGATCTAGATAATAGGTTGACTGACTGCTACGCCAGTGGAGAGACAGAAAGAGGGAGAATTGAGTTTGTTTCAATGTGGGATTGCCCTGTCCAATTCGCCATCCCCCTCTTCCCAGTCGCCCTGGTGTGTGTTCGGGGGATAATGGCTGCTGCACAAACCCCCCAAGCATTGCTATCTTCTAACTATCACCACACTGAACTGGGTGACTGTCACCACACTGTACTGGTAACTGTCGGCACATGACACGCTGCTGTCGGCACCGGACCGTCAACTGTGAACTCGTAGGTGCCAGCATACATAATACTGGGTGCAGCGTGAGCACTGGCTCTGCCATAGATCCGGGACGGCTGCGATGAACAGTGCCCTGAGATAGGCCATACTCAATGCCCTGGTTTCGACGAGTATCTCAATCGGGCGTCATGCACTGTATGATATCTTCAAGAGTATCAACCCAGCAGTGCTGTTTTATCTGAGCACTTTATGTGGGGACTCACAAGTTAAAACCATAGTACATGTACACAACATGTGGCTGATGAATCAAACAGAGAAGTAAATCTGGCGAATATCACATGACCATACCACCTTCCAAATGGTATACAATGTACATGTACATGTATGCTAGGCTTTGAGCATTGTAGTCATCAGTCTCTCCAACTACGCCATGTCTTGCTCGTGACCATGGCTTTCTTCTCTGCATGTGTTTTGACTTCGACTTGGATGGGTCCAGTCTAGTTTCCGAGACGCACACATGGAAGCACAACTCCCAGGCCACGCACTAGCAGCATGTGTTTAGTAGCACTGTGTATATATAATTGTCGGTGCATCATGCAGCTATGGATGTCTTTGTTCAATGAAATCATAGACACTGGTGAATGTCATCAGGACGGGTGTACATACATGCACATTTACTCTAGCCGGAGGTGTTTTGTCCTCAAGACCACTATCATACAAGTAGATCTGTGTAGCCATTGGAAAGTGTACAGTCATTAAAGTACACGATGACTTTGTTACATAAATGAGAACAACCGTGGTGAAGAACGACTCGGCACGGCTCAGAGCTTGTGTGACTAAGCTCCACAACTATTGATTACTCTGAGTGGCTTCACTTGCAGCTACCTCACTGCGGTCGGCTTTGTTATGTCTGTGGAGTTGATAGCAGGATAAGAGTACTGGTGTTACTGTCACACATCATACCCATTGATCTGGCTGCCTGAGATTGTATAACCGTGACCGTGGGTGGTCTGTCCTCTGGTGCTCCGTTGACTCGAGTGAATTCGGTCGAGGCAAACACCAGTATCAAAGCCAGATACGATGAATTACACTCTCCCTTGGGTATAGGAGCGCTAGGTCAGTTGTGAAATTCACAGTGGGATTGAGTGCTCGGTGCCGACCAGTTTGATCAAGTGAAAGTTATCGCGATCACCTCTTGGCCGTGTTGTGTCTACTGGTATTGCTTACGGGTGACATACGTGCGTCCGAAGTGACCGAATGTGCGGTGGACAGGACTCCGTGGCTTCTGAAGGAGATTTTTGCAATGAATGGTGCTCTGGGCACAATTGATCAGTGCATGCACAGTACTAGTGACAGCTGTGAATACATGTGCCAGTTCAGTGGCATGCACATGACACTTGCGCTGTTGCATAGTGCGGCGAGGTGGACACATCTGCCCGCTGCTGTCTGCACTGATCCCAATGCACCGGCACTGTGCAGGTTGACATCCTCTCCAGTCCTGTCAGCTGTGGCACCAGTTTGCATAGCTGTGCTTCTCTCCGGAGCTTCCTGTTCAAGTGTAGACAGCTGAACTCATTCTTTGTAGATGGTGGTGCAATACCCTTTTAGCTGCGGTAAGCCGTCCAGCTAAACGCATATTCCAATTTCACGAGAAACAGTCTATGGAAATGCTGTTGTTGCACTACACATTACCCTGCACTTGCAGTAGTACGGTACATTCATGTACATGTGGATGGACAGCTCACTAATGCCACAGTACTAACTGTAATAGTTTTAATGTGGTCTTTTGATGGCCATAGGCACAACCATAGCGTACATGTACATGCCGACGGCACGTTGTTTCATCAGCTGACTACTGCTACAGTGCTGACACGACAGTAACAGTTCAAGCAGCCCTGTGGTGGCCATCAACACAACTAACTGTGGTGCGCGGCATGTATGTCCTGAGAGCAAACATGCACTGTTACGCAGTTTGAGCAAGCACTCCGTGTAGTGCACACAGGCACTGTCTGCACCGCCCCATGGTGCATGAGTATGTCAGTGCGTGTACACCGTATCAGCACTTCATATGTCTGTACATGTAGCAGATTCTCTGACAACGCCTTGACCAAATTCCAGGACTCTTTTCTTCCAGAGAATATGGTCCGTGCAGTGGGACTGGTTTGGCACTCACTAGCATTCATTGTCATTTGCGGTCCTGCGGGGTATGCAGCACAGTATGTTAGTGATCCACTTTCTAACGTACCGTATACCGATGCAGTATGTAGGAGGTGGGGTAGAGCAGACCCGCTCTTTCCTGTGTGTGTATGCATTGCCTATACTCGATGCAGTCAGCACAGACTGCAAATGTGCTGTATGGACACCCCCGGCAATTCTTCTTCAAACAGACGACAGGCCACTGTTACATGCAGTAGGCTTGTGTGTGTTTACTTGGCCTATAGCATAGCTTTAGAGTGTACATGCATACTACCCGGTATGACATTCGGACTGTAGACTGTAGAGTAGTGTAGTAAGACTTAGACTTGAAGTTAGTGTAGACTGTAGATGGTAGCCCCGGAACCATTGACTTACTGGTAGTAGTATTCTGCATCCTTACAGAGCTGTTCATGTTCGGACAGCTTTTGCTGCGGTTACCAGTATGTGTTTGGATCAGGCAGTCACTGTAAGTGTGTTCTACAGACTAGTGAGGTAGTTTGTTGGCATGAATGCGTTATGTGCGTGGCTGAATGCGTTCATGTGCGTGGCTGAATGTGTGTTCCATGGAAAACCTGCGTGTAGTGACTTGTGTGATATTGTGTTATTGAACGGACTGACACTACATCTGCTCTGCCACTGTTGTCCTGGTGTCAAACTTTTATAAAGTTCCTTGCGTAGCATGAACCTTTCCTACACATGCACCCGAAGGAGGGCCCCTTAGCATATTCTTATTGATCGACCCTAACTGACCAGTAATCCTACGTCCTTGCTGCCTGTACTTTGTGTTGATCTACTGCCAATGCCAAACCATCTACATACATGTACTTACCATCTACTTCGAAGTAGATGTTTTAGTAGACTCTACTACACATGTTAGTTCACAGTTATCATTCATGGTCATGTAGTGGATCTACTGCCTTGGTGTTACGAAGTAGCACGGCCAAATTTTCTTCTCTCCTTGGGATTCGGTAGATAAGACTTCGCATGCTCGATATGCGCACACGCGGTTCAAGGTACAAAGGTGACTGGACTTGTTCACGTCGTGGCTCACTCTGTTGCTGCGGTCTCCACGAACACTAGTCGGACACTTGCATTGCTCTCCAGTGCAGTGTCAGGGCTTGCTTATTTCGCAGATATACTACGAATCGTATAAAGATGCTACGAAGACAAATCAATGACAATAGTCATTACTACAGCCAAGCAGTGTAGCACAAGTGATGTAGACCTACTAGTACACGAAATAATTCAATCGTCGATGTTCTCGCTTGCGAAGCCTGGGCGAACATAGCACGGTTATCCGGTTCGCACCCTGTTCAAGCAGCAGAGCTGGGACGACGTCTTGCACTCTTGCCAGTCTTGGGCTAGGAGCCTAGGTTCGTACTTCTGCACTCTACCTCGTCGACCCACTGCCTGGCATCAAGTAACAGTTTCCGAACTCTCAACAAGGACTTAGGTTCGTCGGCACATAGGCATTGAAGTGGTCGTGGACTTGTTTTGAATCTACTCGTAGAAAGTAATACGTTGCGTCTGGTGAAGAATTATTGTGGTGAAAACGATCTATTGTTCAGTTCCTAGCGTTAGCTTAGATCCATCAACACCTTCACAGTTTCAACCCATAAATTCGATACCCAACCAGGAGTAATCATAACACCTAGCTGCTGCTATAGCCTTTCTCCTCCCCTCAATGGTCATCTTCTTCTGGTCAGCTCACTCTAGTCTTGAGTCTTGACAGGACACTTGAGAGAAAGTTCGCTTAGAGAAGCGGTTGCCATTTCCCCGCGGCTCCAACTCCGCAGGGTACGCGTACCTTCGTGCTCCTGAGTCGGCTCTCGCTCTCCTTGATCTTCTTTACCTCCATCACCGGCACTATCGTGTAGATCAGAAGGACATCCTACACAAGACTGCTTGGAAACTGGAGAGCGCTTCGTCGCGGATGCCGCTTCGCCTCGAAGCTATGGTTCGAGCGGCTAATGTGTGACTTGCTGGCGGTACTGGAAGAGCTTCAATCACGAGACACGGCGGCATTTTTAGACGTTCCCGGCCGCTCACTTTGCTCAGGCTTTCATCGTGAAGGCCATGCCGCTTGGGAATCGTGTCAGGCTTGTTGCATACATCGCTATGTCTAGCTCGGTGTAACTAATGTTACTTGTTTTCGTCGACGGAACCATCACTCAATCGACTCGTACGATCGTGGACACGGTGTAGTCACCTTGTAGAATTGTAGCATACACACTGGCACGACGACGGGATCAGGTCGACTGTAGAGGCTACACGATGGACGCCGGTGAGTGGTGATAGGGATATTAGGGTAGCGCTTGTAGGGTATTTACGTCGGTCCTGCAGTCTGCTCTCGTGACTCCATTTTGCGTGCCGTGCTCGGCGTCAGTTTTCGTGCCGTATTGCCCCAGCTGTCCCGCGTGTTGTCATGCTGGATAGGTCATTGTCTTTGATTCAATCATTGGATGAGCCCCGCATTTGTACAAACTCATCGACGAACAACGGCAGCAGCAGCAGCAGCTGTGGCAGCAACAGCCAATACTACGACCATCACTGGCAACAGTGCCTCGGACACTGTTCTCCCTATCATTGCGCGTATCTCCTTATCCCCCTTTCACGGTCTTGAGTCTTGACGACCCGTAAGCTGTTCGGTCGATGTCATTTTGACTGGCTATGCTGCAGGGCATAGGGCATACATGTATCCATCATGGAGTAGCTGTTATTCATTCCAGTGCGTACAGTGACTGTCAAATTGTTACTGAGTTTGTCATAGACCGTATCAGACCCGCACAGTAAAAGCTCATAACCATAATCGTCGGACTCGCTCTTCCAAATGTGCAGTACATGTATAATACCTATGTCGTGATCCTCGATCATTATCTGTAAGTCGTGATCTTCAGCTAGTCAGGACAGAACACTTATGCCTGTCTTGGGTATTCCGGCCTGCAGTGATTAGTGACTTTGTACAGCCAATGGACCACACATCTCGGTGCTGTCCATACCCTGTCCACGTAATTAATTGCTGATGCGCAGCCAGAGGCTAGGCCATTGATCAGTTGCTAGCAAGGAGAAAGGTTTATCCAAAAGGAAGAGTTTCAGTGCCCTGCTCTCTGGCCCGGTAGTCTGGTGTATGCTGAATCCTGACAAGACCTGAGAATTGTACCAGTCGGGGTTAGTGCAGACAGCTCATGATTACAGTAGTGAGTACTGTTATGCTAGGCTGTTAGTTATTGTGAGTGCGGGTGTCTGTTGCAAGCCGCAGTACATCCGTATACTAGTACTGCATAATACTATGCTGCTGCTGCTGTTGCTATTCTTGTGCTCTGGCCTGTAGGCTGCATAAGCTGTGAGTTGGTAGGTCAACTGTGCTTCCCTGTGGGAAGAGTGTACTCGGGCTCACTCATGCTCATCCCTTGTTTCCGGCTGCTGCTGCTTGTGTATACATGTACATGCGTGTGGTATGCTGTGCGGTGTGCCTATGTACCTGTGTGTATCCATGGTGTGACCCTGCTGTGTGTAGGTCCAACTGCTTTCAGCTGGTGATCAGGTCGTTTGCGGAGGTCTCCTCATTCTTTTTATGTTGCCAGTCACCGGAAGACAAAGAGGTGGGTCTGCTCAAGACTGTTAGCTGTTCAGTACTTGGACTGTCTGTTTGTTTCTCCCTGGTGCTGCCTTGGAAGGAGAAAGGATTTCGGGACGTGCCAAGCTTGATTGCTATTTTGCTGAGCATAGCTGTGTGTCACTGAAGCATGTGCGTCTGCGGTCTGTCCAATACCAGGCAGCTGCTCTGGTCAGGCAAAGTGGCCGTAAGGTATTGCTGCTACTGTTCTGGCATGTGCATGTGACCAGTGTTGGTTACATGGTTTGCTGGCGCCCTACCCTACCCTTCTCTGCCACCACTTAGCAGTTTCATGACCCGACAAGTGCCTCTCCTCAAGTCACTACAACAGTTGTAGTCTAGATTAGGCTGAGCTTCATTCAGTAAGGTTTCAAGTTTTGGATGCGGATGGAGTAGGACTCTGGAGGTGCCTGTCAATGCTTGAAGGTGACAGCTTCTCTGGATCATTCCCACTGCCCAGAACTGCTCCTCCTGGCTCAGGTGTCACGCTGATGCCCGTCCAGTCCAGCCTCTTCAAAGTCCTTGTCCTCAGCTGCTGAGCCTGCTGTTTCTGCTTGAGTTGGACCTGGTGGAAGTACAGTCAGTGGTGTGCAGTGCTGGTGTGCAGTGGTGCTGGAGGAATAGCAGTCATAGTGTCTGGTGTGTCTGTGTCACTGTCACACACTGATGATGGCTCTCACATGCCAGCCTGGCAATGGCCGCAGACACCACTTGTCAGCAGCTGCAGCACTTTGCAGCATGCCAATGACGGTCAGTTGGTAATGTCCACTCTGCTCATATCATGAATTCATGATGGCACCTGCTATTGGCAATGCAGTGCAGTTTCTACTGCTATGCCTGCTGTTGGCAATGCAGTGCAGTTTCTACTTCTGCACTGCCTGCTAGTGTTGGTTGGATAGTTAGTGTGATCTCTTACTGATTGCACTATGCAGTTATAGTTTAGTAGACTTGGGCTATATTGGGACTGTACTCTATTGAATGCTTTCTCATGATGTGCATTCTGATTGGCAAGTCGAGTTAGCACCGTATCTTCATTGTTTCCTCAAACACTGCTTGCATTCCCTGAGGGAAGGGGAGGGGGTGTTAGCAAGTACACTGAAAGGCAATGTAGAGATGGATACAATTGAGTGACAAAAGAAGGGAAACAGATGAGCTACAACCTGTACAGCTAGCCCAGGGGGCAGGAATTGATGTGTGTACGTTTGTGTGTGCATGTCGAGGTACCAGTGATGACTGGTGTCACGCTGTGCTTTTCCAGCCTATGATATTTCCTTGATGTGTGCTTCCTGTGTTCGTGCATGCATGCTGCGGCAAGTACTTCCTGTGTTGTGTGTGTGCGTGTGTGTGTGTGTGTGTGTGTGTGTGTGTGTGTGTGTTAGTAAGGAATGTCTGTCATGCAATACATAAGGCACACAAACACATAACTTCATGCACAACAACAGTAGCACTGATCACCTGGAGAATGATCTTTCAAGACAGCTGTGCTCTGCACAGGTCATGTCCTGCTCCTGCAGGTCTCTCTCAGTATCTGCATAGCTCATCACACTCTTAATCCCAATGCTGGCTTCAGGGAATGTCATAGTGGTACTCCTTGCTTCCACACAGTGCAAGCTGCAATCTGGCTACACAGAAGCAAGCTTTAGAGAAAGCCCCCCCCCCCCCCCCCCCCGAAACTGGTGACTGATTTGCATTGGTCTGTGTTTGTGTGTGTGTGTGTGTGTCTGCATGTGTGTGTCTGCATGCCTGTGTCTGCATGTCTGTGTCTGCATGTGGGTGTGGGTGTGTGTACCTTACTGGCTTATCATATGTGCAGGAGTGGATGACTGTGCTAGAGCCGCTGTGTCTCAATGCGGAGCGCTTCGGCGGCCAGAAGGGCTCTCACATGGAGATCTGCAACATCCGCCTGACCGTTCTCGACACGCAGAAGTTCCCGAAGAACTGCTCGCGGCCGTACTGCCTGATCTCGCTGAACGACGTTGCCGTGGCGAAGACGTCATGCCTGGAGGGCAGTGCGCCGCCTATAGCCTGGGATGAGGACTTTGTGTTCAGCGGCCTGAACAAGGAGATCAGCACACTGGCCATTCTCATCCTCAACAAGCACAAGCGCGTCAAGGATTCCGTCGTGGGCAAGGTCAGCGTCGACTTGACGCAGCTGCCCAACCGGACGACGACGGAGGAGTGGTACGAGCTGAAGCCGCACGACAAGGGCAGCAAGAGCAAGGTCAACCTGGGCACGTTGAGACTGCGCGTCAAGTACCAGTGCGACGTCGTGCTGCCTGAGGGGGAGTACCTGCCGCTCAAGGATCTCCTGGTGGCCAATGACATGGAGGCCATCACGTGTCTGGGTGAAGTCATCAAGGACCGGCGCAGTCTCATCGGCTCGCTGATGAAGATCTTCATGGACTGTCCGGCCGGTATCCGCGTGCTGCTCAGTAACCTGGCCGAGAAAGAGGTCAACTCGCATGGTAAGTAAGACATTTGTGGTGTGTGCGTGCGTGCGTGTGTGTGTGTGTGATGTGTGTGCGTGAAAAAATGGAAAAAATGAAAAAGACCAAAAAGTAGGGATTCCCTGGCCAGAAAAAGCCACTTCATAGCTGTGTGGTGTAGACCAGGCTGAATAGTGGCAGTCAATTCTTCAGCCTTGCAAGCTGTTGAATGGTGCAATCCCAGCACAAGCTGCTATGGCTTCTGCTGTAGCATCGCTATCATCGCCTCCGGCGATGGGCGTCCAATGGTGTGTATGGAGGGGGCAGGCAACGATGGTAGTGGTGGTCTGTATGAGCGTGCCGCCGTATGCTGTTTGTTTGTGCAACTATGGACACAGCCATATTGTGTGTTGCAGCTTTGGCAAGCCGGCTGCTTTTTCTCTACAACGTGCCATTGTTTGCAAAGCCTTGTCTACTTATGGCATCCATACTCCAGTGCTATGCTATTCCGGTTGGTTTGGGTGCAGTGGAATTTTCCTGTCCCATTCTGCCTGTACTTTGCTGTGCTGAAGTAAAACTTGAATACCTGCAGCTACTGTAGAGTAGCCAAGACCATGCTCTGTTGCCATTCCTGCACTTCTACCAGTCCCTAGTCCTGGCACAACAATTGTCTTACTGTTTGCTTTTAGTCCCTTGTTGTTGACTGTCCTCTACCCTTGTGTACGTGTGCAATATGTGCGTGTGTGTGTGTGTATGTGTCACTGTGTGTGTGTGTGTGTGTGTGCGTGTGCTGACATACAGAGGATCCAGCTACACTATTCCGCAGTAACTCCGTGGCCAGCACAGCTATTGATGAGTACATGAAGATGGTTGCCATGCCTTTCCTGCACGGCACGGTCAAGACATTTGTCAACGACATCATTGCCAGCAATCCCCACTGTGAGGTATGTCTGTTCGTGTACGTGTGTGTGTGTGTGAGAGAGAGAAAATGTGTGTGTTTACATTTGTGATTGTCCATGTGTGTGTGTGTGTGTGTGTGTGTGTGTGTGTGTGTGTGTGTGTGTGTGTGTGTGTGTGTGTGTGTTGGTTTGCTGAGGCAGAAGGTCAGTTTCCATTAATTTCATTTGCTCTTTTTGTTTTTTCCTGTAGCTTGATCCGAATCGCCTTGACAAGGGCGAGGATATTGATCATAATCTGCAAAATCTGACCAAGTTCATGGGTCAGATGTTAGACCGGGTCTTTTCCAGCGCTGACACTATTGACAGGTGAGTTGAGATAGGAGTGTTTGAAGCTGACGGTTGGGATCTGCGTGTATGTGCATGTTTGTGTCTACACGGGTGCATGAACATACATGTGTGTGTGGGGGGGGGGGGGGCATGCTCGTGTTGCTCCATGCATGCTTGCACAGCAACACCGTGCCACCACTCATGTTTGCAAGTGTGTGCTGTGTTAGGAGACATGCATGATTGTACATATATTGCAGTAGCATGCAGCACCAGTAGAACAGTGCTGTCTGTGTTGCTGCCTGTGGTGCTGTGTGCCAGACACACTTCCTGTACTGTGTCTATTCACATGTTCCCGGGGGTATCTTAACACAATTATTCAGTGTATTCCTCTCCTGTCACGCGTACACCTGTACACAGGTTGTGATGTGTCACAATGGTCTGGGTGTTAATGGGATATTCTGACACAGTGTGCAATGATGCGTGGTGTGTATGCAATTATAGGATCAGTGTGCTTGCACCCAGTGGATGGCAGTGGAACTCTTAGTCGGTGCGATTGTTGACACATGTCATCACCTGTGCGCATGCGCCACCGCTGTTGTTAACGGTACTGCTGTTATTGTTGTCGTTGTTGTAGGGCGTTGCGAGAGGTCTTCTATTCACTGCAGAAACTAGTCAAGGAGAGGTACCCCGACCAGGAGGCCGTCAGGACAAGAGTAGTGGCGTAAGTCTGTCTGCATGGATGTGTATGCATGCACGTATGTGTGTGTGTGGGGGGGGGGGTACTGTGTGTACGTTTATAATTAATAGCAGCAATGGCAATCGGGTTGTGGGATTGTGCTGTTCCTTTTAACTACATACTTTTGTATAATCTTGCCCTATGTTGTACTTGGCTGCTGTGTTGATGGTGCAGAGGCTTCTTCTTCTTGCGGTTTGTGTGTCTGGCACTGGTCAACCCACGCCTGTTCAATCTTGTAACAAGTGAGTCTGCTGATCTGCTGATCTGTACTGTAAACAATGGGTCTGAACACTGAATATGTACGTGCTATTGCAATGCCCTGGCAACGAAGTTCTCACCCATCCGTCTTCTTTGTGTACCGGTATGTACTTCTTTGTGTGCGTTTCCAGATCAGCCGTCTGAGCGTGCATCAAGAACGCTCACACTGATCGCCAAAGGCTTGCAGAACCTGGCCAGTTTAGTGGAGTTTGGTGCAAAGGTGAGAGCCGCAAAGCTGCCCTACTACAGCACTTCAGGACTACCATGGCACTTTTTATTATGGAAACAAGGAAAACGGCGGGGCACAAGTTATGCGTTAGAGTCCACCAAGTATTAAAACCAGATTTTAAACAGTCGGACATGCACACTGTCTCAGTACTCCTGGTCAGTCTGGTGCTACCTTGTGCACGTCTGACTGTTTAAAATCTGGTTTAGTTGGTGGACTTGTGCCCTACCATTTTCCTTGTTTCCGTTTATAACACAAGTTGTGTGTGGGTCTTTGTGGTCAACCGTAGCAGCATTTGCTACAGCGGGTCTGTGTCTACAGGGACATGTAGTCTTGATTTTATGCACTAGAACTGTCATGTACATGTGCTACTATTACTGGGCAGTGGGTACTGCAGTCTACATGTACATGTAAACTGTCACGTTACCACGAGAGCGGCCCAGTCTGATTTTACGGCCAGGGAAATGAAAAATGTATGCCAGTGTGCAACTGAGTTTGTACTGTATGAGAACCTTAGTGTACTAAGGTCACGCTTAGCATGTTTTGTTTGGAGATCGCGTATCAGCTCCAAGGTTCACTGCGTATGGGTTGACTGCACAGCGTGCAATGTGTGTACAAGGTACTTGTCGTGTGGCCTACAGACATGATACTACCTCCCAAAAACACCCACCATGAAAGGGAGTGAATGGTGGGGCGCTCTCACGATACTTTGCGGTATTGCTAAACTCCTTTTACACTCCGCTGCATGACCAGGGTTCCAGTTTGTTTATTAATTTATTTCCTGCGATAGCATAGATTTCCAGCAGTAGACATCATAACTTTCGGCAGTAATTCTAAATCCAGACCTCATTAGGTTTGGGCTGGCGGAAATAAAGCCATGTTGATCATGTACTTTGGCGTGTGGGTATCTTTGTTCGTGTGTACGTTGCTATAATGTGTGTGTTGCATGCATGCCCTCGTCTGTACGTGTCTATTCCTATACGACCATTCACACATTCACACATTCACAGGAACCGTACATGACAGTTGTCAACCCGTTCATTTCGCGGCATCGGCAAGGCATGATTGACTTTGTAGACAAGATCTCGGTAAGTAGTTCATGTACGTGTGCCGTGTGCCGTGCTGTGTGTCTTGCAGTGCACTTGCAGTGCATGTACATGTGTTGTGCTGTATGTCTCGTCCTGGTCCATGCCATGCAGCCACTCAGTGACATCGGCGAGACTAGTGTATCCTTCATGTCATGTGTAGTAGGATTTACTGGACTCGTTCAGTGGTATGGAGGTTGTCCGTTCATTCTTCATTCTTGCTTCTAGAACAGGTGCCGTGTGTGTGTGTGTGCGTGCATCAAAGAACATGTATGTGTGTGTGTGTGTGTGTGTGTGTGGGTGTGGGTGTGGGTGTGTGCGTGCATGTGTGTGCATGTGTGTGCATGTGTGTGCATGTGTGTGCATGTGTGTGCATGCGTGTCTGTGTGTGCGTGTCTGTGTGTGTGCGCATGTGTGTGCATGTGCGTGCATGTGCGTGTGTGCTTCTGTGTTTACCCTCCACCCACACACAGCTCGCACCGGAAGACACAGCGGTGTCCCTTAACACCCTGACAATAACGGGCAACACGCACCGAGAGTTTGCCAATCTGGTCAGTGTTGCATACGAGTATCTGCCGGAGATGAAGAAGGCTAGCCAGTCCACTAAGCCCAAGGTTGGTAATAGACTTCAATGAAGTTGTTGAGCACATCGCTGTGTGCAAACTATGCCACATGGTGTCCAGCTGTGGTAGTTTTTCTCGGCTTGAAGCCTACTTTAGAGCCTACTTTAGAGCCTTGCTGCACACACACAAGTACTGTAGAGTCCACTGCAAACGCTTATGTCGCAGTAAATGCCCTCCCCCCCCAGCTGGTCTGTACTCGCAGTAAACGCCCGCCCCAGCTGGTTTGCACTATTTTGCATGGCAGGTATTTGTTTGTCTTTCCCAGGTCAGCATTGGTGCGTCGTGTATAGCTGGCACTGGCTGGTGGGTGTTTTCTGTTTACAGCGGACTTTACGCTACATGTACGTGTGTGCAGGACTTTGCAGTGGGGAAGGGTTCCTTTATTACTTATTATAGTGTATGTTGTTTCAGGTGGTAAATCTCTCTCTGCTCTAGGTCAAGTTTCCTATTGCTAGACACTGACTGTACTTCAGTGTGATGAAGAAATACACAATGTCATGTATTGTGCTCCCTGTGTGCTGGCCATGTCGCATTGTACAGGCGCACGTGTTCGCCAAGCTTGTGGATATGCTCGAAAAGCTGCATGTTTCAAGCTAGGAGGGGAGAAGGTTACTGGCACGTGCTGCTCACCTCCGCACATACACGCACGTACATGCTACTCGACATACATGTACTTGGGCTGCAGGCAGCCAAACACTGAGAAGATAAGCGACTCTAGACACGGTCCTGTATTGCCATCACGTTTTGCAGCGTCGACGGAGATGATGATCACTGTGGCAAACCAAACGTTACTTGTCAATTTGCTAACCCTGCTGTACTGGTCCAGACCCCCCTCCTGCATCTGCCCTGCCCCTGCCAAACTACCGCAAGTCCCCAGCTGCCTTGAGAGCTGGTCATCATTCAGCTGTCCTAACTAACGACTTGACGAAAACCACTTGACCTTTGATAAAGCTTGATGACTACCATGGTGGTTGCACCTCTTGAGGCTCCCGCTAGACCCTTGAGACTTTTTTTGTTTTGTTTTTGTTGACATGCTCTGATTTATCTACTATACCTTGTTTTTGTCTGTCGAATCTTATTGGTCCTCTAGCTCTGTGTTATGTGATTAGGATGCGGGGGAATATGGATTTATCACCCTATATTTGGGAATATGGATTTATCACCCTATGTTTTTTTAACCTCCTCTTTCTTTTCTAGGGATATTATTATACGTATCATTGGCATCATTCACGCACACTCTCTGCCATGCCGCTGCAAGCATGCTGCTCATCACACATACATGAACGCTGCCACAGACCAGTCACCACTGTAACACCGCAGCAGTCTACATGCCAGATGATGCGCTATAGGAACAAACTTGCTGCAGCCAACACACACACACACACACACACACACACACACACGTGCTGCATACTGTGTGCTAACTGCTTTGCCTTCTCTGAGGCTTGCTGCCACTGCTTGTACTCCCATAATAATCCCTGTTCCTGTTTCAGTAGCGACTACGAAGTAGTTAGTAGTAGTAGTAAGCTTAGTTGCACATGATCACGTTGTCTGTCTCGTGAAGATATGATAATGTTCGCTGGATGCCAACCCTTGCGGAAAGTTCCCGAAAACAGTTTGAATTGAGAAGCCCTAATGAGAGAGAGAGTGTGTGTGTCCGGACGTGTGTGTGTGTGTGTCCGGAGGTGCGTGCTATATTTTGTGCGGAATGGCAACGGTGGTGCATTTACCATAGGCAAGGCGTGCATGACACAGCACAGTGCAATAACAATACGCACACTGTCTGAAATGCCGACGACGATCACCGTAGTCAAACATTGCACCTGCCCTATCATGAATGAAGGCACAGACCACATCACAAAATAGTGAGCATATTGTAGACCTACAGAAGTGGTCCCTCTACTACCCAAATAATGGCAAATATCCTACAGAAAAGAAAGCAGAAATTGCAATACCTTATTTACAACAGAAAATGGCAACGCTAAAATGTCAGGTGACAGCTATGGCTAATGAATAATTATACAATCATGTACATCTACACTTGCTACATCAGCTATGTACAGATCTCTTTTGAAAAGAAAACACACACAAACGGGGAAAATAGTATATGGGAAGGGGTATGGAATTCAAATTCCTAATCGAAATAATTTATACAATATCCTCCTTGGCCAGGATGCCAAACTCCAGTATTCTCCATGCCGATCGAGCGTCAAATATGGTCTGATCGCGGCACAGCGCCCACACGTATCTATTGTTCTGAATCATATCCTATAAGCACGAATACAGAAGGACAGAACAAAAGCACTCGAAAGCACTCAACACTGGATTTTTGCAAGTTGAACAATTAATTTGATACACCACAATAATAATAATAATTATGACATTGTGTTTGCAGATCTTTCTTTGGGGACCTTGTGAAGAAATATTGACACAAACAGTCAAACACCGAGATGTTCTGTTCCAACCATGTTATTGAATAGGGGTCTTCGAAAGCCAACATCCGTTTCACCCAGAGCTCATATCCAAAAGGACTTTGCTCAGTGCTGAGTGGAACCTGCACTTCGGGAGTGTGTTTCTGAATTACCCTGCTGATGACGTCACGTGTGCGGTGAGTACAAAATAACAACCCAAATACATGCACGTGCAAGGGGAACGAGAAAACTACTGATGAACCAAAGTAGCCAGAGTGGTATTCCAATGGACCCGCGTGCATGTATGAATTGCAATTTGAGAATAAAAGATGACAGTGTATTGTGGTGTTTGGACTTGGGCTCTTCGCAGGTTCCACTGGGGCAAAGCAATAAAAACAGAAAGGGTACAATATGTTCTTCAAAGTAAAGAGAAAAAGGACCTATAAGATACTAGTTATGACTAACAGTCCACCAAGGTAACCAAGGTAACGAGGTAAAAAAAGTATACAGTTAGATACGTGTAGTGCGACAAGGCACAAGACTGACAAGGATATTGAGACATTCGACGACCTGACACCTCATTGGAACTTTCCGCACCTGAGCCTTCCAAGTTGGAAGGTTGTTGGTTTGCACTTCGTAGATGTGTTGGAGCTAGGTGTCAGGTCGTCGAATGTCTCAATATCCTTGTCAGTTTTGTGCCTCGTTGTCAAACTATCTGACTGTATATTATCTCGTTACTTGGTGGACTGTTAGTCATAACTAGTAACTTTATAGGTCCTTTTTCTCTTTACATATTAGGCCACGCCGTTTTTCTATGTTTCGCGTCACCTTATTCGATGAAATCAATGAGGGAGGGCGAAAAAATAAAAAGCCAACCAAAAAAACAGTGTACGTGCATTGCATTTGTGTACAGTGAAGCAACGCGGCACTGCTCATGTACAAAATGAGTGTATCCCCTCTGCCATGGTTGTGGTCCAAACACAGGCGGCATGATGATTGTGTGACTTGCGGCCCAGCTCATGCACACACATGTACATGTACATGTGTGTGAGCTGAGTTACATTTTCCGGTTCTCTGGGTTTGCATTAAATTTGTATTGCATTTTCAAAAAAAAAAATTGTTCTGTTTTTTTTTTAACTCCGGCTGTGAAATACATGCGCGCGGGGGACGCGAAACATAGATAAAAAACGGTGCGGCCTTACTATTGGCTCAACATCCGAGTTTTTATAAAGTACAATACGTATATAACATTGTACAGAGCACTTTAGAGTTTCATAAAGTTTCTTACATCGCCTCCTTCGACTACTTCACCAGTCTTGTTGACAACCTTGGTGAGTTGTTGTGCTGAGAATGAGATGATGAGTACTGGACCGGGCTCCATCATCTTGCCCATTATCAGCTGCCATGGCACACAGGCACGCACACAATCACACACAGATACATGAACACACAACACACACAGAGGTATGAACACACAACACACAAAACCCTATCAATACAAATTTATATTCACGAATGAGTAGTACCAATGACTATTTCTATAGGTTAGTGCATGGCAGAGAGGGCCTTATATGGCTTGTTAGTGCCCGACAGGTTACGGCCCGAGGGCAAACTTGAAGGGCACAAACAAGCCATAACATTACGTTACATCTCACTTGCATTATGCTTGTGTGCCCTTATATTGGGTAGTTTTGTGGTTTGTGTGCAGAGAGAATTGGTGTGGTATGATATGTGGTATGATAGAATATTTTCTTCTGGTAACTCGGCTCCACTGAGGACTACTAAAAGGAGAATAGAAGCAAATGAAATGCTGGGCTCTTATTGTGAACTTCATTCTTATTCATAGCTTGTGCCAGTTGTGGAATTATTTAGGGGCTTCAAGAGCCCCTTTTCGATACATAGTAGAGAGGTTCCGCATAACGTAATTACGTTAGTAAAAAAACGTAGTCAATCTACGGAAAGTCTTACGTAAACTGCATGCGCATCTGGGTTCCGCCATACGGAGTTTTCAAATCACGTAGCTGCCCTTGGCAACTCCGAACGCGGCAGTGTACGACCAGATCGACCTGGGGAGAGAGTCATAAATTTGTACCCCAATCCACTTACGGACCAGCTACGTTATCAGAGCCCTATCTACGAACTCTCCGTAGACAACTTTCCGTAAGTGGAGTGCAAACTCGCGAATTCACGGGTTTTCCCGCCCACTAACGTAACGTTGCTCAACTTTACGTAGTGCGGAACCTCTCTAGTACTAATCCTCAGTTTTTATAGGGTTCTGCCAGCTGTTGACAAAGGATAATCGTACAGATGAAAGAGTACGGGAGGCAAACACCGCACACACTTCTGAAATGCGTAGCTTTTTAGGCTGTGTTTACATGAGCCGTTTCAGCCCGGGCCAAGTTTCAACCCGCCATGAACACAGATTGACGGGCGCGTTTACATGACGCATTGCGCTTGACCCGCGTTGAAATTTCGCTCCGGGTTGATTTCAACCCTCCCCTTGGGGCGAGGAATCGTACTAACGTACTTCTGTGCGTATCTCACACCAGGTTTGAACAGCACTGCACATGCAAATTTCGCGCGAAAGTATTCACGTGACCATACAAGACTGTAGAAGTGGACTTTTGGCGGCATATCAGTATTTGACCCGGGTCAACTGTCTTCATGTAAACGGTCACCTATTTTGTCTATCGTACAGACTTTCAACCCGGGCTGAACTCAACCCGGGTTGAAATTTCTCATGTAAACGCAGCCTTAGTAGTACACCGTACATTTTATCAAGAGTACTTAACCCCCAAGAGTGTGCAACTCCAGCTATGGGGTCTGCGATAGTCATAGCCCAAATTTGCTAGCAATTCTTTGAGCAAAATATCGGATGCGCAAGTTTCCGGCAAGCTTTGAGCAAAATATCGAGTTTTGGTGGGCTTTTCGAAAATTCCCAGGCTTCTTAGGGACTCTCAACACAATCAGTCACCAAGGTTGAAAATAAGCACAAAAGTTGTAGAAAACAGACTCATGGCTACATTTCAGTGGAAAGTTGAGCAGCAGCAGGAGCTCAATCAAAAATGTCGTCGTCATCAGCGACAAGTATCGTTGAGTTTTCCTTAAAAACTCATTTCATCTCGAGCAAAACCAAAGCAAAATACCGACGGAGAAAGGAAATGCCAAGCAGAATATCGAAGATTTTGTGGCAAAATTGTGCGGCAAAATATCGATGTAGGCCGAGCAAATTTGGGCCATGACTAGTCTGCGACGGCAGAACTTCACATCACGTGATGAACCCGTACACATTATTTGCACTCTGTGCATGATAGATACAGGGTTGTACGCAGCCCAGCTTTGGGTACAACTCTCTTGTGGTCACTTTGCACTGTTTGCCAGCATAACCTTTTGAACCATGTCACGTGATGTGAAGTTCTGCCGTCGCAGCACAGCATAGAGGTTGTGCAGGCAGTTGCACACTCTTGGGGGTTAGGCCACACGTTTATATTTCTATGTTTCTCGTCACCTGAAAATCTAAAAACGTATGCGAGAGGTGGAAAAAAATAAAAAAATGACCGAAAAATTAAAAAAGGTTATTAGACCTTTGTTCACACTAAAATCCACCAATACACCATGCAAAATAGCATCCATAGTTTGCAACTAGTATGTGGTAGGAGCTTCTGTCACAATCTGTGCATGTGCAGCTAGATTGCGCACAATAATTGGTGACCTCGCATCATGTGTCGCGTAGGCCAGGCCACATTAGAGAGGTTCCGGGGTACGATTTTCCGTGCCAAAATCCGTATGGGCGCTACGGATTTTTTCCAGGTGTGCTCCATACGATTTTTCGGCACGAGAATCCGTGTGGACTGGCTTTCATACGAACCATGCTTCGTATGGAGATTTTGCGTCATCGGGTGCAGAAAGATTTTTCGCGTACAAATTTGGTACGAGAAACATCGATTTTTCGCGGGAAGTTTTGATTTCGGTACAAATTTTCAAAATAAAAAGGCATAGCGCGGGAACGTGACGTGTTTGCGATCGTAACCTAGGCAATGACGGCAAACACATAAGTTCCGTACCCCGGAACTTTTCACTGCTCGAAAACGACGTATAAAAAATCCGTAGAGCCTCCACGGATTTTGGCACGAAAAATCGTACTCCGGAACCTCCCTATTATGTACATGTGCATGAGTGTGCTGGTCCCCACATGCACAGTCAGTGCAGCACAGTTTTTTTCTTTTTTTTCTTCCAGACTCCTGAATCGTATGCGCGCGGGTGACGAGAAACATAGAAATAAAAACGTGTGGCCTTATGTACTCCTGATTTTATGCAGAGTTCATTATCTGCACCGTACTATAATGCGTACAGGAAGTTGTATGCACCTGTTTATGTGTAGAGTATATTCATCGGGCTTTAACGAGTCATCAAAGAGTAGTAAAACTACGATCAAGTGGGCTTTAAACTCTGACAAGGACCTTGGCGGGAACATCACTGATTGGTCGTCTCCTGGACAACGAGACAGACCTCGTTCTAATCCAGGTTAAAACATCAGATGTCTGATGATAGCTTAGGCACGAAACGTTGAGTGACAACTTATTCCACATGAAAAATTCACATTCATGCAGCTTGTGTGTGGACTCAAGTGTCCTGGGTTCATGGGGGCCGCTTTCATCACACAGCTTCGAAAGAAAAACCCTAGATGTAGATGACCAATGCCGCCCCCTGCCTCTGCCAACAGGCAAGGAAATACTGTAAAGCAACTGCAGTGTTGCCACATCATTTTGGCCAAATATCAGTAGGGTGAAAAAATAAGATGCATCATCTGGACCAATCGATCACTCATTCTTTTAAATATTCGATCGAGTATCCGATTATTTCGAGTATTTTATCAAAATTCAAAAGCGCTAAATTTGTGAGTTATTAGAGAGGTTCCGCATAACGTAATTACGTTAGTAAAAAACGTAGTCGATCTACAGAAAGTCTTACGTAAACTTCATGCGCATCTGTGTTCCGCCATACGGAGTTTTCAAATCACGTAGCTGCCCTTGGCCACTCCGAACGCGGCAGTGTACGACCAGATCGACCTGGGGAGAGAGTCATAAATCTGTACCCCAATCCACTTACGGACCAGCTACGTTATCAGAGCCCTATCTACGTACTCTACGTAGACAACTTTCCGTAAGTAGAGTGCAAACTCGCGAATTCACGGGTTTTCCCCGCCCACTAACGTAAAGTTGCTCAACTTTACGTAGTGCGGAACCTCTCTATTGACCAATTCGGAAGAAATTATATGTGAACATAGAACAAAAGTCTCTAATGTCTTGTACAGAGTGTAAAGTAACGATTTTCATTATACTTTCATATCTCATAACTTCATAGTCATAACTAACGTTACATTGGCACTTTTTACTTTGTTCACCAAAGCAGTTTCTCATCACAACTATGCAATTGTCAGCACTGTTGTTCACACTTTAAGGTTCAACCCCCTCCCCCCCCCCCCCCCTCCCTTTGTCGTCCAACCTCCCTCCTTTGTCCATGCAGCCAAGACAATGGTAAACCAGCCAGCAAGCATCGGTAGGATCAAGAGTACATAAACCAGAGTGTGCAACCCAGGATGGTTCCTGTGGGAGCGTAATCCGTGCAGTACGTCATTTTTGACGGCATGGTAAGCCACAGGTACGGTGAAAAGTTGCGTAACCAGTCGCGGTGGTGCAGGTCACCGAGTTTGTCCTGATTTCGGTTTTTGATACGGATAGTATGCATGGTGAATTTACTTGCCAGTGGATGTACGCAGCGTACGCAGTCACTAAAAAACACCGAAATCTTAAAACAGGACGTCTAAAATCATGCAAACTTGGCTGATTTCCGGGCTGCGAAGCATGAAAATCTGAGCTGTACGCAAGTCGCGGCTCGGCTGACCTCATCAGGGTGACGTAGTGCACGATCTGCGCTGTTTCAGATCTGATATGCACAGTTGCACACTCTGGTTTATGTACTCTTGGTAGGATGCAGAGAAACCTCACCTCAACATTTGATAGCTCCAAGACTTGAGACTGGTTTGTAAGACCAAGCTGCTGCTGTTGTGTCAATAGAGCTGATAGTACTCCATAGGCCTGAAACAATAGTATGCGATTTAGGAGAAATGTGTGAGTGTGTGTGTGTGTGTGTGTGTGTGTGTGTGTGTGTGTGTGTGTGTGTGTGTGTGTGTGTGTGTGAGAGAGAGAGAGAGAGAGAGAGAGAGAGAGAGAGAGAGAGAGAGAGAGAGAGAGAGAGAGAGAGAGAGAGAGAGACACACACACACACACACACACACACACATACACACACACACAGCCAGAGAGATAGATAGAGGGAGAGAGTTCTTTGAAAATGCACAGGAGCAGGTGAATACTTGAAAGTAATGGGCACCGCACCAACCCTGTTATGGCGAGGCGGCATACAACAACAGTCACTCAATGAAATGAAAGAACCTATCACCCTCACAGTGACATTTTCTCCTGAAGCAATGGTGCTCCAATGGTACTGAACTCCCATGCACGCTGCATCAGGAAGCAGTTCACATTGACAGTGCAAAATGGAGAAATCTGCCAACAGAGTGCAAGAAAGTGTAGTAGCAGCGACACACTTACCCGATCATGACACCACTCACGCAACAAGTCCATGTCGGCACGCAGGAAACCCTGAGAATGGACACGTGGACACACAGGCACACAACACTAAGTACATGTACATGTACAAGTACACCATGTCCAGTCTGATTGCAAAGACCAGCAGCTGGGAACTTGAAGAGGAGAAAACATGGAGCAGCTAAGCAGAGCAGCAGTAGCAGCAGCAGCCAGAATGTAGAGCATCTTCAGCAGAGGTTGATCCAAACTAAAGTAACATACTGTACTGTTCAGGGGATTGTTCTCACAGCATAAGAGTGCTACTCGTACACAGAGGTGATAGTTCCACGCGGCTTTCCCCAAACCGGCTTCACCAACACGTTGGTGGCAGGTGACTACTAATGCAATTTCTTGTGAGAATCACAGTAGAGACGAATGTGCCAACGAACATGTCACACACATGGGGGGGGGGGGGGGGGTGGGTGGGTGAGACAGCAGCAGCAGCTCACAAACCTCACGACGCCACAACTGATTCCTCACATTCAAACTGGCCACTGAGAGACATGGCATTCGCACCTGTACACCACTGTGTAATAGGTGCGGGTGACAATCATGATTCATGACTGCAACTTCCCAGTGAATATCCACTTGGCATGGTTAGCGTGTCCTAGTTGGCCATAGCCAATGGGCAAGAGGATGCATGCGTGTGAATCTGTCACCCGGAAAACATGATTTAGCATCAGCACAGTACAGCACACACACCTCATACCTCAAGAACTGTAGGGATGATCTCCAGCTGCAGCTCGTTCAAGAAGTTCTCCGGGTCGAAATCCTTGTCAACTTTCACAATCGCCTCAAGCGTCTGAGACGTCTCATTTGGTGTCAGCATACCTCCTGTGTGCGTGTGTGTGTGTGTGTGTGTGTGCATGCAAATGAGAAGGTTGGGAAAGAACAATGGTGGTAAGTGATACTTGAAGCAGAGACGAATGCAGGCACAATAACACAACACCACATGTACATACATACGTGTACCTGACCACATGTACATGCGAATACACTCTTGTTCTGCGGAGGCCATGATCTTTCGAATACCGAGACCACCTTGGTAAGAACAGGGTTGACAGATACAGCGACAGTGGCATGCAACACATGGTGTGTGTGTGTGTGCTTGGGTGGCCAGACAAGTAAGACTTATAAAGAATGAATATTCTGTATGGGCTTACATGTATGGGCTTGCATGCACAGGGTACTCACCGACAACATTTGATACTCCGTCAGTCACAAAGCGAAGTGCACGCACACCGACGCTTTCGCTCTCGTCGAATTGCCGTTTCAGGTCGAACATTCCTGAATCACGCACACACCCACGCACACACACACACACACACACACACACACACACACACACACACACACACACAAACGTACACACACGTACACACACACACACACACAAACACCTTTACTGCACTAGAGCCAAGAATGCATAACACCCAGGACTAACAATAGTGTGTAACGCCTGATAGGTTTTAAATGTCCTAGTTTTACAAAAAAATAAAATTTAGGGTTCACGGCTTGCCACTAAAAGCACCCATCACGTGCGCCTCCATTTTGGATTATGGACGCGCGCTACAGGCCGCGACAGCGCCTATCGAAGTAAAAAAATATCGACTCGAAGTCTAGCCGGAGAGCGTACTTTTTGAATTTTTCCTTGGCTTCAGTGGCTTCACTTCACTCGGGCTTTGCATTTTTCTGACTGCCCTGGACTTGATGATGGCGGCAGTGGCGGTCTTGGCGAAAGATCCAGTTCCATCTGAGACACTCTGTCGTCTTTTCTTATCTGCATGCTGAGGTTCTGGCAAAGCGCAGCCGCATCGAACCTGACTAGCTGCACGCATCCTTTGTTTGCCCTGCAAATCTCGATCTGTTGCTCTTCTTGCTGTTTGGCCGCTGATGCCATGGAAGAAAATATTCTTCCTGTAAAGAGGCCGAAACTGAGCTAGGGCACGTCAAGATATGTAGGGTATACAAAGAAAAAGAAATGTCATGGTCGTTTCAGCAGCTCACGACAGCCAACACGGTCCATGATGACCATCGTCGGGATTGGAAGTATCCAGCACGGCTGTTCCGAGCGCTGCTGCTCTTGTTATTCTTCTTCTTCAGAAATTCTCCACACCTTGTCGGCCAAAGTACGCGCGCGCGTGCACGGAAAATAGATGCGCTGAGCCGTTTCTTGTTCGATTTTGACAAATAATGGCTTGTTGTTTTGCTCTCGACCTTGGCTATCCTTCTACCGTTCAGTATTTTACGGAAACGCAACGGCTCCCCCTGTTTTTTTAGCCGAACTTTGGCCAAAGTTACTGGAAAACCCGGAACTCGTTTGAAAAAATACGAACGGTGGAAGTCTTGGAACGTCTTTCGTGCGTGTGGATTCAAAAATTCAGGCAGTTTGAGCCAACCGTAATGAATCCCGTAGAGTTGAAAGTGAGTGATATTGATGGGAAAATGCGATTTGAGCACTGACCGATTGTGTGGGACAGTATATGCACGCGCCTGTCACGTGCATGATGTAGCTGGCGACGCTAGCATGCCAATCCGTGAACCCTAAAATTCGATATAATCGGTAGCAAGGAATAACACCGAGACTTACAAGTGGTACATGTACCTAACAGCAGACAGAACGGAACCTACCGTTAATGAAGCGGTTGTTGTTCTTGAAGTTCTCCCATTGTTGAGAAAACTTCGCGGAGCTATGTAGCTCAACTCCTTTCGTTTCCCTGCACATCACAGGAGAGAGTGAGCAAAGAAGCCCGTTCGACGCTTGATAACAGGCCAGAGTTCAGAAATTTCCGGAGAAAACCAGTGAAGAAGTGTGCGAGGAATAAGGCGACACGCCATGACAATGTCATTCTAGTACTGCATTTCCGGGGTGTTAACCATAAAATGTCATCCAAGTTTGTACTTATTATGATACTGAAATGCGTGTTCGCGGTGAATGCCATGTGGAGAATTTCAGACCTAAATTTTCAAAACAGAAGTATTGTATTTTCCAGAGTCTAAGCCGCACCCAGATTTTTGTCACGAAATACAGATACTAGTATCTACCCAATATTATATCACCGCTCATTTGACCATCCTTATTCGGGGGTGGACTACGAGTGTTTAAAGCGCGGCTTATACTCCGGAAAATACGGTACGGCTTATACCCTGGCGCACACGTCACATCAAGCTATCAAGCACCAACAAGCCAGTACAAACAAACAGTACCAAGAGAACGTTGACACATTAAAGATACACGAACAGACACAATGAGATGAGCGATGACTGACGAGCAACGCAAATTGTGCGGCACTTCCGAGACGATGAACTAAGAGCAAAAAAAAAGACTCACGTGTCTTCCTTGATCTTCGGCGCTGCCTTTTCATCTTCCGTTTCTTCCTCACCTTCCTGCACAACACGACGGCGGTACTGGTCTAGAGCACAAGACACAACATGGCACACAGGATGATTGATAACAGAACACCTCTCCTACTCAGAACACCTCTCCTACTCAGATACATAGCCACACACACAGAACACCTCTCCTACTCAGATACATAGCCACACGCACAGAACACCTCTCCTACTCAGATACATAGCCACACGCACAGAACACCTCTCCTACTCAGATACATAGCCACACGCACAGAACACCTCTCCTACTCAGATACATAGCCACACGCACAGAACACCTCTCCTACTCAGATACATAGCCACACGCACAGAACACCTCTCCTACTCAGATACATAGCCACACGCACAGAACACCTCTCCTACTCAGATACATACTGCAGGGTATATTCTAGGACGAATTTCCAACCGGTTACGGTCCAATGAAGAGTCGGGGGGGGGGGGGGGGGGGTTG